CATGACACTCTGGTTAACTCTGTAGACACGTGATCTGAAGTGCCCACAGAGAAGGCCCCAGGCGGGGGGGGGCTAGGGGGTGATCACGTGTGCAGGGAGAGTTCTCCAGGGGGATCGAGAGGGAGCTAGAACGCTCGAGAAGGCGGGTGGGGCCGAAGGCGGAGCGGCCCCGACCCGGGAGGATATAAGGTGGGTCCCTGAGAGGGACCGGGGTCGCTGCATTCGACAAGCTGGAAGCTCTACGTCCTACGAGGCATCAACACGTGGTTGGGGACCGGAGTGAGGGTCCGACCCTTTGTAGCTGTAACTCCTATGTATAATGTAGTTAGCTGGGTGGTCACCACCCTAGGCTGTATCTGGTAAAGGGGCAGTTAACCCTTTGTGTTAACGTGTTGATGTTAAATAAATGTGTTGCCTCTAAAGAATAACACCTGTGACGCAGTTGTATTCACTACATATACATCGCGAAACTCGGGAGGGACGGGCACCCCATGGCCTCCCTGTCACCCCACCCCCATACCCGACAGATAGGGGGGAATTTATTTTCTGGAGCTCAGTCCCGTGGACAGCTCTGGCTGAAATGAAGCCCTGGGGATACGAAAATAGAAATAAGTGACAGCAGTGCTATTATTGATCATTAACAGTGCATTCTGATGCATAGGCGCGCACGTTAGACACATCATTGTTATGACGGCGACTGCAGATGCTCCTTACAGCATGAGGCAATTGGCCAAATGGCGCTTAGGGAATGTAACGGAATGCCTCGGCTAATTGTGTTACAGCAGTCTACAGTACTGAGACGCTGAAACTACAAGGCCATTATGAAATCCTCTGGGAGAACAGTTCTCCCTTTGCACACAAACTCATACACATACGCTTGCGGTGTGTGTGTGTATATATATGTGTTGAGGTGAAAATGACGACGCGGAGGCAGCTCTTCAGGTAAGGGCTTGCGCCGGTTATTATTAAGGGTTTAGATACTTCCCCAGGGGTAGGGGTCCCATACTGGGTCCTTCACACGACCCTGCACTCTGTATCTAGCTCGGCTAGCTTCAGGGCTCTCCCTCGAGTCGGATCGGGGGTTCAGCCAACACCGACCGATCGGGGAGAGCAGCACCTCCTATGACTACCACCGGCTTCTCTCTAGACTCCTTGATCTCTACCCCTGGCTGGCACTTAAACCGTTCTCTATCGCGGGCTCCCACAGTGAACCCGCTTTCGTAACGGGGTCCCCCTTAAGTACCTTGAGGAGACATGACGTCATCGCCCCACCCAGCACGCATGACATCACGTCCCATGACGTCATCGCACTGGACAGTGCGCATGACGTCACGTCCCCATATTACTCCTCTACATATGTATACCCACACAGACACATATAGTAAAACACAAGTACGTTTAAACCGTAGTGTTAATGATACAGCTACACAAGCAAGATTCATACGCACATTGAGCGCCACGCTCAACTAAGCATGCAATTTACTGGGGCATTCGCTTCATGTACTCGGGCAATAAATATCTGGACAGTAAATTTCCAGAGAATCGATTGGGCGAAGGTGCCTTTAGTTTCCAGTGAATGCGGAGACATTGCATGTATATGAACTAGATCCACAGGACCTATTCCTTTCTCACTCAATGACTGATGTAATGTGTAATGTATAAGGTCAGCGGAGATAGTATTGCTCGAATGTAAACTTGACTTGCAATCGCCATATGTAGTGTGCAACAGCTATGCTTAATCCACTGCTGGATTAATTACTTCTCCCAAGCAAGCCACCATCTCTCACAGCAGCTAGTTCATTCACAATAATAATGCCATTTAATTACCCAGTGAAATTTCAATAACTTTTTTTTCCAGGAAGAAGGTCCTGCATTGAGATGTTTGGCCAATTACTTTCATGAGTGTTTGGCTTAATGTGAGAGAAAACCAGAGGACGCTTAAAAAAATGCCCTGCACATGAGGGTTTAACACTCAAAGGTCCACACAGGTAGATTCACGATTCCACTGCTTGACAGCATCTCATTGCTACCATGCAGCCTTAGCCTATGTATCATTAGACAGTCACCCATTATAGGTCAAACCAGGCTTAAATCTGCTTAGCTTCTGAGATCTGACAAGTAAATTAAAAAGTTGGTCTCTCAAGCGTAATAGCGCACGTTAATTTAGTCCCGACATATATACACACTTTACGCTAGGAAACGTGAGCAGTTGTTTACATTGTATTTGTAAGCTAATAAAATTGGGTGGAACAGTGGCGCAGTGATTAGCGCAACGCCCTATGGAACCGACGATCAAGTTTAATTCCTGACGACGAATAACATCAGAGACTAATTATATCTGTTGGCACTTAACCTGTATTTGAACGGCGGTAAACATTGGTACTTGGAAAGACACGTGCCATGGTGGGTGGCGAGACACACCGTCCAATGGAGTGGAGCCGCCTGGCGGCCAATGGGAGTGTTGTGGGTATTGTGAGCGTTAAACGCCGTCACCACGACTGACCTGGTGTAGCGCCAGACATGGGTCAACAGGGGGCAACAGCGAGTCCGGCCTCTTACAAGTCACGCCGTTCAGGCCAGGGAACCCAGAGGGTGGTTGGGAACCAGATGTACACATCCCAGGCCCCCAGTGGGGGCTGGGGGACTACGCAATAATCCAGGTCCCTCCAGAAGGTTCTAGAGAGTAGGCGTGGCCAAGGGCGGAGTGACCCTGTATAAGTCGGACATCTGAACGGGTTTGCCAGTCGTCGTCAAGCAGAAGGCAGAAGAGCCAGCCCAGAATAAGACCCTGGGAACCCCCGGACCCGAAGTCCTTGCCAGGGCCGAGACCGAGTGGGCCAGTGGTCGGGACCCGAGGACCTTGGCTGGGTCGGGTCAGGCTAGCCTCCCCTAGGTCTCACCTAGCCGGAGGGCTGTGATGCAGAGAGTGGTCCCAGTGAGTAGGGCACGCTAGCCCAGAGGCTATACCTCCCCAGGGTATCGGGTGAAGGGGGCCGTTACCCCCTTGTGTTACTGTTATTAAATAAACGTGTTGCCTCCAGAGAAGACTGAGTCTCCATCTGTACCCGCTACAGGAGTAAAAGGCTGCTGTTATGTCTAAACAAGCTATTTTATTCACGCGGAGTCTCATCAATAAAAATTTTGCCCAAACATAGTTTGCATTTCCACAAGTTATCAGTGGTCAAATATATGTAATAATCTACATAGCTGAACCTGCATTTCAAACGCGTGCGATATTCTTTCAGGACTGGGTTTTCTGGAACATTGCCGTCTTTAAATTAAGTTTTGGTGTTGCTGTGACTCATGCAGCACCACGGATCTTCCTTGTAAAATAGCCGGGAAACTGGCTAAACGGGATCATCCGTGAAACTAATCAAAATAAACAAACAGCGCTTACTTGGTTATCAAGGACTCCATATGGTCAGCCATATAATACAATAAAAAAGACAAAGATCTCCCGTATAGGCTTAACAGACTATTGGGGCAAGTGCTGTTAGCGAGTACCTATGAAGGCCGGCACGGCACACGAGGGGGTGGGTGGCCAACACCACGCCCGGCCGCCTTTGTCTCTCTAGTGACGATGTTTACACACCGCACCAGGTACTCATTTGAGGCTGAGTCGACCTAGGGAAGGCTCAGAACCGGTTCAGATAATCGTCACTGGTGGTGGCCGTGAGCGGGAACCGAACCCGGGTCGCCAGGTTCACAGCACAGCGATAACCGCTACACTACAGCTCCCACATAATACAATAAAAAAGACAAAGATCCCCCGTATAGGCTGAATATAGAACATACGCACGAACATGCTGATGTGTGATACAATCCCAACGTTATCAACGGGTTAAGCTTAGTTTATTTGTTTAAACATCACGGGGATTTTCATTATAAATTCCGCACAACAGTTCCACGATATGTTGTGCAATGTTGTACCTGATTCAAATGTCGTCGAATGTTCCTTTTCATAACATTTTGGGTCAAAACGTGGCGGTATCTCCAGCAGCAGTAGGACAAATTGCTAAGGGCGATGTGGTTCAGCAATTTCGTCACTGTGAATCTTACCCTTTACCTTTTTACACCTATATATAAACCAAGGCAGCAGGCAGTGTATTGTATTTACATTGCATCTGCAGCTTTACAATGCACAGAACATAAGACACTACCGACCTTATCTTAATGTTCAGTTACGCACCCAAAGATAAATATAGGGCAATTAATTTGGAGGACCCTCACATAAAAATAGAGAAAACTTGAGAAAGCATTTCATGCGAAAGCTACTCCATGTCTCCCACCAGTCTCAATAAACTTGCGATATCTCTTTAACGTTCTCCCTCGGTAAGATATGGAGCCATTTCTTTCACAATACTCAAATCTGTTAAGAGGATCATTATAAATGAGTGGGGTGCCTATACATGGAACACCCTGCATTTTCAACAAAGGTAAATATACAAAAAAGCTTATACATCGCCTGCTGTCAAGATGTTTCATTTGGGAGCGATCCATATATCGAAAAAAATATCAGCACATGGGTCCAATTGTCAAGTGGTCACAGCAGATGGAGCAACCAGTGCATTTTTGTATTTGGCCAGGTCCAAATGCATGGGGGGTTCGCCCATGGCCGACAAAACCAGCACTTCCACAACCCAGTAGACTGTGCTACTCAGTAACTTGTTCAGTAATAAACCATTAATATAAGCAATCTACAATGCATACAACGTTGTGTTTTATCATGCCCCTCTTGTAATTATATGAATAGTAGAAATTCAGAATCATCTTGATATAGACTGGAAGAATCCGATGAGCTATGAAGCTCTTTTTCCCAGATGTCCAGTAGTTTCACATGTCCAATTCATGGTTTATATTCAAGATACATGTTTTACTGCCTATATTTTCACTTGTGTAGTCTAGTTTACTGCATTAGTTCAATGGTCAAATCTGCATACAACTTGCATATATATTTGCTTCTTACATATACTGTATACGGTTCGATATATACAGTTGAGCATAAGAAAATGTTTTTATCAATAAATCGTTACATGCAAAATACCTACACCGTATAAATATACCGCTACGATCTGTGTGCAGGTATACGGAGGCAGCAGTGATGTTAGGGTCCATTGCTAGCAACCATTTACGAAGGGCTCTCATTCACTTCAGAAGTGCACACTTAAACCTGCATTGGTGAATTTTTGACAGCACACGAATTAAAGTCATCAGCCATGATCCACACCTGGATAAAGGCCTCCCCAAGCAATAACCATCTCACCCTCTAATGATATCCACATAGCACCTGTATATGAGCTAATTGCATCACCATCTTCACAGTGAACGTCCTTTCGGGCATGTTCCCTCCTGTGGCTGCCAGTCCATCGTTAGCAAACGCCCATTTACTCTTCTTTACGTCGATGTGACGTCTTTACATTTGTAACATGGCTTAAATGCATTCTGATCAATGGGTAGGTCACTTGTCAGGTTCCATGCCACTGCAGACTGTGACGGTTATCGATACCCACTCTGCATAGCGGCGCGTAAACCACATGGGGCACTGACCACTCTTTCTAAAGGGAAATGCTCCCTGCCATTTCGAGTCAAACGTGCCCCAAAGCTCTTGAGCTTGAACAACCACTGCAGTGTAGAGAATGCAATATATCTCGACGCATGCAAAAGGCAACCTTGCCTAATAGACGAGGCGAGGCGAGACGAGGTGAGGCATGGAGGCTTGACTTCCAATTCTGCCGTTAGCCCGTAGAGCTGGCCGAGCAGGAGATTTATGAGTGCCACTGCCTGCAGGTGAGGATGTACGTGTTGGAAGATGTTCATGAAATGCACAAGTCAGGTTCCTGCACGATTTTTGGCAAAGCACAATAATGCAAAGAAAAATAAGTGAATACTGCCATGGTTTGCTGTGCCATTGTACAGTATTGCACAAATGCACGTTTGTAACAACGGATGGAAGCAGACGGTTAAACATTTGACATTAAAGTGAATGCATATTTATCATGTAATTGAGCAAAACAAATTATACTCATGGCTATAACATGTAGCTATAAATTAAAAGCAATTTAATTGAATAAACATATTTTGTGGATAGAATAAATATTGCAAAGAGGGATTAGAGCTTTCAACTACTGTATAGATTAACATAGTTTCTCAACAATGTAAATTAGTTATAACTGTTATCTAAACATTGGCTTATACTGCTGCTGTTTACCAGTAACAACCACGAACAGGCAGAGTATATAATCACAACCAAGGCTGTTGAACATTTTGGTGGTTCTCTTGGGATAAACATACAGATATGCTGGCCTATTTCTATATATTGCAACATAAGATGATCTGCTTGGTTCCTTTGGTTTAATCTTCTGGACTGGTTGTTTTTTCTACTCTTAGAGGATGATCTGGTTCTTGAAGCTGTGCTGCAACTCTTTGTGTGGCAGAACAATGGAATTGAGGATCACAACTTCTGCTGGGATGGAGACATTGCAGCCTGTAAACACACACAAAGACAGAGATTTCATATGTAGCCTATTAGCGAGCATATATTAAGGCAGGGAAACCGTACAAAGGGGTGGTGTGGCGAGCATCATGCTCGGATGCCGTCCTAGCACTGACGTTTACAGACCACATCAAGTACCCATTTAAGGTTCAGTCGACCTAGGGGAGGCCCAGAACCAGTTCAGATAAACCCATTAATGTTAGCTGTGGAAGGTCAGGTTACTGGGTTTATAGTGTAGTGCACACTATGCCACCACATACTTACATGCAACACACATATCAATGAGAATACATTTGCAAAGGGATAGGTAGTACTATGGTGAGAGCTCATGACTTGTGATTGGAAAATGCAAGTTAAAATCCTAATTGAGATCGACTCAGCGTGTTATCTCTGTGCAGCCCTGCAGAATGACTCTGTCTACTCGACAGACCTGCTCTCCATCTGAGGACGGCTGCTTGCGTTGTGGCCAAAACGTCGTGAGAATAATTTTATTATGTTGTATTTTTATTATTTTATTATTTCCATTCTACGTGACTTTACCGAAAGAACCAAGAAGAAAAATAGAGTACCACTTTGTGATACTATATAGCTCCTGCCACAGAAATTATGGAATTTCCACCAGGGTCATAAACACCAATGAGCATGAGGTATGGACTGGGGGCAATACTTTGACTGACTTATTAGTCTTATTTCATACAGATGAATTCTGTGCAGAAATCCAGTTCATGATTTCATGAGACAGCAAATATATTCTACCCGGTCCTGAGAATGAATATAGCAGGCACGAGTTTTTACCAAGTGATCGATTGTTTGTTTTTGGTGCATCTCCACTGATTTCATAACAATTATCGTTGATGATTATCAGTGAGCGGAAACATTAGTTGCACACCGAGGATGGTGATGGAGGGGTTGAGGCGGCCGTCCGTGTTGAAGAGGCTCTCCGAGTCCATCTTGGCGAGAGGGTCGTTGGGATTGGGGTCACTTGGGGTCCCCTCCACCCGCGCCCAGCGCCCGACCACACTGTCCCAGCCCACAATGCTGTTGAGCACACAGCAGTGGTCCTGTGCAGGAGCACGTCCACACAAAAGCACAGTGCGTGTTCACCACAAAAATGTACAGTTGCGCTTGAGCGGCGAACGCAAACGAGGTTTTGTGTTAATGAGGTACAGTACAATAGGACACAAGTTTATGAGTTTAGAAATGCGCCGTCCCAAAGGGGTAATGGGTTACTATGAGAACAGAGGGCAGTGCAGGGAAAAATCCATGGTTGTACTGTACTTCTATGCTGTTATCAAATCACACGACCCACATGCCGTGGAGAGCCCCTCATCCAGCAGTCGATTGACAAAGGGATGTAGGTGTGCAAGTATGATAAGGTTATTATTTAATTGCAACCCAATCATAGTAGGAATATATAAAATGTGGCCCTTTTGAGTATTTCAGTGGCACACGATGTCCTCCTCTTGTGAATGGCCCACTCTCATGCTGTAACAGCTGCAACTCATTTCACACTCATGCGCCACAAGTGGCTCGTCAGTTCAGCGGAAAACGCAGGGTGGGGTACGTCAGCCTCGAATTAATGCAGTCTGGATCCAGGCTGGCAAACTTGGTTGGTGTGGAATAAATTATACTTTTTTTTCCCATGAAAATTATTTTTAATTTTGACCTCTGTGCCTGTTGTGGCTGCAGAGATCAACAAAGTGAGAAAGTATGATGTATTCACATTGTCCCTACAGCATCACTCACCAGCAGATACACCACCCTTCACAATAGGCTGCCTTACCCATCAATGATTTGTAGTATGTTGCAGGACTTCCACATGTACAAGCACAAACGCACACAAAGAGACAAAATGCTGTCATTGGACAAAGACATGGCTGACAAACCTGCAGCGTGGAGCCCTGCAGAATGATGGATTCACGCACCCGCACACCCGGTCCGATAGCAACATCCATGCCCACCGTCACGTTCGGCCCCAGCTACAGCACGTGCCGACACAAGGCAGGACAAAATTATTCACTGGTCAGCTTCCAGTGGCATAGCGTGGTTGTCATGGACCCTGATGGAAGAAATGGAATGGTGCCCTCTGTCTTATTTACTCTTCATAGCACGGCGCTTGCATTCGATAACTAACTCTCATGTCATATTACCAGATTTTACTATATTTTGAGCTAAGAGTGGCATTATATTCAATACAATGTATTCAGCAGCATTTCTGTTCACCAAATCTTTGTTGTTACATTTATAGTTTCCAGAAGATCGAGTCGCAGAAGACATATGATGCGATCTTATTGTATATCATAAATTGCGAATCTGAATTGAAAATTATTGTCCATTCATTGTGTACAGAAAGGTGCATATACAAAGTCTGAAGCATTTAATCCGTGAAATCCAGTCTATTTTTGATGCTTTACTTTTCACAGTTACAGCTGCATAGTTCGGAATATTTCCAAAAAACTTTTCCCTGGTGGCCTTTTGGCATGTTACAGGAAATATCCATTCCCATGTTGTCAGTGAAATGAAATATAAACTAACCAGATTAACACTATGGGGACCTCATTTGCCAGTAAAAATATGATAATTGGTTCTTTACCCTTCTATCTGGCAACAAAACTGACACCTTTTTGCAAGGAGTCATGTTTGCATAGACCGCAATACCTGCAGTCATAATACAAACAAAAGAACATAACAGAACATAAGGACAGTGCACATTATCAGAGTTATGTTCTTTTGTTTGTATTATGACTGCAGGTATTGCGGTCTATGCAAACATGACTCCTTGCAAAAAGGTGTCAGTTTTGTTGCCAGATAGATGGGTAAAGAACCAATTATCATAACCAGATTAAGTACTGATATTCTCTCCTTCGTATGGCAGGAGGGAAACATACTGATAGTAGCTCTGCGTTAATGTTAATATGCCATCATACTCCCATTAAGGTAATGCTATGTGGTGGGCAGCAGAGGGCAGCACAGGCTCTCATGTCTATGCTCCCTGCCTTTTAGAATCAGAATGTATATATGTATGTCGAACTCGCCACGTATGTAGCCAACCGTGGATAAGCAAGGTTTTAAGTATGGTCAAATAACCCTCACGACATGCATGGCATGCAGAAGCCTTCACCCAACATTTGACTGAGAAAGGGCTGCACATGTGCATTAGTATTAACACATTAAATACTGGTGTTGGTAAGAAAAGTAAACGTACAGACAAGAATGTACCTGGCTGCATTACCTATCGGATACCTGTCAAGGGGGTGACATTCCACTGTCGATGACTCAGATCTGATTGGCTGTTGGGAAGCTTTATTGATAGCTGCTGTCTAAAATGGTTAATCCTGGAGTGGAAAGTTATCACAGAAGTAATGAGATCCGCATAAAAGCCGATCTTAAGAAAGATTGGGAAGGGTAGGATAAATGCACTACTGTGTTGTGTATCAAAAGCCCAACTCTGTGTGATCTCTGAAAGAGATGTCTTTGTCATCATATTCAATCAACAATTATGTTATTGCTTTGCATGATATTTTACACACTTTTGGAGGTATACTTTCCAAACAATTGCGTTTTTCACTGTACAAAAAATATAGGTGCATTATTGTCAGAGCAACTATTTTAGTGTTATATCAGAAGATCAGGATTTTTTGCCATTCTAAATATGTAAAATAGTGTAATATGACTTGGATCTTAGCAAAAAAGTCAAAGCCAAGAATCTAAGAACAGAAAAGAATATGGTACTTTTATCCAATCAGTTCCCATATTTCAAAAACATACTGCTAAGCTGTATCACTATATGAGCCATATCAAATGAAGGGTGGCATCTGATTCTTTTTCTTCTAACATGCATACATAAACACACAGGTCAAGCACATATTTGGGTACTGCGCAACCAGATTTTTATACAGTTCATTCTTCAGTGTTAATTCAATACCGTTGTTTTGATTGAAAAAAAAATTGTAAATCAGATTATGAACCGGAAACCAAACTTAGTACAAGATCGAGGCTCTGTGGGCACAGCAGCCTTCCTGTACACACGGCTGTGGGGGTGAGACAGTGCTAAAGGCTCATTGACCAAATGAGCACATGGTGGAGCTGTGGAAGGTTATAATTGGACTTGTGATGGTTATTTACGAAACCTTTTCCATTTCATTTTCATCCATGTATTTTGAAATGAGACCATTACTCACCACAGCAGTGGGGTCCACGTTCGCTGTGGGATGGATGTAAACATCTCCTGGAAGAATAGAAAAGAAAACCTTCAGTAAAAAACACAAATCGTGTCTAAGTGATGACAACTGCTTCCTGGATAGGGGTTTACCCCCTGACGTGTCTTACACTGATTTCTTCAAACTGTAAACTACATATGTAATAATGCCAGTGCATTACGATTGGCTACTACACAAATTCTACATTTTCCATAAAACCCCAGAGCATGAGTACGTACTTGAGTTACTACCTGCCCTCCTCCTGACCTGCCCCCCTCCCGGCCTCCCCCAAACAGAGTTCCCATGTGCTTATACTGCCAATTCAAGCAAGAATTCAAAATCTCCCAAATGATTTCCATTCTCAGGCTGGCCAAAATTATTTGTTTGAAATTGTGCTGAGTATAAATATATTTTTGGGAAAGACCTGCGATATTCACGTTATAACTCGATTAACATTAACATCTCACCACCGCGAGATGTGGTCGTCTTGATTTTTCTCCGGGTTCTCCAGTTTTTCCCTCCACATTAAGAAGCATGCATTTAGAGTATTTGGCTGTTATAAATTCCACCTGGTAAGCCACTCCATTGAGCTATCATTTGTGGCCAGGTCACTTCTAAAAAAATGCTCTCAAGCTCAGTGGGCCTTACCTCGTAAAAATAAAAAGTTTAGTAAAAAAAAGTTTAGTAACTCATAAAATAATATAAAAGACACTGTTTTTTGGATACTAGCCAGCTGGAGCAGCTGGGTGTGTCTTCACAATTGATCGAGTAGGCAGGAATGATACTAATCTGATACTAATCATGTTAAGCAAGCCTGAGGCATGCATATTCCCCTTCTGAAGTGCTCCAAAGTAATTATAATTTATATTCAAAACTACACAGCACTTTATATTCATATACACAAGTAAACATTTGCATGCATGCGGGTCCACATCAATGGTTTTATGGCCACCTTGGTGTGTGCCATCACTTACCGATGACCTTAGGTTTGCCAGACCCATTTTCCGAAAGTCTCTCTGGGTGGGTGTTGTGGTAGCTGCCCAGGTACAGACGATTGGCATATATTGCTGAGCTGCACATATCATAGAGAGGAAGAAAGAAATGGGAAGGGTGGGTTAGGTGGAAGAGACTTTTGCTTCAAGTGAATCTCACAGTTTTAAACGTCATGCACATATGTGAAATTTGTTTGAGGAAGGTGAATGATGACACACAGTGGTGAGTGAGGGCAGAAGAGACAGCATTTAAGACATGGACTGTGGTAAAAAAAAAATTAAAGTGGTTTCCTGTTCCAATGGGAATGGAAAAACACTCATCTCCTCTTTACAGTGCTGAACCAGTGGTGAAAATTCCATATTCCGAAAATAGGGGCATTTTTTTCTCCCAAAGAACAACCACAGTTGACTCAACCACAAAGTGGTACTCATTATAACAGCCTTGGACGGATGAAGGGCTGAGGCAACCACTGCATGATCTGGTCAGTTAAATAAATATTTAGCCAAGATCAATGGGCTGCTGGATGAAAGCTTCCCAAGCTGTCTCCATCTTACATGGTCCCATGATGCAATAATCCATCCAGCACTTGCACACGATCTTATTTTATTCCTCCACATGGATGGCAGATGCCCTTTGGGCATGTCCCCTCCCTTGGCTACCAATCCATCATTAGTTTCATCCATCGTCCATGATCCCAACGAGTGACATGCTATAGGCCATTATCCCTGCCCAAGCCCACTTGATATATTCTTGACTGTTAATGTCTTTAACCTGTATGTTTTATCTAGCCCACATGTTTCTCTGTCTCAATGAAATCTCATGCTTCTTTGCAAGCTCTATCTGTCTATCTGGTTAATCAAACCTTGTAAAACTGGTAAAACATAAATAAATACTTAAATATGTACAATGTGGAATAATATATATCAGTAAACGACTCTCTATCACACCATAATTTTGCTTAGATACATGCTCTAAAGATTATAATTATTACACTGTTTTTTATTTTCCGGAGCAAACTTACGCTCAAAAGAATGTATTATTTTACAATGATTTATGTGTGTGAAATATTTTTGATTTCTCATGTGAATTGTTTCCCTACTGATTTCTATTTGCTTCAGTACTGTTGTTTTAACTTTTGCCATTTTCGTAACCTAGGTCACTCTTGCATACAATACTATCCTGGTCTCTTACGTTCTCACCTGGTTCAACAAAAGTAACTTGAAACTCATCCAGGGAAAATGCGTTTACCTGCTCTTAGCCCACACACACATACCCTGCAGATTTTATCTGGCTCCAGAATCCGTCGGTGTGGAAGGTGTAGAGCGAGCGCTGTCCTGCCAGCGCTGTGAAGACGTCCTGCTCCAGCCGCACTACCTCCGCACGCGCCCAGCTGGTGCCGTTAGCCGCTTCCTCGCTGGAGCATGCACAACACACACACGGGCAAAACGACCCTATGTGCACTACTGTGGAGATCCAGGACAATGAGTATGTATGAAATTAACACTTTATTTTACGTACCTGCTGATTATATATTTGTTGTGCAAGCCAGACTTATGGTGAGCACCCATAACAGCCAGACGAGCAGCATGAGTATTACCCACTGCCATTCCTCGCTCTCAAAACACACGTGGTGCAGCCTGCACTAATTCCGTTCTATAAGTGTTAGCGCACACACACACAGCTCCTTAAAAACTATTCACACTTACCTCCAACAAATGTATCCACCAGGTACGTAACACTTCCTCAATTAAAATGTTTATGTTTTTATGCTCACGGTACATGAATCACATCGTGTGCGCAAACGATGTTTGTCAGTGTGTAATGTTTGCAAAGGTTTATTTACAACACTCAGAAAATAGGTAGTTTATTTTCTATGTAACAAAATTCAAGGTAGAAAAATTATTTAAATGCATCTGAATTCTGATGGGGCAGGGGAATAAAACTATGTTACTAAGATGGGAATCGAGTTATTCTCTGAATTTGCACTCACGGTGACCTAAGCCAAGGCCTCTTGATCCCCAAGTTAGCTACTAACATAGATGTGCTTGAACCACATGATAATGGAACACTCCAAAACTATGCATCCACAGAAAACCCCACGACAACAATAATCACACAACATTTACACTCGGGTTTTCGTTTATTTTTGTTAAAAACCCTATCTGTGCCACTTCAGCCAGAGGACACTAGACAAAAAAGTGTTGTTAGTCCAATGGGCTTTTAAAAATCTATTTACCTAAAAGTGAATATGTTAGTTTGTTAGTCATGCTAGTCAGTATGTTTTTTAAGGTCTTCACTTAGTCAACTCTTTCATAAAAAAACAAAGTAAGCGTATATTGAAAATTCAGCAGCAGTCAATGACATCTGAGAGCTTTGTTTACAAAAGTCACCCTGACCAAATGTTAAGTATAATTCTTATATTTGGATATGCATTATTCATATGTCAAGAGCCATTGTTTTGAGGTCAAGGGTAAATAAAAAATAATCAATATATGCAGGTCTGAGTGTACTTCAATCTCCAGTTCTCAATATTCACTGACCGCCACCCCTTGTTTGAGCGACACAGTGAGGTACGGAGCTTTGCACAGAAGAAATGTACAGATTAAGTAACCCTCCCCCGTGCCAAAACAACTTACCTGGCGAGCCCACACCTGTGCCGTAAAGTTGGGAACAAGGGAAAGTGAGGAAGGGACAGAGAGATGAATATAACAAAGACAATGGGGCATACAAAAAGGATGTGGGGAGAACATAAGCTGTTTGGAAGTGGTGCAAAATAATTTAATGAGATAAATAGTGAAATAACACAAATCACTAGAATGTGTAATGAAGTGTGTGTGCATATCTTACTCTACCAGAGAAAGAGAAGCCCGTGATTCGTGTGCTCGGCTACAATCCCAGCGATGTGAGTTCCCAGTTCAATTCAAATGGATTATTATCTAACAAAGCATGCACCGAATAATGCATCCATGAATCAATTATGTACGTAAATTACATGGGAATCTATACAAATGATATTTTTTTACAAATAAGTATTGATTGAATTATATCACAACCCTGAATTGTAACAATTCATCATATCATTAATGGGTTCGGAGGCAGTGGGTGGTGTGAATTTCTACAGATCCTTATGAAGGATTGTTTAAGGACACATTATGAAGGACATTATTCACTGAAAATGGATATATCTTCTTGGTTCTTTCGGTAAAGTCACGTAGAAGGGTAATAATAAAATAATAGAAATAAAACATAATAAAATAATTCTCACGACGTTTCGGCCACAACGCAAGCAGCCGTCCTCAGGTGAAGAACAGGTCTGTCGGAAAGACAGCGACCTGTTCTTCACCTGAGGACGGCTGCTTGTGTTGTGGCCGAAACGTCGTGAGAATTATTTTATTATGTTTTATTTTTATTATTTTATTATTACCCTTCTACGTGACTTTACCGAAAGAACCAAGAAGATGAATCCCTGCAGTCACAAAAGCTTTAAATCGAAATAAATAGAAAATGGATATGTTGTAAGGTTTCTCAACGCCAGCACTGGTTGGCTGTGATGCTGTCTCCTCTGCCTCCTGATGATTCGTTGGGACCTGAATAGGTGCTTCTTAAAAGCACTCGCCCTGGTCAACTCGGGCAAAAACAATGTTTGTCTTTCGTGCGTTGAACTTCTTTTGCACCGTACGCAGCCAACCTTGCTAATTGGAGGTGCTCTAAACTGACGTTGTTTACTTGCCCATGTAGTGTATTGACCATGCGACAGGAAATTAAAATAAAGCTCTATTTTCACAAACACAAGACTCACGCAGGTGTTATGAAGGGCCCTCACTTTGTGTGCACTTTGTATAGCATTAACTGTAAAGTAAACTAGAATTACCAAGCGGCTTTAAGAAAACAAAATGTTCTCCCCATGAAAACTGGACGAGCAGGAAGTTAGCTAACCATAAGCCATAAGGTTAGCTAGCCACCTAACAAAAGTACCTTTGTAGCCGGCTTTATAAGCAAAAGTGGGATTTAAACACACAGTGATGTATAAGGCGTGGTGCCTCTGACGCCATTATCGAGAAACAGGGCTCACCTGAGTAGCTCCTGCTGATTTTGCTGAAAGACGGTAGCGATGTGCTGGAAGATTTTTGGACAGAACAGGTATACTCCACAATTGATGAGCTCGCTTACGAAGGTGCTTGGCTTCTCAACGTAGTGCAATACCTACACATGAGAGAGGAATATGCATTCTATCATCTTGCAAAAGGGGCAAAATAAAAGCCAATACAATAGCGAACCCTGCTGTTCTGAAAATGCATGCCTAATGTTATTGTGATTAGCTGATTATGCAAAATAACTCTTTGTTTGTTCCAAAGGTTCATAAGCTTAAGATTATGCCCTGACCACAAGCACTAAATCACCACCTGGCTGTGGCCAAGAAGCAATGCACTCTCACCTCATGGGTCTCTGTGTTTTCCACTATGCAGCCATAATTCAGCGACTGCTTGCGATTTGCCTGCAAATACATTTTTTCACAAACAGATAAACTGAACAAATTAACAGGCAATCTCATAAAATCAATTACAAATTACAACAGCATTAATTTATCTTCTTGGTTCTTTCGGTAAAGTCACGTAGAAGGGAAGTAATAAAATAATAAAATAAAACATAGTAAAATAATTCTCACGACGTTTCGTCTGACGCTGTCTCCCCGACAGACCTGGTCTTCACCTGAGGACGGCTGCTTGCGTTGTAGCCGAAACGTCGTGAGAACTATTTTATTATGTTTTATTTTTATTATTTTATTACTTCCCTTCTACGTGACTTTACCGAAAGAACCAAGAAGATGAATCCCTGCAGTCACGAAAGTTTTAAATCGAAATTTAAGCATTTATTTACTTTGAAAGGAAACTAAGGATGCATACCTACTATAATTATTACCCAGGAATGTCCTTAACGCTCGTAATGTCATTCCACATCGACCAGCCCCCCTCATTAATATTCATGAGCAGGTGACGTCCTCCAAATGGACACCCCACCCCTCTTCATTAATAATCATGAGCAGGTGACATCCTCCAAATGGACACCCCCCCCCCCCCCCCCCATTATTATTAGCTACTATGAGCCAAGAATGCCTGTGTACATCGCTCGTGAGGTCACTCCACATGGAGCACCCTGCCCTCATTAATAATCATGAGCAAGTCACGTAACTTTACATTGAATAGCCCCCCCTCATTCATAATAATTATAAGGTGACGTCCTCCAAATGGACCCCCCTTCATTCATAATAATTAGCAGCTGACGTCACTCCACATGGGGGGGGGGCGAGGCACCTCCTCCCCCCTCCTCGGCGTCAATTCACAACCCTCACTACAAAGGCAGATCCCTCACGTCACGCGATCTCCGTAACGGTATTGAGACATAGAAGTAAAAGGGCGTCATGATGAAAAAGGGATTATAACCTTAAAATGAAATAGGTCTGTGTCACCGCGCGCTTACAAATTGCACATGAATGGATGCAATGAATATCACGTCGCGGTCTGCTTGTCGCTTGCAAGTTTCATATTTACTACAATACACCCGTCCTTGGACGGGCAAAAGGCTAGTTTGTGTTATTTGTCAACTAGCACCACAGACCTATGAGACAAGATAAGCAAACTAGCTGGCTCAGAACCACAAGTTGTGAAAGTATTTGATGTTAATTCACTACTACCCTCTTGTTTACTTAACATTATGAGAGAACACGCATTTATTATTCATCCCATTAATATACATATTTATTAGCAATAGTAATGGAAAAGCTAGTGCACTGTGCTATGAACAATTGCTAACTTGAGTAGCCAGTCATATTCCAAAAAATCCAACCCACACATTTACCAACGTGATGCAATACACTAAAACAACTTTTACGAGGTAAGGACTTCATTCAGCAGTGCACTGATAAAGCGCTATAAATGATAAGACGCATACAACACTCCCGTGGCAGAAAAGGACATCTACACGTTGTAGCGTGGTTGGCACGAGCACTTGGGTAAGGAATGAAATGCCTCTCCCCCACTCACCCCCCACCTGTCTATTTTCCACCTCTTCATAGGCCGGCACTTCTTCCCCCCTGGCCCATGGGCGACGGTGCAGTTGCACCACCTGTACACTCGATAGTTACGCCACTGTCCGTGCACACACGTACGTTCGTGCACATGACAGTGAAGTTGTGCATGGCCGCGTCCCGCGCTCCCAGCATGGCAACGAGCGGGAAGTCGGCGCACACATCCCCGTTCAGGACAAAGAATGCCCGCGGACCCCCCGCCAGGATCTGGTCACGGAAGTGATACAGTCCGCCAGCTGTGCCCAGTCCTGTGTACTCTTGCAGGTATCTGCACACGCGTGATAATGGGGGAGGTACATGGCCATAGGCACAGGTGTAAAAAGTGTTTGCAAGAGGAAGTCATGAATTAATAGGATGTCAGCTAGACTTGTCTGATTCCTCTCATCTGTGCCATGTCTAGCTGCCTCAACAGTTATCTTCCTCTTTTTTTCGTCCCACAGTTCAGATTTGAGACTACTGCATTTTTAACCACATAAAATAAATAATAATTGTCATCCCTTTCTCAATTAACTGTTGAATGAAGGCAACTAATCACGTACTACTCTTCCTCTAGTAGAGTAAGATATGCACACACGCTTCATCATTACACATTCTAGTGATTTGTGTTACTTCAATATTCATAATGGGGGTTGTTTGACCATACGTCACCATGCCGGTCAGTGCAGGCTGGTGAAGGAGGGATGCCTGAACCACTTTACATATCACTCATCAGTGATTATAACTTGGCTGGGAATTGAACTCAAGTATCTAGCTTCACAACCCTGTGCTAACCAAACACATATAAAAAGATTGTTAATGCTCAATTTAACACATTCCTGCGGAGGGAGCTGACCAGGGTCAGCGGCGGCGTGGTGTATTCCAAAAATATGCCCGACTGTGAGGGCGGGCACAAGCCGGCGTGAGTAGGTTAAACGTTGAGTTTTATAAGGGCACCACGGGGTGACCACCCCCTCCCCACCAGCCCCACCCCTCCCACCGCCTCCCCACCCAACCCCTCCCCACCCTCCCCTCCCAACCCAGCCCCTCCCCACCCAGCCCCACTCCATCCATTTTTTGATGCACGACGAACGGACACAATAATCCCCTGTGGGCTGGAGGAACCAGGTGGTTCCTACCAGTACTATCCTTACTGTAGTTGTCTTTATTGTAGGGGGATGTTTGTTTATAAGCCTTAACAATTGTAACAAAACACAGTACAGTATAAGTGTGTAACTATGTATTTATAGATTTGAGGGTGTAGATGTAAGTTTTATTTCTGGTCATGCAATCAGTGGAAATTAGTGTCTGAACCCTAGTTTAGCCGAATGTGAGTCAGCTTAGCTTTAAAAAAAAACTTGGCGTGGTGGGTGCCAAAGGCGGGTGGACACTCTCTAGAAGACATCCACCACGCAAATTGAGAAATTAAATCACGTTGTGTGTAGGAAGTGCTGTTGTTTGCACCGCAAGACTATGACAGATGGCGAAGACTTGGGAAGCCATTAATTCAGGTGATAGATCATGGAATCTGATGATGTGTGCATGAGCGTCAGCATCAGGACAAAAATGGCATCACCCTCGTGTGCGTCACGCAAGTGCTGAACGCACTTACCGCACTTGTGTGACCAACCTATGAGATTAACACGGGAATGTAAGGGCGAGTGTGGGGAGTGTGGAGAGTGTGGGGAGTGTGGAGAATGTCGGGGGTGTTGGAGAATGTGGCTATGAGCCCACTTGCTGCAGGAAATACCTTATCGAGACTTTGAACTCCTGCTGCGCCTGCACAATAAAGCGGCTGAGCACCTCACTCGGCTGGTAAAATCCGATGAGCAGTACCTCCTTTAGGTTCGGCACCTTACTTGCCCAAAAAAGGAGATGAGGCAAAAGTAAAAAAAAACAATTATTATCATTACCATCAGCACGCCAGCTATTGCATGGCAGTAAATGGGTATACATAAAACTCCTTACAAGACACTCTTCAGCAATAGTAAGTATTTGAATGGTGTTTGCCTTTGTTTACTTTCTCGAAAGATTGTCTCACCTGACTGCAGGCCTCGATGTGGTGTTGGATGATAGGGAATCCAGCCACAGGAAAGAGCGGCTTGGGCACATCGAGTGACAGGGGACGAAACCGCGTGCCTGTCAGAACGCAGCCGGGGTGGTGGTGGTAACCATAAAGGATAGTGGGACATTCATGGTAGAAATGGGAGATATCGCAAGGGTTGTTCGTTTGGGTGGTGATTAGGTGTTGGAAAAGTTATGGTATTCGCCGATGGCAGTGATCACAGAAGGTGATCGTGAGGTTGGGAGAGGAGTTTGCGTTTGACGGCAGGGGCGGTGCGACTATTGTTGCTGTAAAGCGGAGAAAGACAACGCACATCATATGATGCTGCGTTAATTTTCTTTCCTGTTAATGTGACTGACAGTAAAACAAAATACCTAACTGTATAACGTTTTAAAATAATTAGAAGACGATGTGCGCTAATCGCGACGTGAAGTATTGAATGCGTGAATAATTAAGTAATGTATTTCACGAGGCGAGAGCTCATCGGAATATATTATCGATTGCAAGACGATAGACTGGCACCATGAAGTTGTACATGGCAACACAGAATTAAATTGTATTATCGCGTTCTGTGTTATACAAAAGGGTTGTGCGACGGCCTCCTCTTACCTTTTTGAGGGCCTCCGATTAAGATGACAGCCTTGATCATGTCTACGGTGCTGTCAATATTTTCAATGAGTAAACTGGTAATGTTGATATCGCGTCAATACCGTCAATGAACACTGTGACGGTTTCAATGGACGATTACGTCGGTGGCGTTTACGTTACCAACGTGTTGAACAATAGAGGGTGATGCTATCGATATTAATCGACGACGACAATGGCAACTGTTTATGCTAATTCTGATGGTAATTGGTTCTCTTAATTGTCGACGTTTCAAAACTCTGCCGAATTGTCCCCGCGCTCCGTCAACGTGGCCACTTCCGGGACAACACGAGTGACGTCACGCGCCACGGGGCGCGTGCTGCGCCGTGATTGGTCTAATGGTAGTGACGCAGTGGTTGTTCATATTTATACGAGATTTGAAGCTTTCGTGACTGCAAGGATTCATACTCTTAGGTTTTTTCGGTAAAGTCACGTAGGTAAAAAATTATAATAAAAAAAAAAGATTTTTATTTCATTTATTAAATAATATTATAATATTAAAAACATTTATTAGAATTTTATTATTATAAAAACCTAAGAGTACATATTTATACTACTACAGAGTCACTAGAATCACTACATGCTACTTTAGAGTCAGTAGGTACTGCTATAGAGTCACTAAATACTACTGACTCTATTGTATGTAGGGTGTGTAGCTATTTTATGCCTACAAAATAAAAATTGGCTGGGGGGGGGGGCGAAAGATTTTTGGAGAGGGGGGGGGTCGATAATTTTTGGAAACGTTTGAAATCAAATGTTTACCCCCCCACTTTCGATTACTTTTTGATTCGTGCCTTCTGCAAGCCTCTTATAATTTTGTTGACGGACAAATGGACAGACAAACGGAACGTTAGGCTTTCACAATAGCTTAGTATTTGTGTATGTATATGTTATGCTTTTAAGAGAAGACACATTTTGAAATATATTTTCCCTGGGCAAAGCCGGGTACTTCTTGCTAGTATTTATATATAGAATGGTTTCACAATCAGAATATGTTGTAGCTGCTCACCCCGAGCTATAAATGTCCTGATTTGTGGGTTGCCTTTGTTGTTCGCCTTTTGGCGTCCTCTGGTCTGACACTGGTAGTGAGACTAGTCCCTGAATAAGGCTGTCTCTGGTGTAGGCCAATCAGTTTTAAAGATAATGCCATGTTTGTTTTCATGTTCACCACAAGTATGTGTGGTTAATGCAGACATGATTCCTTGCAAAAGGTTTCTGTTTGCTATTTGAACATCTTAACATATTTTTTATTGCCAGAAAGGGTAAAACCTATTCTTATTTTTTCATAATCAGAATATTTATTTAGGCTGGAGGAATCCGATGACCTCTACAGCTCTTTTCCGCAGATTTCCAGTAGATTTAAAGGTGTTCACGTGCATGCTTGAAGGAGGAGGGGCCTGAATAAACTTCCACAAGTATTGTAATGTATCTGTCCGACCAATTAGGCCGTTTATTTGAGTGCAGTTCTTCAAACTAATTAGGGTAGCCAAATTAGTCGAAAATTAATGCAATAAAGAACGTGTTTTTGTTCCCTCCACAGAAATCTCGCAAGAATGTACAGAATGAATGGTGAGTCACGACATGCTGTGACTCCTGTATGACATGTTTCCGTGAACAATTAGAGGTTTAAAAAAGTAGAATTGGTAAGTTTCAACATATTTTTTAAGAAAACAAAAACTAACACTAGGAGTTTCCTTTTCAACGGAATCCTGGGTTTAAATGTGTGAGTGAACATTTCAAATCCACTATTGGATGAGGGCTTCCCCACGTCCGGGTGGCGTGGAGTTATTTGACCACGTTTGTCACTGCGGGTTGGTGAAGATAGGTAAAACTAAACTGTCAATTCTATGCGTAAGCACAAACTAAGCAAACTGGTTAAAAACACATTCCTGCGGAGGGAGCTGGTAGGAACGTTGGGTTGCTCGGTCAATGGCCAGGGTCAACGGCGGCGTGGTGTATTCCGCAAATATGCCCGACTGTGAGGGCGGGCACAAGCCGGCGTGAGTAGGTTAAACGTTGAGTTTTATAAGGGCACCACGGGGTGACCAGCCCCTCCCCACCCTAGCCCCACCCCTCCCACCCCCACCCAGTCCCACCCTCCCAACCCTCCCCACCCAGCCCCTCCCCACCCCCTCCCCACACCCCTCTCTACCCAGCCCCACCCCTCCCATTTTTGGGTGCACAACGGACGGACGGACACAATAATCCCCCGTGGGCTGGTGTAACCAGGAGGTTCTTACCAGTAATATACCTTTATTTAGTAGTCCTTAATACCCACCACAAAATACAATCTGAATGACATAGATTACGCACGTGATTCCATTTAATTCCCATTTGAACTACGAAAGGGTTTGCATTTATTTACGTAGGTTTTAAACATAATTTTAAAACAATTATAAGGTTGACTATCCTCCCTCTATCATCCCCTTTTTGCTATAGTTGCTCGGTATTTATTTGCTAAATAGTTAATAAAGCCTTCAAGAATAAAGATGGTGGCGAGACAAGCGTGTATGTACGTGTACAAACAGCTCTTTTGTCAACGCATCCCCATGTCTCGATTATACTTGAATTTGACTTCACCGCACTGGCCAATGTGAAATTCGAATGTCGTCTCTTTGCAAGAGACCTTGTTTGCAAATGGAAATTGGTCTCGGAGAAACGGTCAAGCACATCCACGTGAAAAGCAACACATCTTCAAAAACCTAACAGGTTAATGAGAAAGTAATATAAATAAAATGTGGTTCATTATATCATGACCCCTGATTAATAACAGTATATCTTCTTCTTCTACTCAGCGAACTACAGTACAATCTAAATTGATTTAACAATGGCAATAACTGAAGTAAAATCGTATAAAATTAGTTAGCTAGCTACCCTTTAAAATGATTGCAAGTGCAGTACTTTATCCCAGGTCTCCATAACAAAAAACGTATCTAACCATGAACGGATACTCTGACCGCACCATCCACCAAGCTGTTTCTCCCCCCATACAGAAACAGCCACATGAAACTCCGATCAAAACTATCACGTTACCATACATAGCAGGCGTGACCAAAAAGATCTCCAAAACTCTAAACAAACATAAGATTCAAGTCCGATTCAGTACAGTACATAAAATCCGTGACCTAATTCCATCTGTGAAAGATGTCATTCCTGACTTACAATACCCTGGAGTCTACAAACTGAGTTGCAGTTGTGGTGATTGCTACATTGGAGAAACGAAACGTCATGTCTCTGATCGTGTCCGCGAGCACAATTCAGATCTGAAACAGGGCAGAACTGATTCTTCCGCCGTTGCCGATCATTGCTACAACTCGGTGGGCTTTCATGAAATTGTCTTTTCCGAGACTAAGCTGTTCTGCAAGCCTCCTGGCTACAATCAAAGGTTTGTACACGAGGCCATCCAAATATACAAACACAGACATAATTTCTACCATGATGATGGGTACAAACTTAGTAATCATTGGAAAGATGTTATTAATCATGCAAAAAAGATTTAACTACACATATTTGGAGCATTCCTGACAGCGATTTCAGCCGCACCACCCCTACATAATAATAGGCTCAGTCAACCAGACGGTTCCGCCTGAAGACGGAAGCTTGTGTTGCCTCCGAAACGTCGTGATTTTTTATTTTATTTTAATTTTACTTTAATTAATTTTTTACCTACGTGACTTTACCGAAAAAACCTAAGAATATGAATCCTTGCAGTCACGAAAGCTTCAAATCTAGAAGTATCTAACCAACTTAACAATTCCTACCAATTGACGATCCTGTCTCCCAATTGGCATATACAAATGAGAGTGAAGGGTTTGATTCACGCATTCTCGTTATGTAATGCCTATTGTCACGATTCATGTCACTTTTTGATTGGGTTAACTTTTTTTGTCCAGTTTTTATCGTCTCAATTGTATTACCCGATTTGTTTTCTTTATACATACAGTCTGCAATTGATCACACATTAACGATTCCATGCACGTATTGTGACGTTAAGAATATATAGAATTGCTCAAATCAATGCTGATAGCTGGTGGTAAAGACCTAATGTCGAAGTGGTAGACACGAGAAAGAACGCGACTGAGAATAAGTGAATAGCTGGAATTAAGCAATTCAATCAGCAGGTGCCGTTTTCGATCACCGATTCTGAACTAGTGATCGTTGCCAGTGGAATGTTCGCAATTCATGCCCTGATTGGCACTCGGTATCGCACAAACGACACAGCCATCTCCATCACCGAGCGCTATATTGGCGCACGGTTATCACTTAAAAAGTATAAACCCTGGAAAAGGTGAAACCCTGCAATTGCTTGCTCACGCCACTGCTGGGGGAAGGGTCTCCGCCACAGGGAGCTCCAGAGCGTATTTGGCCTACTCAGAATCAGAATCTATATTTATCCTGGAGGAATCTGATGGGCTATGAAGCTCCTTTTCACAGATGTCCAGTAGCGGTGGGTCAGCGATTTACATCAACAAATATGTTTTTAAAAAATGGTATTAGAGTAAAATGAAGGAAACGGTAAGCAAGTCTCTAAAAGAAATATTCGTATTTTATTTTTATTTTAAGACATCTTGGAAGAGGTGGACTTTTCCATACTTAATACATATTAATTCAAAAAGTAAGACTTTTTCTGATTAATGTTTTTTTTACTTAAATAGTATTTATACGGCAATCATTCAACAAATACTCTGTCCCAGTCAACTTAACGCTACGGGGAATGTATTATTTCATCGTGATATATCTCATGTGACAACAGTTGTTTTTTCCTTGTTTCTAACTTGTTGCATTGCTGTCCGTGTATTTATATTACTGGTTTTGATTTTGTAATTTTGATGATCCTGGTCATTCTTGCACTTGAGACTCATGATGGTCTCTTGAGTTTTCATCTGGTTTATACCAGGGGTTGGCAAACTGCGGAGCCGCATGTGGCTCTTCAAGGACTGTATTGCGGCACTTGAAATATTGAGGGTTTATTTCTTACCGAATAAAAAAAAAAAATCTAATTCCCGGATGAAGCTGGATGTAATCACCAGCGAAACGCCGTACTCAAATTGTAAAATGTTGTAGGGTTTGCTTTCCAGCACGTGCTAAACCTTACTAATTAGCTGTGTCGGGTGATGGTGCGTACATTTCACATTTACGTTTACGAGATTGAACCCAACAACAACAAAACAACTTTATTACACTACATATTGACTTAAAACTTTTGTGACTGCAGGAATTAATATTCTTTGTTTTTTAGATAGAAAAATAATAAAATGAAGTGAATAAAAAAATAAAATGAAAAATTAACCACTGATGTAGACTGTCGCCTGGTTCTTAATCAGAGTGAGTGTACTGGCAGTCTATAATGTAGACTGTAGCCTGGTTATTAAACTCGGTGAGTATACTGGCAGTCTATAATGTAGACTTATTCTGGTTCATTTCAGTAACACTAATAAAAACGAAATATTATTATTTTATTTGTATTACTGAAAGAACCAGAATAAGTCGACATTATAGACTGCCAGTACACTCACCGAGGTTAATAACCAGGCTACAGTCTACATCATAGACTGCCAGTACACTCACCCAGCCTAATAACCAGGCTACAGTCTACATTATAGACTGCCAGTACACTCACCGAGGTTAAGAACCAGGCTACAGTCTACATTGTAGACTTCCAGTACACTCATCCAGCTTAATAACCATTCCTCTAGTCTATTTAGATTGCCATTACACTCACCAAACTTAATAACCAGGCTACAGTCTACATTATAGACTCTCAGTAAACTCACTCCGATTAAAAACCAGGCTACAGTCTACATTAGTGTTTTTTAAAGTTTTTAATTATTTTTATTCACTTTATTACGCTAATTACTTAGTTTATACTTTACTTTAGTGTTTAAAGTAATGGGTCCTGTATTCTTGGTTCTTTCGGTAAAGTCACGTAGAAGGAAATAATAAAATAATATAAATATAAAACAATATTTTTTATTGTTTTATATATTTTTTGTTTTATACTTATATTATTTATAATTTCCCTTCTATTGTTTTATATTTTTTATTGTTTTATACTTATATTATTTTATTATTTCCCTTCTACGTGACTTTACCGAAAGAACCAAGAATATGAATCCCTGCAGTCACGAAAGCTTTAAATCAAAATTGAATGGCTCTCAATTTTGTGGGCGTGGCTTTCGTCCAAACTCCCGCCCCCTCAACAGCATTGACCCCGCCCCCTCAACAGCATTGACCCCGCCCCTCCCCGGCCGCGGCACCACGTGACCGCCGCTCGTGTGGCCGTCATGGCGGTGTCGTGGTGAGGAGGCATCGTGCGGCACCCCGAGAACGCGGGAAAGTTTGAGAAAGTTTCGGAGTTTATATTTCGCTAAAGGTACGGCGATTATAGATTATATTACCGAGGGAAGGGGGGGGGGGGGGCAAAACAAAGGTGCCGTAATATACTTGTTCAAGTTGAACATTACTGTGTTTGAAGGGGATACAACAAAAATTAAAGCCGGCGGCAGGGCGCACGGGAGCGTCAGACGGCAGGTTTAAAAAAAAATCTGTATTATGTGACTGGGTGTGGGTGTAAGAGTCAAAATTAGTACGAAGTCGGCGTTTAATTGATTTTTACCAATAGTTCCACGCACTTGTACTGGAATTGCAGTGTTGTGTTTCGAATGCGTCGTCTTGGCACGTCAGTACCGGGTTGTGTGTCCATTGCATCGATTCCAAATCTGTTCTCATGCTCGCGCAATGTCTACACTTCACTTCTCGTAATCAGTGGGGTTCGATATCGTTGTTTTGGGTTCGTATAAGCTGTGTGTGCAATATGTTCGGGTAAACAATGCAGCGCCGCTTTTGAAGGCTGTACGCAACATTTAAAATAACAATACCTATTGCATTTATTTTCGATCCTCATTCGGAACAATCGATTCGCGAAAGGGCGAGGCCTTAACATGCCTGTTGCTGTCATTGCGGGCAGAGTTACTGTTCAAAGTAAACCCAGAAGAGGAATAGGCGTGGAACTATCCACCCAGAGACCCGCCCCGCAGGTCGATTTACAAATCGATACGGTTCGGTTTGTACTGTGTATTGTCTCGCCTGTACTGTCAACATTGCTTGCCACTTGTGCATCATCGTCTTCGGCTCGCTTGTACAACAGTACTGTTTGTTTCTATCAAATCTGTAAATGCCGACAAGAACAAGAAATACCGTGATTGTCTCGTGTGTACTGTTTAATTGCTGCTATTTGTACTGCCTCGTATGCACTACGTGGTTTCTAATGTCTAGTGCATCTTCTATGCTCGCACATTTGTACTGTGTGGTTTTTAACCTTCTAGAATGTGCTTTTCTCGTCTTACGGCCTGTACAGACCTATTTTGGCTTTTAGAAAGACTTCGCCTCAAGTAAAAATGCGCACATTTAATAGGAATGATTTCGACACGCAACATGCTTGCACAATATTGTAGCAGTAATTATGCCCAGGTATGCAATAGCATATCCAGACATGCTTTGTTTTCAATGGAATTCTTGTGGCTCCCGTTGACGCATTGTTTAATATTAAATATTGTTATTTGAATGAGGCATGTACCTGGAGATAGGTGTATGAGATCATCCTGGACACTATTCGTCAGTGTCTGGTTAAAACACCTCCAACGATTCTACTCAAGAGTACAAAGGGAAATACAATGTGATCTATAGTGAGATGTTCGTACGGTATTATCCCAACATTGTGCTGGCCATTGCAGTTTTGATTTATGCAACATGTTAATACGGCCACATTACAATACACTACATGCGTGGGGGTCAGTGACATATTTCACATTGTACAACAATGGTTTGTAATGTTAAGGGCTCCCGCACCTCTGATTAGCAAGGTTGGCTACGTACGGTGCAAAATAATTTGCTATGGGTTTCTCTCCGTGTTTGTCACTGATTTTGTTTGTGTCTGTTTCAATTAATGTCTGTCCGTCTCTGCGACTGTATTCATCTTTTAGTCAATCTCTTTGTGTATCTGTCTCTGTCTTTGTGTTTCGGTAGGAATGTCAGTCTGTCTCCTTGGCTTTGACTGTTTATCTAGGGGGTCACCTTCTATCTGCTGGACCCCACTTTGTGTCGACAGCTTTGGTGGAAAAGACATGTACAATGGAAAGAGTTTGAAGCAAACTATGTGCATGAGGCGTATGTAGAAGACAGGAGCAGAGGGATACAATTTAGTGGCTAAATAGATGATGAAATGTGGAAGACAGGCAGAGGAGAATAGGGAGCTCTTGAGCTTAGATCTGAAAAGGGGCTGTAGTCGGCAGTGTGGAGACCACTAGGGAGTTCCTGACGTTCGAGGCAGCCGATGAAAATGAACAACCTCCGTCTAAGCAAGTGCATCGAGAACTGGTCACTTTAGTAGAATATGCACCATTTCCCATGTAGTAGGAAATCTGTCAGAAACCTGATAGCGTTGCTGCCTAGTTGCTCAGTAGGTGAGTGCCTCATTACAAAGTTCACATCGTGATGTGATCCACAACCTAACACTTGGTGGATCATTGTCATCAACAGCATCTGGTCTTTAAGCGACCTTGGATTTTGTGTACTCGTTTGAAGAGCTGTGGTCAACTGCATGAAATAAATTGATGGATGGTTTAAAGCGACAAATCCCTCAGGCAAAATGCTTACATTGATTTAATTTTTTTGTTTTTTGCAACCAGACAATTGGCTCTACACCTTTTTGGACCGTTACCAACATTGCGCCCATTTACTAGCAAGAGGTAAATGAAGAAAATACACTACTTTTTTTATTGTTTTAGTGTTAACTCGCATTAAAATCTCAAGATTTCAGTTATATATTTGTATTTTCACACAATTTTTGGTTCCCACCATTAACACTAGAAATTTACTCATGGCATTTTACTTGTAAGCTTCTTCCCACCCCACCCTCAACCCTTGTTCTGTGGCCCTTCCCATAAGCCCTGGCTGCGAGCCATTAACATACCTCTCCCAAAGTCACAGAGCGTGAATGTTGGGGTGGACAGAGAATGGGTGGCTAATTGTAGGTTGAAACACATTGATACTTAACTGTAAACTGGAAGAACTGTACAATTTTAAAACTATTTACTTTTCATTTGCATCAACTATTGTGTTTTGTACGGGGGTAATGCTCCTGTCATGTAAAAAGTCATTAAATTCATTTTGTTGATCTTAATACTGTACAAGCTATCAAATCTTGGTTACAGTTTCTGTTGGAGACATACATGAAACTACCATAATTGCTGAATAATTATTCCAGTAATATAAACAAAAAGATGGGCCATTGTAATTTGCTTTGGGTGTTTAGTCTTATAATTAATGAAATTCATAGATACCATAAAGTGTCGCCATGTTTTTACTACCCTGTACAGAACTATTTATGTACTTTACGTTAAATATGATTTTCATATTTAACGTCCTTTTATAAAGTGTTGTGCTATTGTGGAGTAGGGCATTAAAACTGCTTACTGCATGTTGACGGTTATGTTTTCTAATCCAGTGATGATTGCGATAGCAATAGATCTGGTTTTTTATTTGAGTCATTATTTAGAGGCACGAACACACTGCACTGGAATTTTCATTTTGGGTTATATAAGAGTTAACAGTATTTTAGAAAGTGATATTTGTGTTTTATTACGCCCATCTTAATATTACGTAAGAACTCTGCTATTGTGTGATAGTTGGTACGTAACAACCTTTTGTAATGTCTCTGTTCTAATGGCGTTGGCACAAAAGCATGTTTAAAGCGTTGCTAATGGAGATCTGTTTGGCTTATTGCCTCATTGACCTAGCAATCTTGGAGAATTACATCTATGCCTAAGTATATCAATTCTCGTGTGGAGTGAGAACATGATTTGGGTTTGTGCGAACATAATTCGATATGTGGGTTGGAGCATAACTTAATGAATAAAGGTATTTTTCACAATGATATATTGACATGGATATACTGTAAATATGAATATCGAAACATATTCCGATTTTGACAATATAGCTAAATAAATTGCCTTGGAGATTTGACTCATGGTAGGAAGTGGAAACATAGTTATGTTTTCACCATAAATTAGACCAAAAGCAACATTCACCATCACATAAAGTGGGCCGTTGTCTAAATAAAGCTCATGTATTCTGAGTCTTGGCATTTATATAGATGCTCTCATCATTGTGAAAGAAAATTTTACATTGCTTGAAAACCGAAGTAATTCACATTTTGTCCAAAAATGTTGGCTAGTCACATCGACATTACTATTTAATCCTGTTGTTTTCCAGGCTATTATTTCTGAAGCATGGAAGTATGCCTTTGTTGTATAAACATGTCGAGTAGTACTGGATGACATATTACTGAGAAATATATTACACGTGGGTGGCTTGGAGTTGGATCACTCCTCATAAAGCACATTGGTTGAGATGCTGTCTTGAGTTTGGCATGCAACACCCATTGTACCTTTAAAAAGGTGCTAATATATTTGTGTAGCATTTTGAGGCTCTTTAAGTGAAATGCAAATAATAGAGATTTGATAATGATTTTGTCTAATCTCTTGGTGTGATTTTATTCTGCGTGTATGTCTCTGAGACAGGTTATGCAGCTGTACTGTGACGCTGGGTGCCCCACAGAGAAAGAGAAGGGCTAAGCGTTCATTCTTCAGCAAGAGGAGAGCATCACGACGACATTTCAGCTGGAACGCTGCTATAAGGCGACACAGACATGGACTCCGGATCAAATACCAGTCCTCCCTACCTCCAGGTAAAGAGCTCAGTGTACTTTCACATGTACTCGTTAAATTGGAGGTTCTTTGTGACTGGATGCATTCTCGTGTTCAAATGTCACTTGTGTGGGCTTATTTATTGCAGTGTGATCTTTTGATATTATTCTGAGCTTGGTTATTGGTTATTAGAGGACTTGGACTGCATGAAAGGTGTGCAATACAGTTAAAAATGCAGTAGTATTTATTGGCTTGCACATGTTCTTCATGAAAAAGTATTTGAGCAGTTGAGTGAATGAAGAAAACATGTTTTTTAATTGCAATAATCGATTCGTAACTCAGCTTTTATATACTCATACATGCACAATGAACTTGCATTGACAATAAATTATGCATTTATGGTATCTAAAAGGGTCTCAACAGCTCTTAAGAAACACACATTTCCTGTTTACTTGCTCAACTTGGTGTTGCAAGATAGACCAAAGTTACGTGCGATATTTTTTTCAGTGGCTTTAATTTTTCCATCTTGTGTAACTCGAAATTTTGTAATTAAGCACACACTTTTTGTCGTGAAGTACAACAATTCTTTTTTGTCATCGGGTGGCAAGGTGATACAGTGGTAACACTTGTGCTTCACAAACAATTACTGGGTTTGATTCCTGACTTAGCACCTTTGTGTGGATTTTGTATGTTCTCCCCCGGGTTCTTCGGGTTCTTCTGTTTCACTGCTAAACAAAACATTACAATCTAACTGGTTTTGGTTGAATGTCCCAATACTGAAAAGTTACCTGATAATTACTCAGTTGAGATTACATGTAACAACATCACCTCCTACTTGGCAGGAACCTCCTGAAAGGTCTTGAGACTCTGAGGCTTTCCTGGGTAAACAAGCCTAATAAAAATGTTAATTGAAAACATTTACTCTTTCTACGTGACTTTACCGAAAGAACCAAAGAGTAATTCCTGCAGCCACGAAAGCTTCAAATCAAGTTTGAAAACATTTAGGCTGTTGGAGCTTATGCATTCTGAATTTCAGAATCTAATATACTCGCTCGGTCGAACATGCTGCTAGGCTGTAGAAAGGCATGTACATTGATGCCTGTGAACTTGTGAAGGGTGAACTTTGAAAGGTGAACTTTTAATAGAACAAGTAAAATATGTCACATGATCCATTGTTTTATAATGCACTTGGCCCTTGGGATCTGTACTGTCATTTTAAACTCCATCCAGCTGTTCAATAATATTTAATTTGTGGAAGATAACTGCAAGTGTACTGCACTTGCTTCTGGCAAAAAACATTTAAAATGTTGTCATGTTGGACTGAGTTTGGCTAAAATATTTTCTCTTAATAATTGGCTAAGCATGATTGTGGATTAGTGACCAGTAGAAAATAGGATATACACAAATTTAGTGTAGTATTGTACTCGTGTGGCATACAATTTTCTTGAGCAAGTATGAGTAAATTATAAATTATTTTTTTCAGCACGGACTTATATACATCAACATCACTTTGACATATAAACCTGATATCTATTAAGCGTATTATTCACCCAATGGATTAGGGAATATTCCAAAGGGTTATCCTATATAATTTAGGTTCAAGGAGGTCATCATCCTCTAATTCAACCTTGAGTCTTATTATTGCACACAGTAGGAATGTTTCTTTGCACAGGTGCAGATTTTAAGGGGCACCAAGAATGTTCCTTTTTTGTCTGCTGCTCATTGCTGTAGTATCAGATTACAGGTATATTTTAAATATTAAAAAGAGTTAACATTTTTGTAGGAGCTGCACATGTTTAATAATGGTCAACTTATTGTATTCAAGTGTGGACCATTAATAAAGTGCTGCATTTTCTCTTGGGGATTCTGAGGTCATTCCATTGAAACCACAACTGGAAACTAAGTCGATTTGAATCATGATTACTAGGCATCATGCACATTAATATAAAAAAATAAGTCTTCTACATACAGCATGTATCCTCTTAAATATTTAAAATTATTTAATGCTATAAAAGTCATGTGCAGGTCCAATAATAATTGTAGATAGACTGCTGGAGGGACAACATATCAAAATTATATTCTTTGGTTCTTTCGGTAAAGTCACGTGACTTTACCGAAAGAACCAAAGAATATGAATTCCTGCAGTCACGAAAGTTTTAAGTCAAAATATTGTTAAATGAGTTGCACAAGAGCAGGTGGGAGTATTTTAGTAAAAATAAGTAAATTGTCATGCAAATAACATTCCAATCTTTCCAATGAAATTGTTTAATCAGTCTCTATTACGTTTAATGACATGAATCAGAAACAAGAACACTTGACAGGAAATGTAATGCAAGCTTAAGTGCACTAAGAAGCATGGACAGGTGCATATCCATGATTACAATGAGCGATAGAGGAACACATGAATCAGATAACATACACAAGTCTGTTAAGGAAAGAAAGTGTGATTGGACAAAACATAGCACTAAAGGGGATGATGGCCACTTATTGTGGTTAATAAAGAGATAGCCAAATGCAGGAATATGCCCAAGAGGACGTCTACCACGGAGATGGAGCGATGAGATTTGCTTGTGTGGAGAAGCTCAATGAAATAAAGCATTCTGTAGCAGTGGCAACAGCTTGTGGACATATTCACTCAGAAGTAGGTAGAGGATAATTGATCATGAGTCTTCTAAAATCCCTCGACAGGAAGATTGGGAAAGTGGCATGAATAGTCAGTGTACCATCTCGCAGTTGTGAATTTAAGCATCTAAGGATGTTTTCCATGAATAAGAATAACAATATTTTGAACATATTTGGAAGCCTTCCATCTGCAAATGAAATATTTTAACACACTCGGTGGGCATGCATCTGTAATGACAGGGGTGACACCTGCCGGCCTGTAGGGGTAATTACGGTTATAACTGCTTTACATTAATGCCTTATGAAGGGGAGTATCTGGGGTAAAGGTCAAGGGCGGAGTCAGTCGAGAAGCTCCGGGAACCAACCCGATGGTTCTGGAAAGGGGGCATGGGCATGGCCAGAGGTGGAGCTTGGACACGCCGGGCAGATATAAGGGGGACCAAACCTGTTTCGGGGCTGTTAGTGTGGGGTCTTGGTCCTGATTGCGTCCCTGCTTATCATCTCTTCCTCTTCGACTATGTGGCTGTTATTCTGCAAGACCAGCTCCCTCGCCCCCCCGCTACGCTTGGCGACCAGCCAGCGTAGAGCAGGACGGAGATGGGCTGCGTGTTTGGACAGCCCGGGTGTAGCCACGTTACGAAGTGTATCGCCCTGTGTGCTCTTAATAAATAAGAAACCTTCTACTAGACGTGGTGTCTGAAGTCGCTCACTACACATCCACAAGTCTTGTGCCCACCAATCCTTCTCTTTATATTACACTTTTCACTCTTAACTACCACTGCTAATTTCACATTATCCCTTGTTACATTTTAAATAATCAAGAACAGTCTCCATGAAATTATAAATTATTACATTGCAGGAGTAAAAAAAAATTCAGCAGCTAGAGGGCAGGAGTGTAGCATACATGCCATTCAGCCATTCATGAGATGTGCAATTGGGAATTAAAAATAAAACTGTATTTGTCAGTGAAGCCCCAAATAAATTAGATAATGATCACACTTTAAATATTCAAGAGTTACTTGGGCTTCTTTTTGAACTATAAATACAAACTCATTGTTAAAAATTATTACTCTTAAAGAACGTAACAAAATACTTGCTGCAGAAACTGGGAATTCATGGTAAAATGTGTTGTTATATATGGGTGGGAAATGCATACTGTCTCTTTTTTCCTATTATAAAAATACTGCAACTGCAAAATAACATGTAAGACCACATCTAGTTGAGCAACTGGTCTATTATTTGTGGTGGAACTGCCATTGTGGAACTTAAATGCAGTGTTGTATTGGATTGTGCAATATCCTGGCACCATACGATTACTGTGAGGAATATGCAGCTTGGCAGGATTCATGCTTTTCTAGAGATTCTGTTGCTGTGAAACAAAACATCTGCTTTTTGTTAATGCGAGGCCTTCATCATTGGCCTTCATAGCTTATTTTGACGTTGAAAGCCAAAATAATAGAACGTTAAGTATCATATGCGGTCAAACTTGTGTAGTTGGAATACAATGGCCATTTGCTGCTGTGATGTTGTACACTTGCTGCATAGGATAATCTTGACACCAGGTTATTATTTAAACTATTGGGTTAATTTCAGCCCTTGTGCACTCAATGTTAATGCTTTGTGCAAGGTCAATGTGCAAGGTCAATATTTGCTTTATCTTAAACTAATTAGTTACATATGTCTTCTAATTTACAGTGGTGAAATGTTTTAAAGCCCCCATCACACTTGCCTGGTAATTCAATAAATTCGCGTTTTTTAGACCCACATTGCAATAAAATGTCTTCTGTTTGTAACATACGTGTGAACAGTTGCACCTGTAGTGACTGCACACACTTTCTAACTTCCTGTGTTTATCAGTGATTTGTGCATTGTCAACTGCTGAATTAATCTTTTATCAGGTTTTTTTTACACTTGTACTCTGATAACACAGATCTTAACTCATTTTGGTTAATTGTAGGCCGTAGCTGACTATCTCTGCTGTAAATGGTGTGTTGTGGTTGATTGAGATGCGTAACATAAACATGCATTTAATCCAGATATTTCAGCTTGTAATATAGTTTTGTCAGCTCTTTAAAAGGTTACCTTTGAAATTGTTCTAAAATGCAAATATTGGCTGGATATATATAAACTATTATGTTGCGAGGTCATCAAGTATGTGGGATACAAGGACTGGTGTTTTCGGTGTCAACGGGAGTGTAATGTTGACTCAACATGCTGACATACCATCTTTTCTGGATTGTGCAGACTGTTTAATGTTTTACTCTTATTGCGTCATGGAATTTTTTGAATTCTTTTAGAATGAAGACCAAGTTTTTAAGTTTGCCATGCACTCATTGGAGGTGATGAGATTTTAATTTTAACATAAATAATTCATAAAAAATGTTAACCGTTTCATCAAAGTTTGCTTACACTACCTTTCATGTATTTTCGCAATCAAGTAATTGAAGCATGCACTTTCAGACGGTGGAGGGCATGGTGTCTCAGCTTTCTCCACGGGCCGCCAGCAACACCATGAGGGCTGTGGATGAGGAGGACCTTGGTCGGGTGCTGTCCCGGGACCGCTCCTTCGACACGATAGTGCGCACGGCGCATGAGTGCCCCGTCTCGGAACGGCTTGGCACATATGATGAGGCAGACTTTGAGTGTATGTCACCCCTCCCACATTTAGATATGTTAGGGAAGGGAAAAAAACCCCATATTACACTTGCAGCTCATGTGCATTCCATATATGCATTCACATGAGTTGTAATGCTAGTTTAATGCTTTAAAGTATAAAACACATGTAGAATATTTGTCTCTGTTCAGGGCTGTAAGTATAAGTCAGCAATTCTCAGGGAGACACTGACCTTGACTGTACACAAAATTATTAATACATTCTTTCAGTATTTGCACACAGCATATAAATGTCAGAAATGTTTACGGAGTTGTTTTGGCTTAAATGTGCAGGCTTAATCACCTTATGCTTTTTTGCATTTTCAGCCTTTTTGATAGGACATTTAACTTGCTCTCACAGCCTACGTTCTTGGTATATTTTAATGTCTTGCCCCTGTTGTTGAACATTTATGTGCATAATAGTTGACTTAGGTGCCTATTCACACATGTTAGTCATGTCATGAATGAAATGATGTTCGTCAGTTCAAAACGTTGTGTTTTTCCTGCAGTTCGTCGCCACTCTTCACACCACATTCACCATCCGCTGTCCTCGCTGCATTCCAACCGCTCATCGCAACGCCGCAAGCGCTCCTCGGCCCGCACATCGACCAGCTCTGAATTGCCTGAGGGCAAACCTTTGGTCCCGAATAGTGCAAAGAACTTACAGAACTATGGTGGGTTTTGTGCACTCTGCATGCTTACTTATTTTGAAGACGTGTGACTATATTATGCATATTGTGTGCACCATGGGTTTATTTGAATTTTAGTGATTAGAGGATCGATCCTTGTTTATGCATGCAACCCAGTGACTTGCAGTTGTTGTGTAGTTTAGCATTGGCGAGGAAGATGCGTTCGAGGATGCCGTGCATAGCTCCCCGATGGCTGGCGATGGTGACCCTCCACCTGCAACAACTGGGACTTCGGTGGAAAGTGCCAATGAGTGAGCACCATTACAACTTAACCTCAACTTTGCTATGCTTTACTATACAGTACAAACATCACCATACTAACATCTTTGCCCAATCATTTAAGCATTTATTAACATTTCAAATAAAAATCAAGCAGTCTAAACTTTCATCCGTTATTTGTATCTTAATCTTTTGAGCTTTCTTGGTGTGTGTATATGTGCTTGTATTAAGCGGTGGTGTAGCGGTTAGCGCACTGCGCTATGAACCTGGCGACCCGGGTTCGATTCCCGCTCACGGCTAACACCAGTGACGATTATCTGAACCGGTTCTGGGCCTCCCCTAGGTCGACTCAGCTTTAAATGAGTACCTGGTGCGGTGTGTAAACATAGCCACTGGGGAGACAAAGGCGGTGGGGCGTGGTGCTGGCCACCCACCCCCTCGTGTACTGTTCTGGCCTTCATAGGTGCTCGCTAACAGCACTTGCCCCTACAGTCTGTTAAGGCTATACGAGGGATCTTTATCTTTGTATTTTGTGTGGGTCTGCCCCGTGACCTGCCAGCGGGCGTTCGACACTTCACGTGGCCTCAAGGTGCACTTGGCCTGGCACAAACGTCGTGGTGATGTCACCGCCACTTAGTGGCGAATGGCGGTTGTTGTTGTTGTATTTTGTGTGTGTGTTTGATGCTTGGAATCCCATTAGCACATATGGTACACCGAGCTGCAGTTATGACTTGAGGGAGCGGCGACGCATCGGTAGCATGACAACTGGAAAGGACGATCGCTATGCACATGTCCCCACGGATGAAGTCGAGGCGAGCACACTTGGCAACTACGACCTGGACGACATGAAGAGTAAGTCACCCTAGCCCAGAGCTCAGTTCTTTGTCCCAAGGTGTAAAAACCCTGAATGAAAACTTGTTTTCACGAGTTATTGATCCTAGTCTCTGGCACTCAATCTAGGTATAGCACATAGTGAGCCTCTAACACTCGCTTTTTAAGCCCATGTTTTAAGAGCTAACCCGTTGAGTCAACGGCGCTATTGTGCCGTTGTAATTCAAGATGCCATTATTTAGTACGAATACTTTATTGTATAGAATGACTTGATTGAATAGGATATCCTGGTTAACTTGCAGTCGTAGGTTTTCGAATAAATGCAGGTCATTGGTCTCTGAGTAGGGAACACATTTTTGGATGAATGAGGCTGTACAGAAATAATAATGCAAAGAAAATGTTTGCTCACTTGGATAAAAAAAATCCACTTGTATAAAAATCCCCATAAGTTGTGTTACTGTCAATACAATTTACATAGCTGTAAATGATAACGTTTTACCATAAGCAACATTGAAATATGCACAAATGCAGATGTTAATATGCTAGTACAGGAACATGAATTTGATGCGAATTGTAATATTTGTAATTTCATGTTTTAATGCTGCCCGACCAGAGATGTGGAAATTCCAGCACTGGTTAAGGGCTGCCAGGAAGAGGAAAACACCTCTCCTTGTCCATTGAGTTGGAGAACACTTTGACTTTAATTTCAACGTATAATATAATATTCCTGTAGTTGGAATGCCGATGAATTGATGTCTGTCTTGATTATTTGGTTGTATGTTCAACAATTACAGCTGCATTATAAATCAAACATGGGATTTGCTGCAGGAAAGCAGATGTTGGTGCTGCTCTTGCAACAATACATTTCATTAAAGCATGAACTAATTGCCAGTATTGGTTATATTAGGTGTTTGATGTGGTTAAGTATTGATGAGAACTAGAATTTCATTGCCATCACCATGAGCTGACCCCACATGCAAGGGAATTTTTGTTTTAATGCAACAAAAATTCACCCCCTATAAGCCAAGCTGTTTTTGTTATGTAGGTAGCTCATAGAATATCTAGTTTTTTAATATAAATTCTATCTTTATGCTTTGTGATTGTGTGTTACTAAATTCCAACACCATCATTGTCAGTCATCTTTATAATGCACGAGTCACAATTGACTACCATGCCTTCTTTAATGATTCCCTTTTAGCTGTACCGTTATGTATGTTAAACTTCTTTCGCACCATACGTAGCCAACCATGCTAATCAGGTGTGGGAAAGGACAACTAAAAACAAAAAGCAGTTATAATTTAATGAGTTAGATTTAAAAGAGCATAGCTCCAGTTGCATCCCAATATCGGAAGGATGAACGTTCCAGATGGCCACAGAAGCGCATCTGAAAGCGCGCGATGCAGTGACCATCTTTGTTCGATGGCTAGCTAGAAGTTGCTGCGAGGATGACCAGAGTTCACGTGATGGTTTATGCTTCTTTAAGAAATCAGCAAGGTATTGTTCATTTGCGGCAAGAACTTTGTGCGTAATGAATGCAACCTGATAATGTATTAATTCGGCAACCGGAAGCTAATGCAGCTTGGCGAACACTGGACAGAGATGGTCGAATCTTGCAGTACCCATCACGACACGTGCCAAATAATTCTTTACACGCTGCAGCTTGAAATAATGGTTATCAAGGGTGATTGAGTCTATTTTGAAGTGTGTGCAGACACCAATTTAAACACTTGAAAGAGTTTAGTAGACTATCTGGATTCTGAACAAAATAATTGACAGTGATATCACTGGCAATTTTAATGATACATGTAATCCCTTGTAACTTTAACATTTTCCCCAGTGGACCTATTTGTGTGTGGAAGCCAATTTCTGAATTCTAAAATACAGTAATTTACATTCTTCCAGTAACTTGGCTTTTCATAGGAGTGTCCTCATTAAGCTTTGATGCATGGATAGGCATACATGGATTTCTGGTATTGATGGCAGATATTCACAGAATGGTGGGTAGGGGTTTGTTGGCCCTCAGGGGGAAGCCCTTCACATCCCTAATGAAGGTTAACAGTAAAGTGAATGCACAGCAGACTATGTGCACACGTCTGTCGACAAATAGCAACATTTAGTCCTGTTATATATTTTTTCGGGTCTTTCGGTAAAGCCACCTGATGACGATTGCTTGCGTTGGGATTGAAACGTCCTGATATTTGTATTATTTTTTTCTATCTACGTGGCTTTACCGAAAGACCCAAAGAATATGAATTCCTGCAGTCACGAAAGCTTTAAGTCCTGTTATATAGTTTGGCAATCCATTGCATTTGGATGCTGCCATTTCAATATATTTAGACTTAAAACTTTCGCGACTACAGGAATTCATATTCTTGGTTCTTTCGGTAAAGTCACATAAATGGAAAACAAAAAATCTAATAAAACCCATGACGTTTCGATCACAACACAAGCAGTCTTCTCTCCGCCTGATGAACACCGCTTGTGTTGCGATCAAAACGTTGTGGGTTTTTTGCTTTTATTTAAAAAAAATTTTTTGACATTTACGTGACTTTACCGAAAGAACCAAGAATATGCATTCCAATATACATTTAGAAAACTGGATAATCGAATTTGATAATGCACTTAAAATAAGGCTTCCAGCTGATTGGTAATATTTGCAAAGGAATAGCGCATTTTGAAAATACTTTTCTGTCTACTTGTTTTATCTTGCTCAAATCCTGAACTTTGCCTGTTGCCAAGGTGAGTGTGCCATGAATAAAAGCTTGATACATGTCTGCATGTTTTCCCTACACTGCTCATCTACCATCCCCTCCAATCAAGATGTCAACTTATATATAATAGTAATTAGTTACTTAATTATCCAGGAAAGCCAGACTGGGTCATATTGCTTTTTTGGGAGGGTTCTGCATTGGGCTTTTATTTTCAGATGTATTCGGCCAATAAATGAGTGTTCATACGTGTGGCAAGAAACTGCATCGCCTGGAGAAAACCTACACCCGTAGGGTGGCAACACTGTACAGATGGAAATACATGGCGATTAGTCTTTTCCTGGTGAGCCAGGTTATGGGAACTCGACACCCACAGGAAAGAATTTTCACAACATTTGTGTAATCCACCAAACCTTGGCTCCGCAAATGCTGATGGATTACAGATGTGCAGCAGCACCATATGACTGCATTCACTTGCATGTATTAATATGGTTCCATTCTTATTTTAATGCATGTGCGGCTTGATCAGTCTGTAACGATAGTAAGCTAGGGGCGATGGAAGCATTGCAAACCCTAGTGGTCATGAGGTACACGTCATGGAAAATGGGTTTGATCAATAAAAGCGATGCCCAATGTCCAGACGGGTGGTCCAGGGAGTTAGGATGGCTTGGTAGTTCGTATAGGTCGCTGTGAGTGCAGTTTAGACACATGGAGTATTTTGCAGCAAGAGGTTGTAGGGTTGTTTTGGATGAAAATTGACAAGATTTTTCAGCATTTGGAGCATGGGAGTTGGAAAAACACATTCCAACTCAGAGGCTTGCAGAGATACAATTTCAGGCAAAGGACAGTTAGATTTGGTGATTGAGCTACATTCATGTTTTTCTGATGCGGAGTGGCAGCTGTGGACATGAATATAAGATTATTCATTAAACAAATGAAAAAGCTATTGGGAAATGCTAGAAAAATAGATAAGTAATACAATTATATATTACCAATAAAGAGATTACTACAAACTCTGCTGTGGGGCTTTAAAAATACAATCTATTTTGATTATCAGGATCATTTAAATTTCATCATTCATTTAAGGAGATAAAAGTTGAGTAGAAGACAGCAGTTTTCTTTTGGGAAAGAAAAAGCAACATTGCAATTTCGTTCATTGTTCGGGTGGCACCCGGGTAGTGAGTGGTCCCTCAGGACATGTCTTTGCGTCACCGGCTTTCGGTGCCGTCAGACATGGGAGTGATAGCAGAGGGAGAGGAGACTGCTGATGAGCTAGAGGTCATGGAGTACGGACAAACTAATGCCGGCATTGACACAGATACAAACTCAAACACACATTTAGACACAGGCCAGGATAAAGACCGATACAAGAACATAGGCGGATGCATAGGGACAAGTAAAAACAGCGGCAAGGTTAAACGAAAAGAACGACATGGGTACAAGGAAAATGAAGGGTGTAAACTTGAAAAAGCTGTGAGAGGGACAGAGGAAAGCAACCTGGTTACAATGGTGCCAGAGGGTGACGGTACAAGGGCAGAAGGAAGAACATTTACGCGCCAGGTCGTCGAAGATGGAGATTCAGACAGCGTGTTTGGAGCCATGAATGAAGACTTTGACGAGATTGTCATGGACTTTGAGGTCAATGATCTCTGGGAAGTTTTCAAGGAGTATCTGGGGCCCAATCCATCATGTGAGTGATTACTTGTGATTTTGAGTAATTAACATTTTAAATACATTTGTTTCTATTTGATTATTGATTAAACTCATTAGCCTAAAAATTGTGTAGAGTGTGTAATGTTACGTCTTTTACTTGTATGCTGCTGTTCCTCAGAATTGTGGGTCCAAATAGTGATATAAACTAGTGAACTATTCATTAAGACATTATTTTGTTATGATGGAGGATTTGTTTTTTTCGAAATAATGTATAGCCCTTTGTTAATCCATTGCTAAATGAAGATCTCCCCCATCTGTGTCAATCATAGGGGTTGGTCATTGTCGGTTTGGTTGAGATGTCCCTCGCCTTATGTTAGCCTATTAGCAAGGAATGAAACTGACATCGGTGGGTTCGTAGCACATTGCTTGTACGAACCACTGGACCGCTGCTCCCTCCACTATAAGAAGTGGATTTTATTGTTCAGAATGTTACATGTTAATAATAAGTACAATTTAAAACCTGCAATGTCATTATTTTAAGTAGGCTTTATTCATAAAAACAGCTGGGTTTTGCCAATAGAGACCATGGAAAGGTGTCTAAATAGCAGTGTTTACAATTATTTTAGAGGCCAGAGATGGAAAGGTGTATGTTAGTAAGCAATTGTTTTTTCACATTGCATCTAAAATTCAGGTGAGACATGCCAGACACAACAGTTATGGTTACATTTACTTGAGGGCTACATTGTATGTGTACGAGTTGTGGATATCAATAGCCATGACACTGATGGGCAAATTGCATATTATTCATAAAAACATCCTGTCATTGTTAGATAGCAACCATTTTCTTTTGATTTACACATCAATGTTTTATCTATACATTATACTATACATTAGATAAGCTAACATGAAATATGCATAACTAGTTGTAAAAACAACAATATCAGTAGTTATATTTGTTAGACTTAGACTGAACTCCCTTCATTTAGAGTCTAATTTACTGTAAACTTGTGATGTTTACAGGCATGTTTTGTACGCTCAAATAAGTTTGCTAGTAAACGTAGCAGTTTTACGAACAATGTATTCAAAATAGATGTCTACAGGATAAAGCAGGATAGGGTTGGCTGTGTGTATGTGTTTTAGAGCTCTATAAAAGAGAGATGCGCTATCCAAATTGGTAGAACCTCAAGCAGGAGCTGTAGCAGGTAACTGAAATGTCTGTGGCCTGTGTGTATATGACAATCAGTCAACGGTATGTACAATGTTTCAGTGTGAAAAATTGCATCTGCATTGTTTTTTTATATTGCTATTCTGTAGTAATTACACTGTATTTTTGCAAATTAGCTCCTCTGCTCTCTCCATCAGTATTCACGTCCTGTTTTATTGCATGAACAAATAAAAAAAAATGCATTTTATATATCATTCACCATGTTCTGTCCACTGCTGGATGAACATCTCCCCACTTCATCGCTGTCCCTTATGGTCCCATGTTCCATAATCCACTTTTCTACTATAAATGAGATAATCTCATTGCTCCATCTCCTGGTGATAGTCGTATGGGGGACGTTTTACCTGCGATGGTCCATCACTAATCTCATTGGTCAGCCATCATCCCTTTCAGGGATGTGTTCTGCCAAAGCTTAATCATTAACAGTCAATATGTCTTTATTTTGGGTTTGTTTTCTGCTCCATTTGTTACTATTTAAAGCACACTTTTCAGCATTTGTTCCACTTTCTATGTCAGTGTCCATATTTCAGTTCCATATATCATATCAGGTAACACATATCATCATTGACAAATTTCATTACAGACACTGTTATGTTATTTTAATGATAAAATTCAAAGTTTAGAAAAAATTAACCTGCTCTCACCTTTTTATTTCATTAATGTATTTCCAGTCCACCTTGAATATCTTCTTGTGGTTTCCAGTTCGCTTAAATTATGTTTTGTTGATTGAACTTGTGCATGAATTTATTTCATTTTTTTATTAAGTACAACAATGCACAGCCATCTTTGTTTTTTCAATAATTTATAATAAGTAATTTCCATTGTGATAATAACTGTCTTCAAATCCTGATATGGTTTTACTTTCACAATGTAAGCAACATATCTTTAATTGGAATCGTTTTTCTCCGTGTGTATATCATTGCTGGATTCTTCTGTATTTGTACATCATACAATTTCAATGTAGCGAATCCATTTTGGGTGATTCTTTACGTAGTTATTTTTTTAAGTGTTTAAGTTTGGATGACTACCTTAATTGTATTCTCAAACCTAGTTGATGGTTGGTTTGTGGTGAATGGTAGGTAAAAAAATACACTTTCCTGAACATAGCTTTCTCACCTGGTTGAGCTTCAAATTGTCTGTTATTCCTTCATCTATTGTCTTGGACAATTTGTACGTGTGTGGAAAAAGTAATGAGTGTAATTCTTTAAATAACTTTGGTTATCCTTTTTAATAGAAAAATCATTTGTGTCATTTAAAAGTTTGCGTATTGCATTAATTTAATATGAACAACAAAATCTCAAATGCTCTGCACTGAAATAGTCCAGTGCAGTTTTGTGTCAGGAGCTTATTGTCTGAATCATTGAATGATCATGTGGAATGCTGACCATTAATTCCTGAAAATCTAATTTAAATAGCATGAAGGTTTTGGTAATTCTGAAATTTACTACAGTATGAATTTCATTTGTATACATTGTTTACACAATTACAAAGGACTGGATTATGGCATTTGACATTGACTGACGTGTGAAATATGTAGTGTTAATGATCTTAATCTTTGTTTTTTTTTGGTGAAGTCACGTAGGTAAAAATTTTTTATTAAATAAATCAAAACAAATTAATTTAATCACGACGTTTCAGGCGCAACACAAGCGTCCTTCAGGTGGGGACAACGTAGCGAAAGCACAACCACTTAAGTGTGTCAGACACAAGTGTGTCAGACACACTTAAGCGCTACTTGTGTCAGACACACTTAAGCGTGTGTGCTTTCGCTACGTTGTCCCCACCTGAAGGACACTTGTTGCACCCGAAACGTCGTGATTTAATTTATTTGTTTTCATTTATTTTTTACCTACGTGACTTTACCAAAAAAACCAAAGAGTATGAATCCTTGCAGTCACGAAAGCTTCAAATCTAGTGTTAATGATCTTCCCCCTGTCCTGCAGGCCATCGTTTGGAAGACGTTCCAGGCGTGCGACGCCACCTCGTCAGGAAGTCTGTTCACTCTTCGCGTGGGAAGGGAGTTCATAAGCTGTCAGGACGTAAAAAGCTGCACGACCGCCGTCCCCACGAGGTAACTTTTGCGATAAATGTCCCTTTTGACTCCTGAAGTTAACGTCTAGAATATTTTCTCTCTGACTTACTGCTTTTACTATGTTCAGGGCATGCTTATTAGTTGTCTTCACATTGTTTCCCCTTCATAGATTATTCGATCAAGTTATCAAACTACAACCTTTCGACTATTTTCATTCACAATGTACGAACTATTTTTCAGGATTCGATAGGTATTTTGTATCCAAACACACCCATCATTTGGAGATGCTTACTAAACAGCAGGGAGCAAGCTGGGCGGTGCCCTCTTACATTAGAACGGTATGCCACTAATGTAGTAGGTATCAACAATTTGGAGGACAGATACTATCTTCAATACCAAACTTGTCCTTCAGCTGGTATATACATAGATCTAATATACAGTATACATATTACTATATTATAAATAATTGTGCTCTTATCCAATTACTTTAATATGAAGAAAAAAGGTGTTTCATAAAAATAATTTAGGATAAAAAACATTTTACATTGACAATTTTGAAGTTTTCTGCTTCCATCTATTATTTTCTTGTTTATTTTTCATGATGTTTTTGTGTTCTTATTTGCGGCTTGCTACCTCAATTCCTTGCCAAAAAGCTTTCCACTCGCTGTAAAGCGAGAGGTTTCTCCTGCCGAAGGTTTCCTCGCTCCCAGTTCTGCTACCCTCTCAGTGGCTCTCCTCCCTTCTTCCTGACGCTCCCTGTTCGTCACATTCCTGTAAGTCCTTCTTTTTCTGTTGCTTGAAAATGCATCCTTCCCAATCGATCCCTCAAGATATGCTAACCTTACAGCATGATTTTTATGGTATGATGTGCTTTGAGATAAATTATGGCATCACTTTTTTGTGAGAAATGTTACATTTTAAAGCTGGTAAAATATTGTTAATTTATTACTTATATCAAAGAATATTGTTCGTTTTGAAATGTTTTCTCATGGATTCAGTATTATGACTGGTTTAGGTGGAGTTGATTGTGTTCAAATATAGAATTTTTGCACATTTTGCATGTGTGTGCTGAATATGGTCTTTTGCATTCATGCAGGTGTTTGTGGAGCTGAATGAGCTGGTAATGGACCCGGCACGTCAAGAGCGACAGTGGAAGGAGACCGCACGGTGGATAAAGTTTGAAGAGGACGTGGAAGCTGAGACAGACCGATGGGGCAAGCCACATGTCGCTTCGCTGACGTTCCGTTCGCTGCTTGAACTACGCAAGGCCATTTCACAAGGTAAAAGATCCACTAAAAGCATATTTTATAATGCATTGCTAATCACTGAAAATCAGCCTACCTTCAACAACCATATTTCATGTTTTTTTATACTCTATGTAATGTGTACTGCAGATAATTTATGGCTTAATCAGCGACTTGACCATTGTTTACAAACACACAATCGGTGCCCTCTCTTCTGTTTCCTCAATCACCACTTTTCAAATGTATGTAGCCCCCACCATTCCAACTATTCTCTGACCAGTTAACCTGTGGGAATGCTCATGAACACACGCCCATATCATATAAGAATGATCAAACACTCTCACGTATTTACATGACCTTTTACAGGCACCGTACTTCTTGACCTGGAGCAAAAGACGCTACCCACCATAGCGCACCAGGTGGTGGAACAGCTGATCATCTCGGATCAGATCCGTGAGGAGGACCGTGCGAACGTACTTCGAGCCCTACTGTTGCGGCACAGGTATGTGATAAAGATGGTACTATAAATCTGTGGCCAGGAACGTTTTTGTTGTTTTGTTTTGCCTGAAGCGAGATTGTTTTTTCTGAATTTGCACAGGCATCCAAATGACATGAAGGAGGTGCCAGTGGGTTCCTTTTTACCACGCAACATCTCTGCGACAAGCTTGGGCTCCCTGCTGGCTGGAAGTGGAGGAAATGGAGGGGCAGCAGGGGATCCAGCCTCCAGCCAGCCTCTCGTGGATAATGTGCTAATCGAGATGGGGGAAGCGGGTGACCACGAAACACCAGAGGTGAGAGTATGTAAACATCCAGGCTATTTATTCAAGGACTAGATGTGGAGGCTGCGATAACTTTAATGGTCAAATCTTTATTACAAAAATAAACTGAAGCAACTTTACAAACGAAAGCCCATCTTAGAATTTGATACAAAATACTCGAGTTGGTTATTGTTGAGCTAGATTCCTACAATATGCAATGTTTTTGTACCTTTTGGTTCGCCAAGATTGTAGGGGAACGTACTATTAATAAACCGTTCTCACTCACGACATCACACAATATGCTAATAGTTTTTTATGTAGATGGTAAATTAATACCATTTTGTTAAACCAGGTAAGAACTCATTGACTTGACAAGCTTATTTGGCAATGGCAGGCATGGATCTCTGGTCAAAGTGCTTAAGCTTTCAAAAATGCAAGAGACATAGGTGCTTCTTTGTTTAAATGTTTTTTGTTTAATTCCGGAAAATGTCAGAATTTACACTTAATATGCCTTCATGCCTGTATACACAAAAACATTGGCATATACTGCTCACACAATGAGAATGCAATTATGGAGCCCATTATTTACCCTCCTCACCCACTTCTCTCCAGCATGCCCATTCTCTGACAAGAGACAACTCTCTGACTGGTGACTCCCATCGCATCAAGCCTAAGAAGGAGGGCAAGCTACTTGGGAAGATCCCACAGGGAGCAGAGGCCACCGTGGTGCTTGTCGGTATAAAACCTTCTTGTGGAAGTCTAATGTGGTTGATATTCACTCATTGCTAATAATTATGATGATGGATATTGAAAGAATTGCTTTTATTTTAATTAGTTATTGGAGGCTTATCTGTTAAAGGATTGCCATGCTTAGTTTTGTAGATTCTAAATTGCTGATTATAGCTTTGGTTAATTACATGCAGATAGATTTCCCTGTATATATTTATTTTAAGGCAGTGTTTTTGGTGCATGTATTGGTTCTTTTATTTATGTGTGTGTACCACGGCCGATTGTAGCTTCACCAATTAATGTTTTGATTTCCCAATAATTTTCTTTCCTCAAACATAATGTTCTTAGATTGAAGCAACTTTTGAACTATTGTCATCCAAAATATAGCGTACACTAATTTATGTTGGTGTAAACCTGAAGGCCTATGTTTTGCTAAAGACTGGAAAACATCCATATTTTTGCATACGTTCATTTATTGAAGAAGCTTTATGTGTGACTATACTCATTTGTGTGCTTTTAAAAGGTTGCGTGGATTTTCTGGAGCAGCCGGCGATGGCATTTGTTCGACTCAGTGAGGGCGTGCTACTCGAGTCTGTGCTGGAGGTGCCAGTGCCCGTACGGTTCCTCTTTGTATTGCTGGGCCCCAGCGAGGCTCACATGGACTACCATGAAATTGGACGCTCCATCTCCACACTCATGTCCGACAAGGTGCGTATGTCCCCACACATGCACTGTTTACCTAATCGATCAGTGGTTAATGCAGCCTCTGAGCTCATTTCATTTTGAGTTTCCAAACGTGGTTTATGAAAGAGATTGAAGTTTGTCATATTTAACTCTTATTTTGTAGTACCCATGTGCATTTTATTAATCTTATAACTGTTGAGTGTCAAGATGCACCTGACAAGATGCACATTACCTTTTAAGTTCTTCACATTTTCACTGTGCAACCACTTTATATATCTAAACAAACTTGTATGTGTTTTACAATCGCATCTGTTTGCATTCCCCTTGCTGTCTGCCTATATATGTCTCGCATCATTTCGAGGTGCTTCTTAAATCCAACTTTCCCCACCTCTCTTTCTGGGCAGGATTTCCATGAGGCTGCTTATGTGGCAGACGAGCGCCAAGACCTGCTGAATGCCATGACCGAGTTCCTGGACGTCAGCATCGTGCTGCCTCCCTCGGAGCTCACGGACGATGGCCTACTGCGCTCGGTAGCCGCATTCCAGCGCGACATGCTGCAAAAGCGGCGACAAGAGGATGAGAGCAAGAAGCTGAACATCGTTCCCACCTCAGCTGAGCTAAAACAAAGTGCGTGCTTGCGTTTGTTTTTAAGTTTATATTATTTGTTCCACGGATGATCCATTTAGCCAGTTACCTGGCTATTTTACAAGATACGTCCATGGTGCGTGAGCACAGCAACGGCAAAACAAAGAATGAGCACAGGGTCCCTAAGGAAATGGGCTAGGACTTTGTTTTACAGCCATTGGAAGTGCAATATTTCTGGCCATGCTAATGCAGAGAGTAAACTGAAATTATACCTTCAGGGGTCCACCCGAGCTCCCTCCTAAGTCCTCCATTAAAGTCGTGAGCTCTTATTTCCTGAAATGCAATACTTTACTGTGTTCTTTCCATCAGCGGCTGTGCCCAGCCAGCGGAAAGATGACGATCCAGACGACCCCCTGAGGAGGTCGGGTCGCTTGTTTGGAGGGCTGGTACGGGATGCGCGCCGCCGCTACCCACTCTACCTGAGTGACCTCCGCGATGCCCTCAACCCACAATGCCTTGCCGCTGTCATCTTCATCTACTTTGCCGCACTGTCTCCGGCTATCACCTTTGGGGGCTTGTTGAGTGAGTATGTGGTTTGGAGCTAAGGTTAATGGTTGAAGATACAGTGAGACCTTTCCCAGCCTCTTGGTAAAAGGAGACTCTTTGTTTTGAAAAATACTGCTTGTTAATGTTGAAGCAATTGTTTTGGTGTCTCCTAAATGTATACCCCAAGAGATGGATGCAGCGTAATCAAATTGTGGTTTAAGTGTGGCTTTTTTGTACAATTATTTGTGGTTTAACTAAACCCATCAAACGCATAGCTCAACGAAACCCTTGATATCCCACGAGTGTGACAGCATATTTCCCATACCTCACCTTCCACAATGGATGTCGGCAACCTCGTGCTTACATTCCTGACTCTCCTCGTCACTCAAAATCACTGAAATTGTTATTTTTGTATCGTGCATTTGTTGTTCAGGTTTGTAGGGTTCAGTGTGGTGGGGTGCCCCTGTGTGCTTGTAGACATTATTTGTTTAGAATTATTTTGGTGTTTTTTTCTTTTGCTCATCTGCATTCCGTGTGGTCTTCTCAACAGGTGAAAAGTCCCAAGGCCTGATGGGAGTGTCGGAGCTCATTATCTCCACTTGTCTGCAAGGAATCCTCTTCGCATTGCTAGGCGCCCAACCGCTTCTCATTATTGGCTTCTCAGGGCCCCTACTTGTCTTTGAAGAAGCATTTTTTACTGTAAGTACTCTTGTATGAAGTTCATGTTGAAGAGATGGTGTTTGTGTTTATAATTTTTTTATCGATTTTCTTTTGCTTTGGCTTTCACATCGTGTATCTCCATATATGAAGGGAAGTGTGTTTGGGATCGGGCAAGTGAAGGTGATGGTCTGATAAACAGCATACTTCTATACAATCCACTTGACACAGCTTCTGTCCCACTGTTAGTGGCAATGGGTACATCTAAATGATTGGAAATTTTCTAATTTTGCATATGAGGACCTGTAACCAAAAACGGACTGTTGTGCTGGCTGGCATCTTCTGCACCATTCCATTATCAGTACTCGGTAATTGTCTGAAATATCAGGGGATGTTTAATGTGTTGTGTGTTTCCATGTGGATTTGCATTTCTTCTGTTCAGTTCTGCACATCCCAGGGTGTGGAATATCTGACCGGCCGGGTGTGGATTGGGTTCTGGATGGTCATCATCGTGCTCCTCCTTGTAGCATTTGAAGGCAGTTTCATGGTGCGCTTCATCTCGCGCTTTACACAGGAGATCTTCTCCATACTAATTTCCCTCATCTTCATCTACGAGACCTTCTCCAAGCTTTATAAGGTGCCAATTTACTTTTTCAATGAATTTGTTTCTTTATTACCATAACGTTACCACCATCGCTATACAGTAAGGCTTAACCTCGTAATAGATACCCGCTATTTTAGAAGTCAACAGAGATGGCAGATATGACCCTATAATTGTGAATATGGTATGCAGAACATATGGTCAGTAATTAATTTTTCAAATATATATTATCATTCAAGAACCCAGAATACAAAGTAGATTCCGAAGAGGTGGAAAAACAGCGTGTAAAAAACCCGGAGCGATACACCCTCAAAAATAGGGACCGACTGGGGGCGTCTGGGCTCGCTTGCCCTACCGTGGATAGAGGTAGCGATCGGAAGCAGTATTTATGCGGGAGGGGAAGAATGGTTGAGGGGGGCTAATCCAATATTGTATCAGAACTGTACCACCACCTTATATTTTTTCTGTGCGAGACAAACGGCATTCACGCTTAAAAAAAAAAAAACTTGCCTATATAATTTCGTACCCCATTGTGACACGTTACACTACATTTTTTCCAGCCCCATGGAACAGCAAAATCTTAACAGTTGCTGTAACGCCGGTGACCCCCTTCTGAATACAGTGATTCAGCCACTCAATAATCACAAACTATAGCTGCAAGTACTCGGGCATCGCCCGGTATTGCCTGCTAATATATAAAAATAACACAATTGTTGGAAACATGTCTAGAACAAAATGATTGTGTGTTTTCATGCGTTCGTTTATGTAGGTGTTCCAAGATCACCCCCTGCTTGCTACCTATCCTGTGAGAAGTAACATGACAACTAATTCAGAAACCAGTAACAGTAGCATTGTAAATGGCACAACAGCAGCGACAACAAAAGTGCTGAACCAACCCAACACAGCTCTGCTTTCCCTTCTGCTAATGTCCGGCACCTTCTTCATAGCCTTCTTCCTGCGCAAGTTTAAGAACGGCCGTTTCCTCGGTGGCAAGGTGGGTTTGGCATCTTGGAATGCATTTGAATGTCACTACCTTTTTTGGTATAGCAGGTAAAATATAGTTCTTAAGATTTTTTTTGTGTTTAACCATTCATTGAGATATTCAAGTATATAATGCATTTAAAATGTACATCACCAAAAATCTAGTATTTAATTTATAGATTGGAGTTACAGCTTACATAACATCGAGTTGGTATAATTATTAAATTATCTATTAATTGTTTAGCTGTGATAAGTTGTAGTCTGGGTGTAAAATTTCAGATATCAATTATATGACTTCCTATAAAAATAAATTAAAAGGCTGATACTTGAGAATTAAGTATATACAGAGGTACCATGTATTATACACTTTTGTTTTCTGAACATGTTAATAAAATGCTCTAATTTGTAAATTCATTTTCGTGAGTCTTGGGATTGTGGATATGGTATTTAGCAGCACATGTATAATCTGATAAGAGAAAGATGAATGCGAGTTGACACTCATGTATGCACTGGGAGCATGCTTTGTACATAAAATGTCAAGCAGGAGTGTGAACTGTTTGGTTTGTTTGTCCTTGTGAGCAGGTACGGCGTGTGATCGGGGACTTCGGAGTCCCCATTGCAATCCTGGTGATGGTGCTTGTTGACTTTGGCGTGCCGAACACCTACACGCAGGTCAGCTGGTCACACCACACTGAAAATGCCACCATTCTCAGTGAATAAACATTGGTTTTATGCACAGTACACGCCATCCGAGTTGTTGCGGTTATTTGACCATACTTCATCATTCCAGGTTGTTGGTGGGGGGCTTTTGCTTTGAAGCATAGCAAAATACAACCGTGTATTTTACTGCACTGCTTTGCTGATAACAAATAAATGTTATATAGAGATTTATGAAAGTTGTACTTATAAGGTGCTTCCGAAACAATTGCATCAATGAAAACAGCAGTGGTGACTTTGAGGGAGGTGGGAGGTGGGAATTTTTCAAAATGGTAATGAATTATATTGTGCAAGTCAAATCTACGGTACTTTTCCATCCCCTTGTTAATATTGAAATGATTTTTTTCTACCCTCATGTTTATCTGACAGAAACTTAATGTGCCGGATGGGTTTTCGGTGACTTCTCCAAGCAAGCGCGGATGGGTGATAAATCCCCTAGGAGCAGAAGGAACCTTTCCTGTGTGGATGATGTTTGCATGTGTCGTTCCCGGCATGCTTGTCTTTATCCTCATCTTCATGGAGTCCCAGATCACCACGTGAGTGACAAAGCCAATCTTTGCATTTTTAAATCATTGCAACATAAACGTTCCACATATCACAACTAAAATGAGGAGATGTACTGGTTTGATTTTTAATGCACAACAAAACATTAAACCCTGCTGAAAGTATAACGGTGATATAACTCATTTGTAAATGTTAATGAACATGCAATACTTGTTTCGCATGTATAGGATGGGATTGCATACCTCAGGTGATCATCTTGCTGATTAACAAGTGATTGGAAATTTTTTAATATGGGTTGAATATTAGATGTCAATCTAAGAAATTTGGTTTAAATCAGCATCTGTCTTCTCCAGCAGATGGCAACGTTTTCATATTCTTCGTCTAGTTTTTTGTGAAATATATATTTCTAGTGAAAGTAACACATTACTAATACTTCAAAAGAGTTGAGGCATGCGAATCAGTTTGGGTTCATGTCTACATGGCATCTATGTAATCTGTGTGCACCCATACAGTGAGGGAAAAAAGTATTTGATCCCCTGCTGATTTCGTACGTTTGCCCACTGACAAAGAAATGATCTGTCTATAATTCTAATGGGAGGTTTATTTGAACAGTGAGAGACACAATAACAACAACAAAATCCAGAAAAACGCATGTCAAAAATGTTATAAATTGATTTGCATTTGATGAGGGAAATAAGTATTTGACCCCCTCTCAATCAGAAAGATTTCTGGCTGCCAGGTGTCTTTTATACAGGTAACGAGCTGAGATTAGGAGCACATTCTTAAAGGGAGTGCTCCTAATCTCAGCTTGTTACCTGTATAAAAAAATTATAGACTGATAATTTCTTTGTCAGTGGGCAAATGTACAAAATCAGCAGGGGATCAAATACTTATTTCCCTCACTGTATTTTGTGCCTGCTTTGTGGCTATCAGACTTATTGTGAGCAAGAAGGAGCGCATGCTGTTGAAGGGGTCGGGCTTCCACTTGGACCTGCTGCTTATCGTGGTGATGGGCGCCATCTGCACCATCTTCGGCCTGCCGTGGCTCACGGCCGCGACTGTGCGCTCCGTCACACACGTCAACGCTCTCACCGTTATGAGCAAGGCGACAGCGCCTGGCGATAAGCCTCGCATTGAATGCGTGAAAGAGCAGCGCATCACAGGGCTGCTTGTGGCCGTCATCGTCGGTGCGTGCTTCATCTGCTATTGGGTGTATGCGTGTGCAAGACATTACGCCCGCCTCATCACCAACTAAAATGTGTTCATGCTCTTGTCTAGATAATTGCGTTTATTACTTTGTGGTGTAAATGTTTATATGCTGCAGTGATTAGGTCCATGCATAGCATTAAAGTATGATGAGATGAGCTCCACATCACTGCAGTCTTACTATTTTGAATGGATTCATAGCAGTTGTGTTTGGAATGAGTAAGTCTTCAAATAAGACAACTGTTCACAATGAGTGCACAATAGGAATGTCAGCACCAGTGCAGGAGAAACAATATTGGTTTTGCATTCAGTCCAAAACCACCCTTTTTGTTGCTTGACATAACAAGTGATTGGTAATACTACTTTACCCAGAAATTACAGAACATTAAAATAAATATTTTACATGTATATTTTACAGTTTGTCTTTGCACTTCTCTCTAAAAAATGCTTGCCTTCTTCCCAAATACTCAAACCCACCAGGCCTCTCCATGGTGTTGGGTCAGGTGTTGCGACAGATTCCCATCGCTGTGCTGTTTGGCATCTTCCTTTACATGGGTGTCACGTCCCTCAATGGAATCCAGTTTTACGATCGTCTCATGTTGGTGTTCATGCCTGCCAAATACCATCCGGACACTGCTTATGCCACTAAGGTAGGAACAGCTCAGGTTTATACCCAACCATTATAGATGTATATCATAAGCATGCTCTCACCATTAATGAATGGTCCTGTTATTACCTTGACATTAATTAAAATTCTATTTTGTAGATTGTATATGCTTGCCCGGTTTGGGGGGAGGCCCTTACCCAGCAGTGGATTAAATAAGGGCAGTTCATGTTATCGGCACATGCATCTGTATTTTGAATAATATCAGACTGCAAGTCATCTTTTGGTGTGATTCCAGTCCAAAGTTATATATGCAGTTCATTGTTTGCATTGCTTATCTAAATGACACTTGTGTGCTTTACGTGTCCTGCAGGTGCGCACGCTGCGCATGAACCTGTATACAGGGATCCAATTCGTGTGCCTCGGGGGGCTTTGGGCTGTCATGTCAACAGCCGCTTCTCTCGCCTTCCCTTTCGTGCTCATCCTCACTGTGCCACTGCGACGCTTCTTGCTCTCCCGCATCTTCACTGACCGAGAACTCAAATGTGTAAGTTTCTTTTGCAGACACCAAAACACATAGGTGCACTGCCAGCGAGTAATTATTTTCAGTGCTTAATTTCTCGATGTTTCAGTTTCGATGGTAGACTTGAATATTGAGTTGTATACTATGGTGTGTGCTTGTTGCACAATCAAATCCAGGGTGGTGACATGGTTGTTGCGGAGGTTAACAATTAAAATCTGATTATTACTGCGTGTAATAACTGTAAAAAATACCCTCTGCTTCACAGTGGACGTTAAAATCCCTCATTTGCAAGGGTTAAAATTGACTAAATTTTAAAATGACACTCAAATTACTCAATTGAGATCATGTAGCAGTTATCATCCCCTCGTGGCAGACTAATGCCCTGGGTCAGTTTTGCAAATTAGACTATCCTGGTCTCTTGAGTTCCCACCTGGTTAAATAAATTAAACTTGAAACGATAAACTTTGGTATGGAAACTGAAATTAAGCCTTGATGATATATGCATTGTGAAGGCAGGTAGAGTACATTATTTCTGTGGATATTTGTGGTTGAACAAAGTGTTAACATTTTTTGTATTTTATTCATAAGCCTTTTTGGTGCACTATAAGTAATGGCTCATTTGTATCCCATAATATTCTTATGTGACAAGTGTTTTGAATGTAGTTAAGGAAACTCCAATGAGATTCAATGCACATGTATTGCCAGGATTACGTGTGTTGTTTAATTGTCCTGATTTGTATGTGTATTGCATGCTTTTGTCATGTGTGACGGCTGTAGCTGGATGCCAAGGACGCAGAGCCTACATTTGATGAGGCTGATGGGCAAGATGTGTATGGTGAGGTGCTCATGCCTGTGTAGGCCCAAGAGCCTGTGGCCCTGAAATCTAGCCCTAAATCTGCACACCACTTGAACTCACAAACCAAACACGTCAGCAAACTGGGGCCAATAATGTCTCAACATTACCCACACATTTGTGTGGACATTGGTGAAAGATAATGGGTTATGTTATGGTCTTGCCTCAAGACGTTTTTGCAGGAAGCTGCAGTGGAACAACCTGTCATTCGTGATGAAGGAAACAAAGACAAGGTTACCGATAGCCAAGGGGATGTAAACAATCATGGCACTGTTTTAATAGTTGCACTTGACGTGAATATGTAATGTTTATTATGTGGGATTAGATTTTAAGTGTTTTATTTAGGGTATTTTCTTGCTTACGTTCATTTAAATACCTTTGGGAATCTTTTTACATTGCATAGGTGCCTCTTAAGACATCTTAGCTTTTCGTAAGGTGACGGTTCATTTACCTTATAGATGTTAGAATCGCTAAAGTGATGCAAAATACATCCACATGTACATTTCAAGATAAAGCATTTCACTAAAATGGAAATTGTTAATTGTGGCTCTCGTCTTCAAGCATCAACAACCGTGCCATTCATTTAATTGGAGTACATTGCTTAACTTGTGTATTGGAGATTTATTATTGCTTAATTAAATGTGGCCTTGTAGCAATATTCATCGTGGAGTTGAAGTAAGATACATTCTATTTTTACCTACTCTTTCCGTGATGGATTTTAGTAACGAAATAGATAAAAAAAATGTCCCATTGTTTTCGACCTATCACAGCTTTTTGCGAGATGTGTGGGTTGCTGGGTTTGATTTATTGTCATCGGGCACCCATCAACAGCCAAACTCCTAGAACAACAGTATTGCTTAATTTGAAAGAAATCTTGTTTAAGTTATGGTACCTTGGGAATTATATTTCCTGTTTAATACTTTATTTGGTGATTCAGTCCCCCCCTTTCAGCTGAAACTCCACGTGATGATGGCTCCATTCTATACCAGTCTACCCACTTATAATGCCTCCTTTGCATACAATAATAACTCCTGCATTGTTACAGTAGTTGCAGCTTCAATACTGCTCCAGGGGTCCTTATAACAAAAAAAAATAAGTTATCCCTGCTTGGTTGCCCTGGATAAGCATTTGTCAGCTATTTAATGGATATTGATCTCGTTTACATTGAAAGCCATACTATATGGTATTTCATTATGTGGTATTCCAAAAGTGAGGCCAAACTGTTAAATATGAGCATTTTGAACATTGTGTCCTTTCTACTGTTTTCTCTTTACTGGTCGTTTTGGTAATGAACAACCTTGTAACAGATTTGCTTTAAAAGAGTAATTATGTAGACTTGTGTATTTTTCCAATTACCATTTGACATTAATTTACAGTGGTTCTTAATACTGTCCTTTGTCATCAAATAAGTTTCCCTCGTTTAACAGTTAATCTAATTTGCGTTAAAGCTTTTTATTATGAACTGGAAACGATACCAAACGCTTTAGAATAGATACTTGAATGCCACTGAATCAGTATAAGGTTTCATGTTCTATTTTCATCGAGTAAAATGGAATACTAGATGTGCAACACTGAAAGTAGAAATGTATACATTACGGTGACGTGCGCATCAACATGATTTATGCTGTGTGTGTAGTGTATTTGGTTAATTTGGGTGGGGTGCATTTTGATTTGTATTCTAAGCCTGTCCAAGCGATGGAACAACGTGTAAGCGTGAAATGCTGTACATTACATATTGGAAACTGTTAACATGGAATATTTGGTGGTGGCTAAAAGTACATTTAAAAAAAATTATAACATTGTGGAGATTCATTTTTTACACTTTTACAAAATTACACAAATGCACAATTGTAATGCAGTATTGTAAAGGACCATTTTCATAGTAAACGTTCATTTTATTTACTCTTGGTTATTTCGGTAAAGTCACGTAGATGGAAAAATACAAATAAATTAAAATAATATATCACGACGTTTCGATCGCAACACAAGCGGTCGTCCTTAGGCGGAGAAAATATAATCCGTCAGTGGAACTGCTGAACTAGCGAGAGCAGCTACAACAAGGTTATATTTTTTCCACCTGAGGATAACCGCTTGTGTTACGATCGAAACGTCGTGATTTATTTTATTTTATACCTACGTGACTTTACCGAAACAACCAAACAATATGGATTCCTGCAGTCACGAAATCTTCAAATCAAGATTCATTTTATTTGTTAGATGGATGATCCAGTTTATACAGTTTCCTTGATATTTTACAAGGGAGATCCGTCTGATGAGCACAGAAATAACAAAATGAAGACAAGCATCACTTGCAGTGAACAAGTTCTGGGTCTTTAAACAATATAGCACAAACGAGGTATTTAACGTTCATAAACAAAACATTGGAATCACGCTCGTGATGTGCACACTTTTCGTAAGCAGCTTTGAAAACAGCAGTTCATTGGTTCACCTTAATTGAGTACTGCTTCCTCATTTGAGTGATGTATTTGGAGCAATGTCGGTCTTCAAATGTATTAATAGAACGAAATTTAAATATTTATCTAATGATCATCTCTTTCTGCCTCTTGTCCTGCGTCATCACTCCATTGTCTCTCTTTACCTCGTATTTACTATGTTGCCATATGCGCACATTATGTAGCTCTGCAGTAGGATACTTATATTGAATATTCACTCATAGCTGTAGTGGGTATCCCCTTGAGTTTAACTTTGAGAAACAAGGGTCAAAGGTTAATTTTAGTAGTGTATCAATTGCCCAGAAGACGACAATAATTACATAACCTGTTACACCACTGACAAACTCGTGTTTCCATCGTCCTGACGAACATGCATACATTTGTACACGCAATCATTTGTTTCCATTTCAATTTATTTGAGCGTAAAGGCAAACAAGAGCAGTACAAACCATGACATTTAAATAATAACTTCCCATCAGAAATAGTGCAGGCTGGAAAACCATGCGTTTCAAACCACGCAAAAAAGAACCTTTGCATCAGCATATTTTCAAGTATACTGGTCCTCTTAGGTCACAATCAAAATACATTTGAGCAAGAACTTGTCCACAATTGTCCACTGCATCAGGTCTGTCAGTCGGTCACATTTACCCAAATTTATTTTGATGGTGACCGAATGTACTTAAGGAAACGCTGGTTTTCTTTTGTCATATGCACAGAAGCTGCGCTTGTAATACATTTCTTGTGTTTGTTTAATGTTCAAGTGAAGCACACTACTGGCATGTGACTCGTCCAATAAATTAGGCCTTTCAATGTTTTTGATTCAGGATATCTGTGTGAAGAAATTATGGGTGGCATACTTTTACATTTACGGTAGTGAAAAGCAAATTTACGTTCATCAGCTTTTATTTATTCAACAGACCGACGCAAGTCATGCTGCCAGAGCTTTTCGGCACAGTGATGGCTACGAAGCATTTTCTTTATACAGTATTTGTGATTCTTTCACAACAGATGATTAATTTAATACTCGGTACACATAAAACGTCACAATAGTCACAGAAACTTTGGATGCGAATAGGAAACGCAGACCCGACAGCTTCAAATGTCATCCAGCACAAGTGCAACTGACTGGTTAACGTGCAACGATTTTTACAATCGAGTTTCCATAATCCGCGTGTTTTTTTATGCACGGTATGTTGAACTGCCTTGCCACCGTACATAACCAAACGTGCTCATCAGAGATGCAGGGGGAGGAAAATGCAACAGATATTCGTTGCAACTTTCAGGAACGCATCCCCGACGTAAACTGGTATTTCTGTCATTAAATAATTTAAACAAAACGTGATTTATAGGTGCTTATGACAGCATGTCTGTAGTGACTTGAATGACATGAAAGCCACGAATGAGTACATTTATGTATCGACACCTAAATATATCGTTAAAATACTTTCAACATGAGTTTTAAGACGTGTATATGCTAAAAATAGTCATTTCCTGCTGAAGGGCATTCTGGTCTTCTTTTCAAGAACACCAAATTAAATGAGCAAATGTGGCAAACTGACAGTATCAGTGATGTAGTGATATACTCCTGGAAGGTTTTATCCTAATTAGGACTCATTACCATAGTAGTCTCCAATGCTCACTCTTACAGTCTGCTCTGGGAACCGCTCCTCCGAATAGTACGGTTGGCTAAGTACGGTGCGAAAGAAGTTCAGTGTAAATATGTGAAGTGGCCACATCAGCACCATGGGTGCTCATGCTAACAAAAATGAAATCTGTAAATGACGTGAACCTTTCATAATAGTGCAGGCTCATCCAAAGTAATCTATCATCGCATAATTACTGCTGTCAGTTTGTCACATTTGCTCAAATTTAGTTTGACGGTGATCGAAGCCGAGCCCTGGCCACAATGCACTTCAAGAAATAAGGATGGTTATGTGCATACGCACACATTGCTGTGTTTTTTACACGTGTCCTGTTTGAAAGTTATGGGTTTTCAGCCTGCATTAGTATTCTATTTTGTCATTTACAGATTTGATATCTTGAACGATATGCAATATCCTTTGAGAACACTTGTCTGCTTATGTCTATTCTAAAGTTGCAGATTCATTATCCCCCGGCACGCGCGGACACACTGCAGCTCTGCGCTCGCTCTCCCGCGTATACCGTCACACTAATGTGGCGCTCCGCGGCATGACCGCACCCACGCCTGTGGCGATCTCCTCTCAGCACGCGCACACACGTTGCGGTTCTGCGGTCGCTCTTCCGCGCACACCGTCTCCCCTCGCAGTCGCACCACACGCAAATCGCAGACACCACACCGATGTTCTGAACTAGCGTTTATTTGCGGCGCAAATAAACGCTACCTGGGGGAATATTTCGCGGGAAGAGCCTAGCCGAACTCTGCCTACGTACCCAGTTGCTCACACGTCCTACCACGTGCCTCGAAGCTGCACTCGCTGGCGTCACACGGATGCTGCGAGCGGCTCGAGAGAGCAAGGAGTGGGTCTTGGCGGCCAAGACGTTGAGGGCGAAGGAAAGAGCGAAAATCGCGAAGCCAATCGTGCGCTTACCTGCGCCGTCGCTCCTTTTGACCCTCTCTTCCATGGCCTAATCCCCTCACTTCAAATGGTCGGGATGGCGTTTGTACTGCGCGATAAATCGTGCACCTACCTGTGGTTACCGCCCCCCTGTTACCGTGTCCTCCGTCGAGTGCCACGGTGGCGGTGCAGGCCATTCATTGTCCCTCGTTGCTCTGTCTGGAAGGGCGCCCGGCTGGTGAACACACACCCTGCGAGTGTGTATTCGGTATGGGGGGCGGCAGTGACGCTGTGATTCTCCTGACCTCATGCTCTTCTTGCTTAATATTCCACCCTCAGTCCCCCCCCCCCCAATGTCGTGAATAACTTATTGCGGTTAGCCCAGTGAACCTTTTCTTTCTGCGCCCATACAATTTTAAGCCAATTTAGGGGCACCGCAATGTGACTTGTCCTACGAGGGTCGGCCAATTTCTTGGCACCGGGAAACCGTGGGACTTTCCTGCTAGGGACCCTTCGGATGAAAACCCGTTGCGCCAGGCGATCCCCCGCCAGGGTGCGTGCTCAGGGTGGGGGCCAGGGGGGAATCGCGGCACTTGCGGAGTTGTTCCGCAGCCGTGGCACCACACATGCATTGCTTCTTTTAAATAAAAACTGCAGAACGTAATTGTTGTCATTCGATTCTTGAATCTACTTTGTCTTTTACCGTTTCTTTCGTATTGTCCTTTTGCAGTCGTCTTCGTTCCACTGACCACCTTAAGTTGATATCTGCATACAATTTGAATAAATCATAAAATATCATGCCCTTTTAGATGTATGGGAATGTTGAATCGCTTTACGAATAGCTTGTCTACATTACAGCGTATTGTACAATAGTAATCATGTAGCGATTCTGTGAATTGTTATACAGTAATGCAATTGATTTCACCAACTCAATTTCCCATTGTGGTGAATGTAGCACCTCAGATTTACGTGAATTACATATGTAGTGTGCAAAAAAAAGGTACAAGCAGGAAGCAACGGAGTCGGAATCAATAAATCACGATGGAATGTCCCTCCCACGTTCTATTTCCCCAAGCTTATTTTGGCATAACCTTGCAAAATTAAAGAAACATCAACTTTTAACTTGAACACGTTTAATGGTGCCGTTTTGTTGCTTGCCGTTCGGCGGTTGAACCTGTTGGGCAAAGTGTGATCTCACGACAAAAACAACGCACAATAACAGTACCGTTAATCTATATAAAAGTGAAATTTGTTAATGTGTCTGTTCAAAATGTTTAGCGTACTTCCCGTCATGCAACAAACTTGAAATTTGTCATGTGGGTACTTTCCAGACTGTACACCATGCAAAAATTATAAAAATAGACTTTTGTATATATATTTGGGGGGGGGGGGGTGTGCAATTATGCATTGATTTTGCACGGCAAGTGAGTTGTGACGTCACATCTGTCATGTGACCCATATGCCTGCTGTCACCCCCCCCCAACCGTCCGCGGCTAAAGTGAAATACAAATGTGTTGCAGGTCTAAGGCGTTCAGCATTGGTTTATTATTTCAGTCGTTTACTGCCGTACGCACCCTGAAAGTTGTGTCAGCAGCAAGCGCGTGTATGTGTACCTATGGACGCGCGTGCGTTTGCGTGTGGGGAGCGGTAGTGTCGTGCTTAGCGCGCTACGATACGAACCCGGCGACCAGAGTTTGATTCCTGCTCACGGCCACCACCGGTGACGATTATTCGAACCGGTCCTGAGCCTCCCCTAGATCGACTCAGCCTCAAACGAGTAACTGGTGTGTGAACATCGCCACTGGGGAGACAAAGGCGGCCGGGCGTGATGAATCCAAGTCCCAGGCGAAGCCGGTTAGTAAAGCTAGCCCATAATACTGGTAGGAACCTCCTGGTTACACCCACAGGGGATTATTGTGTCCGTCCGTCGTGCCGGGAAGGGCTGGGTGGGGAGGGGAGGATGGGGAGGGGCTGGGTGGGGAGGGTGGGGAGGGGCTGGGTGGGGAGGGTGGGGAGGGGCTGGGTGGGAGGGGTGGGGAGGGGCTGGGTGGGAGGGGTGGGGAGGGGCTGGTCACCCCGTGGTGCCCTTATAAACCTCAACGTTTAAACTACTCACGCCGGCTTGTGCCCACCCTCACAGTCGGGCATATTTGCGGAATACACCACGCCGCCGTTGACCCTGGCCATTGACCGAGCAACCCAACGTTCCTACCAGCTCCCTCCGCAGGAATGTGTTATAGGGCTCGTCGCACATCGCGCTAACCGCTACGCCACCGCTCCCCCGAGCACCACTCCACGTGTCGAAAGAGAAAAAAACACGTGGGGGGGGGGCGGAGCCGGAAGTCTTCCGGAAGTGACGCGCGCGCTGTACGCGCCCACCGCGCGGTGTCCCGTCACTGCAGACTCGAGCCCGCACGCGCGCGGTAAGATTAACTCCCCCCCTCCTCCCCCCTTCAAACTCGATAAAAACAAAATATACATACATAACCTCACATTTTAAAGACACGTTAAATACATACTGAGCTGATGTCGTTGCGCGGTTTTTTTTAGTAGTTCACCGGACGCGTGAATGTTGTGTTGTTTATCCCGCGGACCAATGGGGAGCGGCGTTACTGGCGCGTTGCGGAATGTTGTGGAAGGTCGGCGTTGGGGTTGAATATGCCTCCGGTATTATTTTAAAAGACATTTCTAACTATTCCGTGGGTTGTTTTGATTTGATTAGTGCTCGCGAGGATTAGTAGGGTTCGACACGAAACTGCACGGGGCTCATAGAGCAACGCTGCGGCTGGAGGAGGAATCCGATGAGGCATGACGCTCTCATGTCCAGTATGGACGGGTGAGCAGGTTACAACAGCTAAGGATAGAGAAACAACGATAGGAGTGCACAATTTAGAGAATGGTAAGCAAGTCACTAAATACAATTAAGTTATGAGCTGAGCCTGATTGAGCAAGATTGGGCAAGGCAGTAAAAACAGCAGCAAACCCGTCCCAGACCACACCAAGACGACACACAGTACCTCAATAAAACGGCACATTAAAATGTAACTATCGATACGCAGGTAATTATCAACGTTACAAATCAAATTTGCAAATGTGACACGCATTGACCGTCATGTAGCAGAGAAGCCATCTCTCTACCATGCATTCGTGTGATGTAATTCAGTGGGTTAATGAGAAGTACACGTCCAGCCCTTTTTTGTAAAGCCACTGTTGGCGGGTGAGGGCCTCTCCGCACCGTATCGGTCACCTGGTTTGACTTGCCACGTTGGTCAATCCGCATTTTTTTTGTTTGTATTCAAAATTTCACCTGGATAATACCTTGAGATGGTTCTAATTTGCAAGGGTGTCCAGGGTGTCAATTTTACACACAGCCATTAGCACGTTTGGCTACGTGCGGTGAGAAAGAAGTTCAACATACATACGCCATGACACAAACATTTAAAATCCATGGATTGTATGCGTTTATGCAATGAACATTGTACCCAGTCAGATACATACTAAACGCATTATACTGGTAGGAACCTCCTGGTTACACCAGCCCACAGGGGATTATTGTGTCCGTCCGTCGTGCAGGGAGGGGCTGGGTGGGGAGGGAGGGGCTGGGTAGGGCTGGGTGGGGAGGTGGGGTTGGGTAGGGAGGGAGAGTGGGGCTGGGTGGAGAGGGAGGATGGGGCTGGGTGGGGAGGGAGGGTGGGGCTGGGTGGGGAGGGAGGGAGGGTGGGGCTGGGTGGGGAGGGAGGGTGGGGCTGGGTGGGGAGGGAGGGTGGGGCTGGGTGGGGAGGTGGGGTTGGGTAGGGAGGGAGAGTGGGGCTGGGTGGAGAGGTAGGGTGGGGCTGGGTGGGGAGGAAGGGTGGGGCTGGGTGGGGAGGGAGGGTGGGGCTGGGTGGGGAGGGAGGGTGGGGCTGGGTGGGGAGGGAGGGTGGGGCTGGGTGGGGAGGGAGGGTGGGGCTGGGTGGGGAGGGAGGGTGGGGCTGGGTGGGGAGGGAGGGTGGGGCTGGGTGGGGAGGGAGGGTGGGGCTGGGTGGGGAGGTGGGGTTGGGTAGGGGGAGAGAGTGGGGCTGGGTGGAGAGGTAGGGTGGGGCTGGGTGGGGAGGAAGGGTGGGGCTGGGTGGGGAGGGAGGGTGGGGCTGGGTGGTGGAGGGAGGGTGGGGCTGGGTGGGGAGGGAGGGTGGGGATGGGAGGGTGGGGCTGGTAGGGTGGGGAGGGAGGGTGGGCTGGGAGGGTGGGGAGGGAGGGTGAGGAGGGAAGGTGGGGCCATATCTGCGGAATACACCACGCCGACGTTGACCCTGGCCATTGACCGAGCAACCCAACGTTCCTACCAGCTCCCTCCGCAGGAATGTGTTCTTGTTCACAATGCATACTCACTGCTCACCACGTAGCCCCGAAACATGCAGCATACGTTGATTTCAGTAGTTAATGCGAGTCATTTAAACTAGATAATAGCGCCTGAGGAGGACATCTGTATTACCAGGGAATCCTCGTCAAGAATGACTTGTGAAGCAAGGCACGTTAAAGGGTGAACTATTTGTTTAATATAACCTCAGTTACAATGTGTTTTGTTTAAAACAAGACAATATTTGTCAAAAGCTACCCAGTAGCCAATGTGCTTATGCAAAACATTAGCATTTCGTGCAGAAGTGCATTGTCTTCCTCTTGTTTTGCATTATAAAAATAAATTTGGCGAATGTGACTAATTTACAGCAGCAGTGATGCAGTTATTGACAACTTTGGACCAGTTTCGTCCGAATCAGGATTCATTGCAGTTTGGTCCCAATATGTTTTCTGGCAGGGAAATCGGCCATATTATTGACGTGGGTTGATTGTCGTATTCACTTGCATTGTATCCGCTGGTATTGTAATGTAAGAGCTGAATTGGCATTGTTTATAATGTTCATGATTTATAATGATTCATAATAAACTTAGTATAAGTACTATTTTTAATAGGTGTACTGCATTTGTATGTTTGAGCATTCTATTTCATTAGTTTAGTGCATAATTGTTATTTACTTGTTGGTTATAGTCGTTCGTAATGTAATATTTATAGAGTACTGTACTGTATCGCCATTTCAGAGACCACAACGTGTCTCAGTGGGCACTCGTTTAATGTAATACGCTGAAGTGAAATGTCACCATGGGGACATCATTTAATTTACTACAACATGTGTATGCCAGCAAATATCTGCTGGGAACGTTGTGTACAACCCATCTAATTACGTGGAATACTTGCTATATTTCTGTGTTACAAATGAGGAATGTCTTGGGGTTGGGTCAGTGGTAAACGTGATAAGACACAAAAGCTCCATTGTCCAGAATGTTCGTTTTTGTCACGAGTCTGGGGGATTATGAGGATAATGTTGGAATTATGTATGATTGTGAGTGGCCATCTGTGCAGATGATACAGAAACCACTATCAAAAGTGCGTTACCAATTGTATCAATGTGAAACAAGCATGGGTTACTGAAAATAAATATGATGTACACCATGTTCTAAATATGGGTATCTGGTTTTTCCAGGATATGCCTCGAATGTAAATTGACAGAACTCAGTGTAAGCAAACACGTGTGAATCGACGAGATGTGGGGTACTACATATGATTTTTATTTTTAAAATCTCATTTGCTGTTGCACTCATAAATACCTACATTTATTGGCTTGGTGACATTGTTAGTTTAATGTTAGCATGTAGGCAAATATTTTTTTACTTGCGCCTCGTCAGAGTATGGATTCCTGCAGTCACGAAAACTTAATATCTAGATAGAGACTAATCTCACGAGTTGTATACGTGGCATTTATCTATCCAAGGCCTTTACGTGTTTGTAAGTTCCAGTAAAGTCTCTTACCGTGATACGAGGGCATGAAGCTCATTACACACATGCCCTACTGATGATGAGTCATGAAAACAGTTTGAGCTTCGGACTTAGTGGTACCTCCAGCTGCCTGTTTAGGTATCCCGCAATGTGCGCCTGCTCTTCAGGAGGAGGTTTAGCAATTAACCGATTAAAAATGTTTCCATTGGCTGACCTAGCATGCAGAGGAGTGCCAGGGAAAGTGAATCACACGCTCTGCTGGTTATTGTATTATTGCACTTGCTAACCCATGAAAGTTATTGAACTGGAAGAGAGCAATGCTGCATGATGGCTGATGTCATAGTTTGTCCCATGGTGCATGTATCAGTCCATTAGAGGGCAAGCTTTTATCATCAAGTTGGATATCCATCAGGCATGCCCTCAGAAATATATTCATCACACATACCCTCAGAAATTGAGTTTATTTGCTCCTCAACTTAACACATAAGACCCTTGATTTTTTATTTAATTGACTGGCAGTGAATGATAGTGTTCCTCTAAAAGTTCTATGTGTTTATAAGTCTCTCTTGGTTTTTATGTTAGGAGGGGGAGGCTCAACGCTGTAGGATGTGGGTAACATCTCAATCTCAGAGATGTCCTCGGTGACATCAGCCGCATGCCAGCCAGAATTTTTGTTTGAGAATATAGCATGACACTATCTTTGTATATGGAGAGGGTACTACTCAACTCCCATTGTATTGACTTTTACAGGGAGTAAGGAGGTGAGGGCCACTTTGACCACCATGAAATGTACATTCTTACCACCACCGTGCGACCTATTAATGTGTTTTTGTTTGTGTGTTGGTCTCTGCAGATAGTGTTGCTGGTTTCTGCACATTCAAACCATTGTTACCTAGCAATGGCCACACCCAGTGCACCTCCACCCGAATATTACGGCAACAACCAGCCGGGATACCCTCCTCCTTATCAGCCGGGCGCGTACTCCAACCCTGGCGTCCAGCCTGGAAACTTTCAGCCACCAGCAGGCCAGCCATGGGTGTACCCGGTCCCACAGCCCGGGGGATATCCTTCCCCCCAGCCGGGGGGATACCCACCACCACAGTCTGGGGGATACCATCAATCGCAGCCTGAAGGGTTGTCGTCCCCCCAGGGAGGAGGTTATCCACCACCCCAGCAGGGGGTCTACCCTGGGTTCTTCCTGCCATCACCACAGCAGCAGGGAGGGTATCCTGGACAGCCGCAGCCACCGTTCGTACCCCCCACCATACCACTGCACCCGTCCTTTGGAGGCATGCAGAGTCCTGGTGAGTGTGGAGCCCCTGTTAGTTGAACCAGCCAAACTGTCATTTTTTTTTTTTACACTGCTTGTATTTGGAAAAAAGTGGAAAAATATGTGTTTATGACATGTTCTTATTTTTTATCATATGCTTTATCACTTTTAATTTGGTATAGTGTATATATGTTATAATAGTGGCATAAGTGCCCATGCTCTAATGTACTTTAAAGATTGGATTGTGAGAGAAATGTAAGTTAGTCCTCAATGAGTCCTCTCTTAATATCGAATTATATCTACAATTCTCTGTTATATGTCTACCTTACCCCAACCCTACATCCCTTATTCAAAAACACCCCATTAGGGTATGGTGGGGTTACCATTGAGGGTGAGGAGGATGGGGATATGGGCACCTGGGATGATCGTAATGTGCGCCGTGTGTTCGTCCGTAAGGTATGTATGTTTGCGTGTGTACACTTGTATAACGCAACACACTTCCCACAAATGTGTCGCTAAGTACTCGCGTGTATTCATGCTGGCAGGATTTATGTTTACATTTTCGTATTGTGCTTAAGTCGTAAAAAAAAACATTTGTGTGCATGTGTGCAGGTGTACACCATCCTGATGCTACAGCTGCTGGTCACTTTTGGCATCGTGGCTGTGTTCACTTTCAAGTGAGCCTTTGCATAGCAATCACCTGTATCTCTGCCCTGGTGGCAGGAGGTGCTTCCTTTGTTTGACAGTTTTGTCTTAAGCAGCCGCTGACAGTTGCTTGCCCCCATTAGGTCTAGACTGATGCATCGTTTCCCAAGTGATCAGTATATGCCATTGTCAAACTTTATTTTAACATCGTGTTTTTTTGTTAAAAAAACTAATTCATATGGCACATTTGTGCACGTGACAACTTGATTTGTTTGGCTATGTTAGTTGGTCGAGTTAGAGCTCTGATTTACATTTTATTCACATGATCTAACCAACATTTTTTCACGTATCATATGCCATTCACTATTATGGTGATATAAGTTAATATTCAAATATGTTATCGTCCCTTGTTCATATGCTTAAAATGTCACTTAAATACTCTTTGATCTCATATGTGTGGTTTATATATCGGTTCCAACATTAATGTTACTCGTAAAGTTAATTTAATAGCAAAACATTGCATTTGCAGTTTTATAAAATTATCTGTAAAGTGGGGTCAAACAACCCCCCAGGACTGGTACAGAGTGTGGAGTGAAGTTCCACCAGTGGCTTGACAAAAGCATTGAACATTATGAAAATTTCAAACTAATTTCATGCCTTGTTAATACATATCAAATAATGTTGAGGAACACATGTTGCAACTACTATAATGTACCTGCAATTAACATAAACATTACGTAAACAAATGTATTTAGTTGAAATCACTGCTCATAAGCGTAGACAATATACACATTCCAGTTGACATTGAAACAATTGCGAACAAAGCACACTTTGCGTTGTTGTGTGATAAAAAATATATTTACATTGTCTGAGACATTAACCTGATAGAATCTACTGTGCTTTTCTCCAGTGAATCAGTGGAGAGGTTTGTGAGACGGACACCAGCCATTTACTGGACCTCATAGTAAGTTGCTATTTTCAGTGAGCTAATAACATACACTGACATTTTATACACAGGTATGTTTTAAAATGTTATTATGTTTAAGTAAGAGAGTGAACACTGATGCTATGAAAATTTAGCTGAGAAACGGTGTGAATATTGAGAGGATACTTTTAATAATCATAATTATTGTGTCTGCAATTTACCATCATGTATTGTATCATGCATTTCCTTTATTTAATCGGATGAAATTTCGGTCTGTTGAGACGTGATAAATTTCCTCTTTTAGCAAAGGAGACCTGGATTACATCAGGTGATGTCGAATATAACTAAATAAAATTATAAGAACAAATGTAGACTAAATTTAATATATGAATACAAATTTGAACATAGCTAAGTAAAAAAGGTTAACAAAGTGTCGGTGAGATCATCTTTTGTCATTGCCTCATGTCACTAGCACTCGCTATCAAGCAGTCTGGGAGGTTAATTTATGTTCGCGCGATCAGCGTGTGTCAATGACTGTTCCCCGTGTCTTCTCCCTAGTGGCGTGTTCTTCGTCACGTACCTGGTGCTCATTTGCTGTACCAAGGCAAGGTTAGAATTTAGATTTTGCATATTCTGGGAGCGTTTCATAATTTGAACGTGTAAAAATATGCTGGATGCTGCTGAGGTTCTGGGTTTGAATTATAGGCAGCCACCAGTGGTTAAACTGGGTTCTCAAGTGTAGGCTCAGCATCGTCACCAATGACTGCACAAAAATGCCATGTAAAATGTTTTGCCCTTAATTTGGTGAAATCGCAGCTCTTGAGAAAAATAAATTTTGGTTATTCTGGCTGTGAGAACAATATGAGATTGACTGACAAGTGACAAGTAACCTCAGGTTGTATGGGAAAGTGTAACCCCTTCTGATATGGCCAATTAAAGGCATTTCTGGCAAAGTCCTGTTAACGTTTTCCACACGTGTACTCTGACGCACACTATGTTCTGCTCTGCATGCAGTCTTTGTCTCATTACATAATTCTAAAAGCACAGTTGGAATAAAGTATGGAGAAAATATACAAAAACTATATTTATAAAGCATTAAAATATATGATCGTTTTATATTTTGACAGGAGAATGTTTCCTCTCAACTACATCTTGCTGTCTGTGTTTGTAAGTACTTTGGTTTTATTATTTTAATTCACGATATTCGGGATACTTTGAGATTATTTATCAAGACAGTTAATTAATTAAGTGTATTATTTTATTTAAACATCTGTTATATCAAACACCAGGTCATGAAAAATGGTTGCAAAAATGTCAGTTATATGATCTAGTTAATTTATAAACCAAGATTACAAATTTCGTGTGAAAATATTGTTTGTTATACAAATTGGCCTGAATGTGTTGTGAATATTTAATAAGTATTTGAGAAAGTGTTTACATAACGTTAATAGTTGACTTTGCATTTGTTTATATGCTGCTTTATTCATTTGGGAAAAAAATTTGGTTTATAAATCTTGATTTGAAGCTTTCGTGACTCCAGGAATCCATACTCTTCGGTTCTTTCGGTAAAGAAATAATATAAAACAAATCACGACGTTTCGATCGCAACACAAGCAATCTTCATGGTTTATAAAGATGATACTTTTTACTAATTAAATTGTAATATCACCTCCTACTTAGTAGGACCCTCCTGAAAAATATTTTGAGACTCGGTGAGGTTTTCCTGGGTAAATAAGCGTAATAATCAAATTTGTGTATTGAAAATGTATTACATATACTGTTTATGTCTGCTGAATAGCACACTGTGATGACTGGATGCATATCCAGATGACCACAGTGGGCCCTGAGAGACCAAGGCTTTTGTTGAACGTATTAAAGAGGCCTGTATCAATGTACCTCCCCCTACCCCTTGACAGACGCTGGCCATGGCTTACATGACGGGGATGCTAGCCAGGTGCTCAGAATCTGAACACTCATGCATGCCCACAATTAAATTGCATTGCTGTATCCTCACACTCTTGCAGCGTTATTCTCATAAAAAAAAAAGACTAAATATCAATTATTGTCAACATTGTATGATGTACTACAGACGCTTAGCTTTTATCACAAGCCCTATTTTTGAAGACAAAGGTACTGATGTTGTAAATCTGTCATGCTGGGTGTGAGCAGTTACTACAGTACCAAGTCGGTTCTCATGTGTCTGGGCATCACGGCAATGGTGTGTGCAGCAGTCACCCTCTTCTGCTTCCAGACCAAGGTACAGTTTGGCCTTTTTCTAAAATTCCTGTTCCCATAAGTTCGCAACTGGGATTGAACAGTTGCACGGTGGTTCACACAATGTGCTATGAACCTGGCAACTTGAATTTCTATTCCCGACCGTGGCTGTCATCAGTGGAAAGTGATATCTGAACCAGTCTCGAGGTGCCCCCTTTACCAACCCTGCACTGACCAACGTAGGTGAAATATAGTCAAACAACACCCATGACATGGGGAGGTCTGCATCCAGCATTGCCTTGGCAAAGGGCTGAAAATTAAGTCCACAGCATTCAATTCTGAGAATATTTTAATTCTAGATATCTCCAAGTTGTAGGTTAAGATTGATATACAGTTTATTAGATGTTGATACGCATCTGAAATCTTGTCACTGCATCGCAGCACATTGGTTTGAGATTGTGCGTGTGTGCATGCGTTTCCACAGTTTGACTTCACATCATGCCACGGCCTCATGTTCGTATTGTCCATGGCTCTCCTCCTGACTGGGCTGGTGGCTGTCTTCACTGTGCCATTTGGATACGTGAGTCCAACACATAGCATGCATTCTATACCATAGGGACTGACTGATGTGGCCAATATTGTCCTCTTACACATCTACACGTAGTCTAGTTTCGAGAACAATGTCAAACAAGAAGTTATCTCTAATGGTAGGCTTGTCATTCCATTTCAAGGTTAGCCTGTCTTAGTGTCATTCATATAATAAAAATGCTGTTTTCATAGAAATATTGACATTATTCCTAACTCAAACAATAGTTGATATTAAATATCACTTTTATTATGAATAACATTTAAAAGTGTAGCAAAACTATGCAGGTAATTACATACTCTTAGGTTCTTTCGGTAAAGTCTCGTAGGTAAAAAAATAAAATAAAAATTACAATTAATATATCACGACGTTTCGATTGCAACAGAAGCAGTCGTCCTCAGGCGGAAAAAATTATCCAGCAGTGGAACTGCTGAACTAGCGAGAGAGCTGTTACAACAAGAGGTTATTTATGTGGCGTTGGGCAAGCAAGCGGGGTCTGAGCTGGAAAGGTATTCCATCCCCAGACGCAAGCATGTCAGTTGCGTTAATGGGGGAGATTACGGAGAGAGATTAGGGAGAGAGTTTAGCATGAAATGAGCTTCCGTAGCCACATAAGAGTATCATCCCCGCATATGCGCACAACAGCAGAGTACATTGAAGATTAACATTATGTTAATGGGGGCTTATTAAGTTAATGTTATGTCTATGTGTAACACAAGCTGCGACGCTGCCAACTGCGCTGTGAGGCAAGCGCGTGCACACACGAGAACCATCGCAATGGTGGTCGCGCCAGTGAGACACAGAGCCCATCACACAGCCAGAACCAGCATATGCCGTAACTGCTGAATGTGTTATATATCGTAAACCAGGAGTTGTTGTAAGGGATGAGCCACGTGTGTCCGCAGATCCCCTGGATACAGACGGTATATGCAGGCCTGGGCGCTGTGGTTTTCACTTTGGTGAGCTTTTGATCCTCATGTCCTACCATATCCCTAGAGGCAGAAAATAAAATATTATGTTTATAATCTGTTCCAGCTTCGCCAAATATGCAAAGACCTATCTTCTCATAATACTTTCTTGTCGAACTTGATATGCAAAATTACTAATCTGCAGATTTTGCACGGTGATTGCGTTGTGAATGTGCCCATTAAATATCTCCAGAGATGGAGAGGTTCTCAAAAAAGTGTTCGGTCATCAATTATATTACGTTGCATTGCTTTTATTTTTTGTATTGATATTGGTTATTGTTGTGCCGCATGAAAACTAAAAATAAAATTTCATGAGAGCCACTTACACGTACAAGTGTTGGGGAATAGAATGTGATAATAGACGTGCATACCTTTGGGCTGGAGTAGAACGTTGTGTAACGTTGTAACTTCATGGCATCGGGGTGCACTTTTTTAGTTTTGAGAGCATATTTACACCTGCTACATGGACTGCATGTTGTGCCATTTCATGCGAGCCATTGATGTTGAAGGTTACCGATTACAAGTGCAGTGTTTTTATTTCATGCAGACCACTTGTTCTTTTTCTCCTGTGTCACTTTTATTTAACAGATCTCTTCGTGTTCGACACCCCGTAACTCCGTCGTGTTTTTCCCGCTTGCGCTGCTCACCTGCTTCGCTCCGCTTCCTCTCTCTCTCAGACTCTCCACGGCTTGCTTCCTCTCTCTCTCCTAGTCTCTCCACTGCTAGCCTGTTCTCTCTCTCACTCTCCTAGCCTCTCCACTGCTAGCCTGTTCTCTCTCTCACTTTCCTAGTCTCTCCACTGCTAGCCTGTTCTCTCTCTCACTCTCCTAGCCTCTCCACTGCTAGCCTGCCTGTCACGCTCTGCTCACTTTGCTCTCTCTGCTGCTGGCCTACCACTACACACTGATAACTTCCCACCGTACACTCCGCTAGCCTCTCCACTGCTAGCCTATTACTATACACTCGGATAGCTTCTCCACTGCGAGCATCTCACTATATCTTCTGCTAGCTTCTCTACTGCTAACCTTCCACTATATACTACTTTGCTAGCTTCTCTACTGGTAACTATACGCTCTGCTAGCTTCTCTATCTTTCCTCTTCTCTTCACTGCGACCAACTCCACTTTCTCTCGCGCTCCCGTATATAACCCCCTCCTCATCGTCTCAATCTCCGGTCTGCCTGGCGTCTGTTCCGCACCTACATTTGCAGCCAACCAATCAACTGCTATGCATCTTAATGAGCCGTCTCCTTTCCGTTGCTCCCTCTAACAAGCTATGGCACACATTCATCAATAATTCTTTACTCCCAACTTTTTTTTTTGCAGTAAGCTCTTAATTGAATTCACAGCAAATGTTCTTGCTGGTCACCTCTTCCTTACTTTTCTTCCACACGCCTTTGCAGTTCCTGGCCTTCGACACACAGCTGTTGCTGGGCAACCGGCGACACTCGATCAGCCCCGAGGAGCATGTTTATGGCGCGCTCAGCCTCTACATGGACATTGTGTACATCTTCACCTTCATGCTGCAGCTCTTCGGTACCCGCGATTGACCGTCATCTTAACTCCTCCACTTGCCATGCCCTGCTACCTGCGTGCAAGGTGCATGCCTGCTGGTCAGTCCATCAGTTGATCAGGTGTTGTCATGTGCAAGCATAAGTAGCAATTTCCGGTACTTACTACCCCTCATTCACCCACTCCAGTTGTTCCTGGCCAGTACTTTCGACCACCAGAGGGGAGCTTGTGTATAAAATTGTCCTCATTCGGATGTGGTAGTAAAATGTATCTGTTAGTATATGGGATTGTCCGATGGGAGTTGTGGTGAGCCACATGTGTAGTTTGAAGGATGTAGTGCTAATGTTTAAGTCTCAGTGTTTATACTCTAGAGATATTATTGTTCAGCGAATTGATGCAATGCTTATCATTCGTGCAACTGGAATAAGCAAGTATATATATCTCCAACATACCAGCATTGTCATTACAGCATTTGTAAAACATGCAGTGTGTTTATCGATGTTTATAATTTCAAAAATCCTACTTGTAGTAGCTTAAGACATGAATTGGTACTGTAGGCTTTGTGTTTTATGCAGTTGTCCACTTGGTTACATTTAGTTTATATTAATTTATTTGTTTGACTTACTGAAGAACGTATATGTCGAGAGGGTAGTAGTGCCATTGATTAAGTTTACTTAAAATTCATATATACACATGCAAACTGAAGTATACCCTTGAGCTTTGAAGTGTGCTCACAAAATAAAAAAACAAATCTTAGCCTGATCAAACATTTTGGTTGCTTGGAACAAATTCAGAAATCTTTCCGATCACTGATGTTGCTCCTGTGGTGTTTATAGTCAATTTAGAGAAATATGCTCATTCGCCCCATATCGAAAGACCACTGCAATGAAGCAGGTGACGTTTGTTTAAGTTTGTGCAAGATTCATTTAGCATCTGTGATCTCGGGACAACCCCGTCAGATCCATACCCTGTCACTTTTTCCTAGTCAAATGTAATTTTGGCATGGACTTCTGCAGATAAGCAGCTGTGCAGTGTAATAATGAATCTTATGTATATTGGGGTTCTCTGCTCATCCAAAGTCCCAGTGATTTTTTTCGGAGGTTTTAATTGACGAATGAGCACAACGGGTTAACTAGTATGTGCTGGTGGTGGGTGGATGTTAACAAGATGCTGGGGTGGGACAAGCTTTTATCACGTGACTCGTAGAAAGCAAGAGTGTTGTGTGACTCAATCTGTTTTGCAGCCAGATGAAATACACGCTTCTAACTTTATGGTACAAATCTTGTACACTTGTCATGGCCGATACCTATCTTAAATCCCCTTGCCCATTCCTCCCCAGTCTCTAGCATGATGAGAAGTAATTTAAACACCCAGAAGAAGCAGTCTAGTCAACCCAAAGGCATCATTTCTTTTGAGATGGCATTTTGCCATCGCATTTAAGGCAGAGCGTTTCCTGCTGTGAATGGCTTCGCAAGTTTAGGTATAGCATGCGTGTGCAGTAGACAACAAACACGTTTGAACAGACCACTTAATGCTATTATGCTTCTCAGCTTAGATCGTCACCCACACGCGCCAGTGTTTGGGGTGCACAACCCGATATTAGACATGCATAACTTCCTTATATCGTGATGCACTTTTTTTGTCAGTAGAGGATAGATTTACACTTCTACAGGTACTGCATGCTGATACAGAAAAGCCAGTCTCAAGACCGAGATAAGCTATGTAAACTGTGCAATGCATTATGAAAGTGTTCCTGGTGTAGATATGGCATAGGTTCAGTGATGAGCAACTCCAGGCCCTTATGAGCCACAGTCCCACTTTTAACATCAATGAACAGGTGGTTGAATAATGGCATAAAGCTTTCGTGACTGCAGGAATTCATATTCATTGGGTCTTTCGGTAAAGTCACGTAGATGGTTCAAAGAGTATAACAAAAAACTAAGTTTCGATCCAAACACAAATGATCGTCATCCTCCTGATGTCATAGTTTTTTGTTATTTTCTATAAACCATCTACGTGACTTTACCAAAAAGACCCAATGAATAGGTGGTTGAATGTGAAGTGATGTGTGGATCAGTAGGCATGGGGTTGCTTTTGCCAATTTAATATAACAGAGCCCTGTTACAGATGTGAAATTTTACTTGAGATTTTTTTCTTGCCGTATAGTATGACTTTAAAGGTAAATTATTCTTGGTGGTAGAAATTAAATGTAGCAGCTGCATTTTTTAATCAGTCACTTGGCTTCAAGAATATCAATCGACAGATCTGCCCAACTGTTATCTGTTGTAGTCGTCACACCATTATACATGTTGTGGGGTCTATATTGAGACTGAATGATGCAGCTTGTTGCATTTACATTGGCTGTGCTCATATGAAAATAATGAGTCAATGTAAATAGTCACTGTTATTTCAAAACTGATGCTGTGTATTAAACTGTTGGATGACTTCATCGCGAATAACTTGTCATTTGACTCAATTTTGATTCTGAGATGTTTTTACTTCCAAAGAATGTGTGTTCACGGCATATATTAAGAAGCTGAAATGAAACCCATTATATGGAATTATAACCCGTTACAATAATTCAACTAAAGGGTTATTCAAATATAGAAACACGGTTTGATCAATATTTTAATTTTTAAAGCCTATATTTTTTCCTATTGCTAAATTATACTTGAACAGAGCCTCTTAAGTTCAATACATCCAAGTATGAATCATTACACACGACTTGTACCTTGCACTTTACACTTTCTTGAATTTTACACAAAGTTTGGTCCATTTAACCTACAACCATGTGGACTTTTCAACATTCAATGCATAATTCGTACATACGGTATACAATCTCAACTAACATGACAAGCAAGAACTTAAGAATCCATTGCAAAAACAGGATGCTGTCACATTGCACTTGTGCTGAGCAAATCTTATATCTTTGAGCAGCACTCCTGTCAAGTAAAATAATACAAGTATTTGTACAAAACGCAAATATTGTCATGCAAGTTATGCAGCTTTATGATGAACAATTTTATTGACTTATTTTTAACAATAGCTGTACCTACTTGAACATTTTACATGTAGCTGCATGTGAAATATATGCACAGCTGGCAGTGCTGCAAGCCTGTTGCTTTGCACCGTTTTCTGCTGTAATATTGAAATAGCTTGGAAGAAAATACTTTATTTGTCCATTGTTAATATAACCTGATAATTGCTCGGTCTGAACCACTGACAAGCTGCCAGGAATTCATGTTTATAGACACGAGTCACATATGTTGAACTTCTTTTGCACCGTACATAGCCAACAATACTAATCATAGATGCGGAAAAACCGGAGTCATGTGAAACTGCTTCAAACTTCTTTTTCGGAACTGTAAAAAGGAACGGCAACATAAAATCATCTTCCACTACTGCCGTTAGCATTTCACGGTGTCATCCTTTGGGCATTTGCCATGGTGCATGTGTCAGGTAGCCAGGTATTGTGCACAGTTGGCAATTCAGACAATGTCGAATACAACTAATTTCTACATGCCCACCATGTTGCTGGTCCCTCTATGTGAAGGTGTTTGATGACATCAAACTTCCCAAATGTACATTATGCATAGAGAACCTCCAATTAATGTAGAGTAGTTACAGGCAGCAGTGTAGTTTCCCACAGATACACATTGACAAGTGCTCATCAACTCTGGACTTTTGTTTTAAACATTAGTAATGGTCAATTTCGAGGAACCTGCCCTCCTCAGCATCTCCCAGAAAGATGATCCATCACTTGGACTTATCTATCTCTATAGTTTGCAATGGTTACGTCCATCTGAACCTCTCATGTGTGCTAAGGCACACATGTGCTCTGACTGCTTGCTCGTACCTGTATCTGCTTCAGCAGATAAGTATCATGCATTGCAGTTCAATTATAAGTAAAGTGTTAATCACACGCGTATACATCGCAATTAAATAATTACACTGAACTATGGTGAAGTGTCATGCAAAAACTAAAGATCTATTTCACAATATGGTATTGCCTTCGATAACAGTAAGCCAACAGGGTTGACTATTGTGTTTCAGCGACTCTGTAGGCAGACTATATAAACAATTCAAATATTGGCTCTATTATTGTTTGGCAGTTTTAACAGTCAATTCGACACCGATTTATTCATGTTTGATTATTTTTCTTCCAAAAGCCTGTAGAAAACATAATTAACTAACAAACAGAACCATTGTCGGTAACGAGTTTCATTGGAAATTATTTACGATGCAGTTATACTCTCGAGTCCAAATACAATGATTACATGGAGACTACACAAAAATGCCTTGCCTCCTTGTAATCTGTCAGGTGTTACACCTGTCAGATGGACTGGCAAATTTAGTTTGGCAAAACAATATAAATCAGTGGTCAGTTCAAGTCATAGTTACCAACTGTGTGGTCTCCAACAGGTGTATGTGCCAGAAGTTTACTTTCACATTTTAGTGGCTATAGTTTTCCAAAGAGGCTTTTAGATACGAACGCATTTACTTGGGGTAATTAATCAAAATTGGTGTATTTTGCTGTGTACTTGTAAATTGTCATGTCCAATTGAATAATTTCGAATGGACACTCATTTGTCATAGATGCAATGTACTAGCTGGGACCTAATCAATTGTACTGTTTCTTATAAATCCTAGAACACATCGTTGGCAACTTTTGAGACTGCTGCCAAAGCAGCACACAACAGAACATCTGGTTTTCTTTTACATTGCAGTTAAGCACGAACAGAAACAGGATATATATATTTTCAGATGGTTTGTAGAGCCTTCACCTATTCAAGCAGTTTTTGGTTTTAATCTATCACACTGGACCATGCACAACGCACACTCATGCAAGCATTAAATATGTAATGCAGTTGAAAGTGTTTGGAATGAGTTTCAACGATTGTAAACATCCACATGTACACTATATGCTGCAAGACAACTATACGCGCACCATCTTAAGTCAGGTGCAGTATTGCTCTCAGCAAAGTTTTACAACGCATGTATGTTTCCGCATATGTGCACACTCAAAAAAATGTTCAATATAGCCTTATACTGATGGGGTAATTGCTGTTAGCAAGTACAAACTACAGCCAGCACAGCATAAGGGGTGGTATGGCCAATGGTGATGTTCGTACACTTCACCAAGTACTCGCATATAAGGCTAAATCAACCAGGGTGGGGGGGGAGGGCCCAGGGCAGGTCAGACACCAATTGCCACAAATTTTATCCATGACCAAGGTGTCGTGGCACCACTAATGCACCACCTCTCCCCACACACACAGATAGGGAGTAGACATCGATGAGGGAGAGAGCAGGCCTGCAGGTCACATAGTGAGAAAGGGAAGGCAGCCTGCCCCAACGCCGCCCGTGTGCCAGCTCATTTGGGCAGCCTGCCGCCATGTGTTGCTCTCAGGCGTGAAGCACTCAACCGTGCCGAGGTTGGCGTAGCCGTCGTAGCCGCCCAGTGCATAGAGCCGCCCCGAGCAGGCTGCAAGGGCCACGCGGCTGCGGCGTGCCAGCATTGGCGTGAGTGCAGACCACTGGTCAGACGCCGTGTCATAGGTCTCGACCGACGAGAGGAACGCCGAGCCCGTGTAGCCGCCCACGGCGTACAGGCGGCCCGAGAGGGCGGCCGCGCCATGTCGGCAACGCCTCTGCTGCATGGGCGCCGCTTTGTGCCAGCTGCCAGTGTGTGGGTTGTAGTACTCCACCTGCATGGCGCCACCGCACACACCCACGCAAGCACAACCGTAATGTTAGTGTGGCAGTAGGTAGGATCCCTCATCTGCTCATATGAGAACACATATCAACCCCATAGTCGTAAATCAATATGCAGGAATCCAGACGTGTACATGGATATATAAACAATGTTTCCACATATAATAATTTGCATTGTCTGTTTCACAGCGAAGAATTTAAAGATCCCCTGATGTAATTCACAAAAGTAGGTCATTGTGTGCTGGCGTCCAGGTTCGAATTTGCCGATTTAGAAAATTACCCAGAAATTACTCGATTGACATTATACATACCAATCTTTGTCCCCTACTGACAGACTAATGCCCAGTGGCAGACTAATGCCCACAGAGTCAACTTGAGCCTACAGGAATAGCTGCTACTGGACGTGCCCTTTCAAATGTTAGAGATGAGATGTGCAGCAATCTGAGACCCCAGAATATAGAGGGCTATTTCAATAAATTATTATGGACTCGCATACATTTTACATACAAACCCATCCCTGCACACCAACCCATGCACATGAATCCATAGACATGGGCCTATATACACAAACCCACACACATGAACCATTCACACAGGCCTACACACCAACGACATACATGTAAATGCAAAACCGTTTCACTCTGAAAAAGTCCTTAATTATCCACTTCTTTTGAGTAAGCCCTCAGCACATGCAGATGTTAGATTCTGAATTAATGGTTATATATTTAAAAAAAAACGATTTAATTAAGACGAACCGAGTGTGTGCTATCTGCTTTCTGCGTACGTGCGTACGTGCGTGCGTCACAAACCGTGCTGAATATCTGCAGGCCGTCGTGCCCACCCGTGACGTACACCCGGCCCTCAAAGAATGCCACGCCCGTCGCACTCCGTGGCGAGTTCATGGCCGTCACCATGGTCCACCTGAATGTGCGAGCACACAGGCATTAACATCTGAGCTGTGCGGGAGGGCATGCTCATCCTCACTCACATGGGATGAATGTCTGGCTTTGAGACACGTGCCACAGAGAAGGGCAAATTACAATAAATTTACAAATTAATGGAGTAATGTAGATGGATGGAAGTGACCAATTAACGGTCTTGTGAAATTGTTTCTAATTACCAATTACTTTTATCTGTGCAAATGAGATACCAATAAAACATAAAAGTAATGAAATTACCTATTTCAATTACATGTTATTCAGACACTACTCGTATCTCTATTGACATGCCCGCTCTGGCCTCGATGCATGTTCATGGGCCAGCCATCGCACTAAGAAGCGCAAACAACGCGCCAGTACTTGCTTTTCTCCCGCTCTGAATACATGGATGTGTGTGTGTGTGCTCATCACGCACTTGTCAGCCTCGGAGGAGTAGCACTCCACGGAGCTGAGCGACGACACCCCATCGTAGCCCCCGCACACATAGATCTGCCCGTCCAGCACGGCCACTCCCATCGCGCTGGGAAGACAAATGGGGGAAGCATGACGATCGTTGGGGCAGCTTTCACTATTGTTTAAAAGTAATGTTCTGTAACGCTAAAGGCTGTTCTTGTAAATACAGGAGACTCTTGAATATTGCGGGTTTATCATTCGGGGTTTTAACCTATCGCGGGCAACATCTTTGGATACCAATTTAGCTATCGCAGGGGTTAGTTTTGGCCTTTTGCGGGTATGCTATAATGGAAGTGGTGCAGTGCGGGCTGGACGTGAGGCAGTCACCTCATCCTTTGCCATGCTCGCATCTCGCGGACAAAGACCCACCCCCGTAGAGCCTATTAAAAGACTGTTGGGGCAAGTGCCGTTAGCAAGCGCCTATGAAGGCTGGCACGGCATACAAGAGGGTGGATAATCAGCACCATGCCTGGCTGCCTTTGTCTCTCCAGTGGCGATGTTTACACACCACAACATGTATTCATTTAGGGCTGAGTCCTAGGGGAGGCCCAGGATCAATTCAGATCGTCAATGGCATTTAGCGTGAGCAAGAATTTAACTTGGGTCTCCGGGTTCGTAACACAGCGTGCTAACCGTAGCACTACCGCAGCACTACCGCTCCCTTCTCGTAGACAAACACACACACACCCGCTTTGGATCATCATCAGTAAGTACAGTAAATTATTCAGTATTTATACAACTTATTGTCCAGGAATGTGCTTTGTATAGGGTATTTAAATGGTTATTTGAATTTTTTTGTTTTTAGTTTATTTGGCATACAGTACAGTACTTATTTCAATTGTCATGTGTCTATTTTTGGTTGCCGTGTACCTAACCCCATTATTTAGGTAAGTATTGAATTTCGCGGTTTTGGCCTTCGCAGCACTTTCCAAGAATGTAACCCCTCGCAATATTCAAGGGTCTCTTGTATACCTCAATTACCTTGTCAATACAGTAGAAACTGGATGTAAACACACCTTATATAATCACAATTCTGATAAAGAAACAGATCCTTTTATTATACTGATGGGGGGGAAGGCGATAGGTAATGTCTGATCCAAGCATACTACTTTGGATATAAGTACTTACTCCCAAGGGTGTACTTATATGCAGTTTCAACTGTACTGTTGCATAATGTAATCAATGTTGCTGCTAACAGCTATATTAATAGTCATCTCATAACTAGTATATGTAACATTAGAAAGGCCATAGTAGACACTGCTGCAAACGGAAAATGTTCATGCATTGGCTGTGAATAGTCTGCCACAAAAAAACAGTGATCCCGAGTGATCTTTAAACTGGCCGTTAGAGCGAGTGCTGTTAGCGAGCACCTATGAAGGTCAGCACAGTGCATGAAGGGGGTTTGTGTGTCCAGCATCATGCCCAGCCGCCTTTGTCTCCCCTGTGCCCATGTTTACACAAAACACCAGATACTCTACTCGTTTGAGACCCAGTCGACCAAGGGGAGGTTCGGGACCAATTCTGATATTCGCCACCGATTACCGCTTCCCACAAAAACCATGGTCACCTGCGCTTGCTATTCATACTGGCGACCTTGGTCCAGGTATTTGTGTCGGGATCGTACACCTCCACGCTGGACAGCCGCTCCTGCCCATCCGAGCCCCCCACCGCGTACAGCCGTCCGCCCAGCACAGCCACCCCCACACGGCTACGCGGTGACCCCATTGGGCAGCATGCCTCCCAGCGGTTGGTCAGCGGGTCGTAAACCTCCACCATGGTCACCGCATCCCCTGAGCAAATACACGAGAGGGGGACTTCAAGGGATAAATTATAGCGACTGTTATGAAGTCTTCTTCTGTCGCACGGCTGATGTAGATGCAGAGCAACATCTACAATTTTTCATTCAGGTGGTCAAGTCAGATAACCGCGCAAGGAGCAGCGGAGTGCGATGCACTGCAACGTGCGTAAGCGTGATGTCGGATTCAATGTGATGTGAGTTGCAGCAATGCTTTATTAATTGCAATATTTTTCCAGGAAAATCCCTTGCGATGGAACATCTCATTTGCAAGAGTGTCCAGGGTGTCAAGTGACACGTGTATACCAAAAACGTAAACACACATTATAAAATATACAACTCATACAGTACACGTTTATACAAGGTCAAAAACATTTATATATGAACATCTCACTGCCGGTGCATACAGAATGTTCTTTTAGAGTTGAGGTGCAGTCATATTTCTCTCGTCTTGAGATGGGATCGTATGTAGACCCCATCTGTAAGATTCACAGTGATACGAGACGTATACATGTACAGCTATTTTGTTAATCCACTGCTGGATGAGGGCCTCTCCACACCATGTGGATCATGGATGTTATTTGACTATGGTTCACTACAATGATCCGCTTGGATTAATTAAGGTGGGAGGGATGGATGTGGAAGCTTACAGCATAGAAGTGCAGTACAACAATGGATTTTTCTGCACTATATGCTGCCCAACCTGAGTGTGCATGATGGTCACCCACCCACGCCATATCCATGCTCGATTCTTAGCCTCCGAGGTCTGACAATATTGTGCACTTTCCGTGTAAATCGGTCAAAGTGCAACATATTATAAAATGTTATAAAATGTTAAAAGCAGGCAGCTGGTGACACTGCTGGGATAGTGGATGCCAATCGCTGACTCTCACCCAAGAATAAACAAGGTTCTTTGCATTTTGTCAGCTATCTCAGCCTCCCTGCCCATTCCTCCGCCCGCTGTTAACTCTACCGGCAGAGTTGAGGCCCCCGACAGCGTAAACGCGGCCAGCCAGGGAGGTGCAGCAGCGCGGCCGGGTCTTGTACGCCGGAAGAACTGGCCGCCGGTCCGGCATCAGGTGATAGTCCTTCGCTTCATCCAATAGGTCCCTAGAACATGTATATATAGGGCTTCATTTTAGTCAGAGTCAGAAAACAAGGAGATATTTCTGGACCCACCTCTTGTTAAATAGATGTGGTTACTTGTCACATGCCTACTCCGGTCTAACAGCGACCCGGAAAAGATTCAGTAAGAAATTAAGCTGGAGCTACAGCAAGGTCATTTGGCTTGTAACCTGAGTCTTTTTATTTTATTCCCTTTGTCTTGTGGCCTTTGGAGCATGGCTGTTAACTTGACCGATATCTCCTTGCAGTGGTCTTTCCACTTCTCTCCGTCCATTCCTGCGATTTGCAAGTGAAGACAGATTCCAACCCATTCACACTTTGGCATCCAATCACTGTGGTGTTATACTGGTAGGAACGAAGTGGACCAGCCTACAATAGATTATATCGTCCGTCCGTCCGTGTAGCAACATCGCCCCCTACTGCAAACACTTGGCATGACCCTACCTTTAGAACCTTTAGACTCAGTGAGGCTTTCCTGGCTAAACAAGTGTAACATTCCCTTATAATTCCCTCAGATAGCTTTTAATTAAAATATTTAAATTAATGAGGCTTTCCTGGCTAAACAAGTGCAACATTCCCTTATAATTCCCTGAGATAGCTTTTAATTAAAACTTTTAAATTAAAATTTAACTCACAGCATCCTAAAGCCTACAGCTAGGCCTAAAGCCTAGAACTAGGCCTCAAACTCTCCCTTCGTATCGTACCCCCGCGTGTGTGAAAGGGAGTTAATGTTTAACAATGTTACATTCCCTGATGCTTTTAAATAGAAACATTTAAATTGAAAGCTTTAACATAAATAATAAAACATTTAAATTAAAAATTAACTCACGGCGGCCTAAAGCCTACAGCTAGGCCTAAAGCCTAGAACTAGGCCTCAAACTCTCCCTTCGTATCATACCCCCGCGTGTGTGAAAGGGAGTTAATGTTTAACAATGTTACATTCCCTGATGTTTTTAAATAGAAACATTTACATTTAAAGCTTTTACATAAATAATTAAAATATTTAATATAAAAATTAACTCACAGCGCCCTAAAGCCTACAGCTAGGCCTAAAGCCTAGAACTAGGCCTCAAACTCTCCCTTCGTATCGTCCGATTTGGTGTAGCAACATCGCCCCCTACTGCAAACACTTGGCAGGACCCTAGAAACACCTTTAGACTCAGTGGGGCTTTCCTGGCTAAACAAGTATAATAATACATTATGTTAATATTCTTTGGTTATTCGTTCCTACCAGCCCACCCCGCAGGGTCCTGTTTTTTCACCTAATACCTTCAAGTCACTACCCTTTGCAGTCAGTGACCATTTATCCTGGTCATGTTTCTGAATATACTGTAGGTTCCTGTACTTAACCTGCCTAAGAACCCCCGATTCTCTGTGTAAATGTTTCCAGGCTTATAATTGTTTTCCCTTCATGAGAAATATTAATAATTCTCGGGATGGCTTTAATTTGAAAGGTATTGATTCTCCATTCTTATTCTTAAAAAAAGGGATTTGAGGGCCAGTAAAGCGATAACACCCAGACCCACTGCTGTACTACAGTGCAATGTTGCCTGATTTAGCGAGCGCGGGGGGATGGGGGCAGAAGGTCACGGTACCTGCACTTGTGGCAGGCACGTATGAGCTCGTCCTGCTGCACACGGTCGGTCAGAAAGTGGGGGCGGCACAACGGGAGGCGCACGCATGTGAGCAGGTCCGGGAGTAGCGGCGCACGGCCCTCGCGGTCCCTCCGCACCCACGCCAGCATCGCCTCGAACACCTGCGCGCACCAGCAGCAAACAACATGCACGGCGCACACACCCATGAACCACATACACACACAGAGTCAATCATGCATCGGTGTGTGTGTACAAATACCTTTGACCAAATCACCTGGAATGCACCCCAACTCGGCAAATCTCAGAAGCTATAAGCAAGAGCCCAGTTAACTGACCAACATACATGCCTGGTTGTTATAGGTGGCTGCGTTGTGGACAGCAGTGTAGTACATCAATAACCATTGTTGCACTTTAATTGAATTCTCCCACACCTATGCTCCCTGGCTTCAACAACCTTCACTGACCGATATGGAAAAGCATGGTCAAACACCCGCATGACTCCCATGCCATGGGTAGGCCTTTATCCAAAATTGGATTGGCAAAAGGCTCTTCTGAGAAACATGATGCGTATAAATAAGTTACACACAAACACAAACCCACGAGATGCACACGACATGAGCTTGAGTAAACTACGACAGGTCAGATTGCACAGTTTGACCGTGGCAAGGTCTGCCGGACCCACACCCCACCATCGCCACCTCCCGCTCATCCTCTTTTCCCCTGCACACGGAACCATCAGGTACCATGCGCGCGCGCACCCCCCACCTGTTCCTCTCCCTCTACGTGCAGCTCGTCTCGCGCCGCCAGCTCCAGCAGCTCCTCCCCAGGGAGGCCCAGGAACTCCTCGCCCGTGGACGCCTCCACAAAGTGCTGCTGCAGGAACGAGTTGGCCGTGTCGTAGAGCGCAGGACACATCATGGCCTCCGCGAACGAGCGCACGCCCAGCACGTTCTTTGGGTGCAACCTGCAGCAGGAGATGGCAGCAGCGAAATAAACAGCCAGTCCTCTGTATCTAAAAAGCGTAGAACCCTGTTGACCTTACTCCCTCTAAAAGCGACATTCAATCTGTACGACCCCGCTAAATTCCCTCAGTGTATTGGGATCTGCATACTTGTGGCGCTCTCGCCACATGGCCATGCATACAACAATTTAAACTCAGTCATAACGTCCTCCACAACTCGGCTAGGAGATCATTACCAACTGAGAGCAATCTACCACCATACTGCTTTCACACACTTGCCGAACACCTGTGCCACACCAAACTCGCCCATACTGTGTCCCGGACCAGATCCCCATAGCTTCCCCGTTCCTCAGCACCCCTCACCTCTCCTTTAGGAAGTGACAGCAAGCATCCTTTACGGCATGAAGTTGCAGGAAGGAGGCCGCCATCAGCAGGGCCTGCACATTGTGTTGGTCGATGGCCAAACGCCCATTGTAAGCGAAGTTAATCAGGGCTTCGAGTGCACTGCAGTCCACACAATGGCACAGATTCAGCCCAGCTCCACCGACGTGCACTTATCCCATTAGTCGGTGTCAACCACTGCTCCTGCAATATATGCTCATCGCACTCACCATCTTTAAGATCCTTTGTGGACTCACTCCTGCCTGCCTCTTCAGTAGTTTTGTTAATTATTTACTGCAATTACATATTGTGTACCTGATGACATTGTGTTATAAACAATGTAAATTTTAAGGCTGCAATTACTAAAGACTTATGGCAGGCTTATGTTGACTGAAGTTGAGCATTTAAGGAACCATTATTTATACTGGCAGTAGAGCAAAGCACTAAAACGAAATGATACAGTTGTGACATTTGGTTACAATGTTATGAAATACTGATATAATGACAATCATTGTGGAAATTAAATATATTATATCGTGAAAAATTCTATCGTGGCAGCCCTAATGTCGACATGCTTAACGATTGCAGTTAAATACTGATTGTGAACATGGGCTGTGTGTGGGGTAATATGATGGGGCACGTGAGCCCCCGCACCTGGGGTCCGTGCCCTGCATGACGATCTCTTCGCGCTTGCTTTCAGCCATGTCAGTGGTGAACATCGCATGGAAGTAGGGGATGGAGGCAGCCAGAACCACGCGGTGAGCGCTGTACTTGTGCTCCCCAACCTGCAAGCGGCAGGGCACACGCAGTAGATAAAGGTGCAGCCCTGCAATTTATGGCTCACACCATTGCTGTTGGAAGGGCCTCCACTAGAGAAAGCTCTAGAGAGCTCCTCTGGAGAGTGTTTTAGTATATTCCTCCACACTGGCCAGACGTCTCGATAGAGATGAGTACCCGAACGCTGCCCCACAAAACACGACCTGTGAATATACAAACTGTTGTGTATTGTTTTGAAAGCCACTTGGTTGAATGTTAAAGAGAGTATTTGCATTTTTATTAACTTCTCCCTGTGAAGCAGATGATACATCTATGCGGGGTTGGAAGATTATAAATTACACTATAATAACAAAACTGCATAGAATGCTGCGAGTCATTCAAACTTTCCCTGAGCCAGTTTATTCGTTCCATGACTGGAACCACTTGGCATATCTTTGATGCATCACATACGTTGTCTTAATAAAAGCTGACTAACTTTAAAATATTTAATAACGTTCCAAGACAATGCCACATACAGGTTATGTTGGAAACATATATCTCAATTATAGTACTATTTCAGACCCTGCCTTGATATAAGGGTTGAATTTAAACATCTATGGTTTTAAACATTGTAGAATAAATACCCAGTCACACGTACTGCTGCAGTGCTGGATTAAAGTGTGTATTTTACACTGAAGATGTATGTACAAGCATACAATATATGGATAGACTGGAAGACATGGGCTCTACATAATTATCGGTGCTCTGCAAGGTCTATTTTTGTAAAATAGTATCAGTTTAATTTGTATTTGTTCTTTTGAAGTCCAATTTCTCCAGCACATCTGCAGTTATTTTAAAACGCACGTTTAAATGCTTTTAATTGACATAAAACCTTTTGCAAAAACAATCACATCTGGTCTACTGTGCAAGTCTTTTTTTTCTAAATTCCAATATGATTTAAAACTAACGCTTTCAAGAGAAATAAACAACTCTTTAATATCAGTTTAACACGTAGGCTTTCGTGACCTATATTATTCATAATAAAGGTTTTTGGATTAGATCGCGTAAGTATAAATGTGTCGTAACCCTCCACCACCCGACACAGCCAGTAAGGTTTGTTATGTAAACAACTCGCCAATTAGTTACTACTTCAGCCCACCTGTGTGTTGGAGAGTAAATCCACATTTACAACACACCGGTGGGCTGACGTAGTAACTAATTGGCGAGTTGTTTACATAACAAACCTTACTGGCTGTGTCGGGTGGTGGAGGGTTACAACACATTTATAATTACCCGATCTAACCCAAAAAAACATTTATGAACTCCTTAATATACAAAAAAAACACTTGAATTCAGAAAAACAAATGCCACCATGTGATGGTTAAGCTACATAAGTGTGAACATATAGACATGATTTTGCAAGAGAAAACGTAAGTTATAATTTAATTATAGTAAATGTTAATTGGCATTGATGTCAATGCCTGCAAAACTTTATAAGCTTAAAGAAATAACTCAAGTGGCAAGTGGAAGCACCTGCTAACGTCGTACAAGGCCATCAATGCACTAGTTCTCTATCTCATAATTATTTTCACTGTCAGCTACCGTAAAAGTAATCTGCTTTACATCACCCCTTCAGTTTGTTTTTGCTGTAAACAAAGGGTCATGATTCAGGGCATGTTTTTGGTTGCCATTCAGGGTTAAGAAGCTTAGCTGTAAAATTTTCCACAAAGTTTTTTCCATCTCAACAGCCAGCTCGCTACGGCGAGAGCTGTCTTATTATGACCGCTGTTCAATCGGGTCCAAACCTAACCACACTGGCCACGAACTGGCTCTATGAGCACATAACTACTAAACATTCCCATCGCAGATTTTGAGAAGCTCTAATGGTGATCGCGAAACAGGTAGCGGTGTCGTATATCCAGTATAAGTGGTTGATTGACCAGTTGTGAAAGGGAAAAAAACGTGAGCATTTGGATCAATATCAACACTAAAAACAGATCAGTGTTTGCTTTATCCGCCGCAATTATTATCCGATAGCAATAAATTACCCAAATTAGGAGCTGGAATACTTGGTCTAATTGGTAAGGGAACAGGCATTACCGTTTTTAGACTGTAAAATATGTGGGTTGTAAGTGAGAAGTGTATGTGTGAGTTAATCCATCCCATTAGATCCAGAAGATATCCAGCAAATATCTTGCACACACGATGTTTTTGTTTTACAAAGGAGGGTTGCGGGATGAGGGTAAAATACTGGTGCAGTATTTGCAACCATTATCCTCTCCATTTGACCTTCTTCGTGCACCATTCACTGTTGTTTCTCAAGGCTAATCCACCCTCCCCTTCACGTCCCCTACTGAGTGGAATGACCCAACTAAACACGCTCATCACAAGTGGCATGGTACCAGTAAGTCACTGGCATCACTTGCGATGGACAGGCACGGGCCTGACAAGAAACACCCCTCAACCCTCCAGTGCACACACACCCGCCTGAGAAAACCCTTCACTACAAAATACACAAGCACATTTCCCTTACCGTGAATGATGCCCACACCTCAACCACTAAAACACCTCACCCTGGGTGACAATGATATATCACCCCATGTGACACACCTAACTCAGCGTGATGTATACATCTGACCCACTATGCCAGTGACACCCCTCACGTGTAGCAGTGACACACACTGCACCATATGACTGATAATTTCCTCCCACACGAACAAAAGCGCGAATTAATATAATGGGCCAAATATCCCATTGGAGGACCCTCCTGTGTCTTAATACCCAATGAGAGGTTGCTAGATAAACAGTGGACATTATGACTTATTAATACACACTTTGGGTGACATTGACACGAACCTCACCCCGTGTGCCACAGACACCTCGTCCCGGGCGCATCCCACCCGCGTGGCACATACACATACCTCAACCCCTTGGGAGACATTAGTGGAAGGCGCCTTACAAATGAATGTAAATTAGTATCTGAAATACACACCTTGGTCCAGGTGAAACACACACATACCTGACCCCGTTTGGCACAGGCACACCTCATTTCGCGTAACACACACACACCCCCCACCCGTCACCACGTGTGACACTCTTTAAACACCCGCACCACTCGCCCCGGTCACCTCACCCTGAGGGTGACGTCGCATAGCTTCCCCTGCCGCCGGATCTCTTCCATGACGCCGAAGCCCTTGACAGCGAGGTCGTCCACGCTGAAGTGCACAATGTCGTCCTCGAAATCGTCGGCCATTGTGAACCTGCCCCGCGTTCTCGCCCGACCACGCATGAAAGGGGCGTCCCGGGCACGAAGCTCGGCCTCTTCTGCGATTACAAAATAGCAAGCACGCGACCGACTCGTCCACCTTTTTAACCGCGGCCTCGTTCGCAGCGACGACAGCAGAGCGGCAGCAGCAGGGGTTGACTGAGCAGCGAGACGGCGACTCGAGTCGAGAGACAAGACACCCCGGCGGCGTCAAATGAACGCTGCGAATCGCTGCAACAGCTGACAGCAGTGCCGCTGATGCAGCAGCTTCTGACGTCTTAAATGTTAATGCTGCTGTGTTGATCTGACAGCCGCTACCGCGGTTGTATGTGGTGTAGCTGCTATTGCAGCTATCTGCGCTGATGCTATATCCGCCGCCGTTGCTATTGCTGCGGCTATTTCATCGGTTGCCCTTGCTGCTGCAATAGAAGCAGCTGTTATAGTCGCCGTGATTGTTTGCTGATGCCGCTGTAGCCGATAATTCGTATTGTTACTATTTAGCCGCTGATGTTGCCTTAGCTGCTGCTGATTTCCCCACGGTTCTATTACTTTGGTAGTGACAGGAGTTGTGCTGCTGTTGTTGTTGTTGTTGTGTTGCTGTTGTTGTTGTTGCTGTTGCTGCTGTTGTTGTTGTTGTTGTTGTTGTTGCTGCTGTTGTTGTTGTTGCTGTTGTTGTTGTGTTGCTGTTGTTGTTGTTGCTGTTGACCGGAGCAGCGGTTCCACGCGCCGCTCAGCTGATCGCGGCCCGCGCGCGCGCGCCACTCTTCCGGTCCCGCGTTTCGTGGCTTCCGGGAGGAAACGCGGCGTTCGCGTTCCGCACCCAGGGATTTGGTTCCGGTCTCGGGAGCTGCCCGCAACGTGGTTTCGCCTGCGCGCCCGGGCAGTGTCTCCATTGACTGCGGCGTCAACGTTAGAAGGAACGGAGCCAGTGCCAGGGTTAGGAGTTTAGTTAAGTGTTAGGAGCAGTGGCGGCTCCTGCAAAATCTCTCAGGGGGGGGCAAATGTCTGGATGATTGATAAGGATAAGGTCCACCCATGCAATGGATAAATTAACAGCTTAAGCATGTAAAGGCAACTTCACTTCTTTAATATTAATGAAAATTAAAGTGACTCTTACAATACATTTTGTTTGTTTCTATACTCACTATTAAAACAAACCACTCAAGTTTATTTTATTAAAGATTCCACTAGGTGGCGACAAATAATATTGTTGACTGAAACGTGCTTACGTATGATGACGTAAGCACGTTAGGGCGAGCCCTCCCGGAAGCCATAGAGAATGCATTGGAGCGCCCGCCGTTCGAAAAAAAACATCTTTGAATGTAATTCTATGGGACCACTCGGGGCGATTCTCAGCCGGAGTGAAATCGCCCAAAAAGAGGCGGTACTCCACAGAACGTGACATGACGCTGATTGGACTATATCCAGAGGCACAGTGACGGCTAGCGTGACTCTGTGGTTGAATGACATTGGTGGTGCGTCGCCCAATCGCCCTAATGAATAAATTGCCCCTGGTTAGGAGTGGGGGTTATTGTAAGGGAGCAAGGCTTAACCCACGGAAGCTTGACTCATTTTATGAGGTTGCTCTGTTAAGTTGATCAGTAGGGATGCGATGTTGATGTTTTGTTTCCCCAATTTAGTAGATTGCAAGTACATTTATTGTTCACCTTTGCACCGTACGCCAGCACACTTGTATAACTATTCATATTCTTGGTTCTTTCGGTAAAGTCACGTAGAAGGGAAATAATAAAATAAAATAAACATAAGGAAAAATTCTCACGACGTTATTGATATTAATGACAAATGCAAATATGGGATTAGTCACTACTTGTGGTGGTTTGGCTGCTGCAGCTCTTTACTATAAAAATTTCCCTCCCTTTATTAATGCTAATCATATTTCCCTCCCTTTATTACTGCTAATCCTACATAATATGACTTTGAAATCCCCCACCACCTACACATTCCACAAGTAGTGACTAATCCCACATCTGCATGTCAACAATATGCTAAATTCCTCTGTTGATATGTAAACTCCTTTGTCAAGGCTCTCTCCTCCGACCCAGCTTAAAAATACGCTACCAAGCTTAGCAGTGTTCATTAGGACGCTGTCTTTCCGACAGCTATGTTCTTCACCTGAGGACGACTGCTTGCGTTGTGGCTGAAACGTCGTGAGAATTTTATCTTATGTTTTATTTTTATTTATTTTATTATTTCCCTTCTACACGACTTTACCGAAAGAACCAAGAATATGAATCCATGCAGTCACTAAAGCTTTAAATCGAAATGTATAACTATTATTCGAATAACGTTATGGGATCTTTTAATCATTTAATTTTACCCTAAGGCTAAAGGAAAAATTCAAAGAGGTTCAATCTCATACCAGTACTTCGAATAAAGTATGTTTGTTTACACACACGACATCCATTCACCAAGGAGATGGATCAATGGAATGAGCTCGTGTGTCCTGTGCTATGTGGCTCATTACATCACATGATCATTAGAAGTGGCAGTGGCTCGGGATGCCTTTATCCAGCAGTGGATTATTAATGGTTGATTATACACTTTAGACACGTAATTAAATGTATATCGTACATTAAACTATAAATTGCATGTTAGAACCACTCGATAGTGGTGCTTTTGTCGTGTTCTATGCAATTTTGTACGCAACATTACACCTCAATAGAACTAAAACGAAACTTTTTAGTTTACCAGTAAAGCCCACTTAGCTATATAGCTCTTTTTCAGAAGCAACCTGGCCACAAATGATAGTTCAACGATGTGGCGTATCATGTAGTCAGTTATAGCAGCTAAATACTCTAAATGTGGAAGGAAAAACGGGAGGAGCGGAGGAAAATCCACACGGCCACGGGGAGAGAGCCATGCAAACACCAAATATACAGCAGGCATCAGGGTCGGGATCAAACCCACTGCGCCTCACTGCTTTTTGCAGTTGCATTTCCCAGAACCTAAAATATCTGGCTCTGGAATTTTCTGACAAATTGTTATACTGTAAATCCCAGTGATTAAAATGTGCTGACATTTATTTTTCAACGATGTACTCCCATATACACTGGCACTCGATTTAAAATATGGGGAAATAAGGTTTAAGCAAAATGACTTAAAATAAATAAAACCCATAAAATGTTCATCATAATTTTCAGGAAGGTTCCTTACGAGAGGGGGCCATTCGGTCCGCTTAAGTCCTTTGGGCAAGAAACTATAGACAAGCTGGAAGGCGCTAGAATGAGTCCTTGAATTATGGAGCGATACATTATGAGAATGTGAAGTAAGTGTGTCATGTCCAATTACCCAAGTTTCTTTGGTCAACCAGTAGGTGGGGCTATCCCAATTGAGTAGTTCATGGGTCGGTTTTTTATTTATTTATTTGGACCATGACGCCAGAACGCAATGGCTTGCTCATGCGAAAGACGCAGTATTATTCAGGGCGGTGTGGAACCGTGAACTTTTGCAACAAGCTGGTGAGCGCGCTACCGCTAGGCTACATCGCATCAAGCAGTTGATGTAGCGCCGATTCAGACCACTTCGGAGGTCGTAATCAGATAATGTAGTTAGTATTAATTTAGTTAATAGGGGCCGTCCATAAATGACATCACGTACTTAGGGGGGGTCAGACATTTAATGATTGGGGGGGGGGGGGGGTTTGAGAAATGTGACGTCACATCAAAATGCGCAACTTTAAATAAATATAGACAACACAGTCTACTTAATTAAATAGACTTTTTAATAAATGTTTTTTTCCCTACAACATCAGAGTGTAGCGCTACATAAAATACGCACTAAAATGACAATAGTTTGAAGCGATTTGAAGCATGTTTTATTTGGGGGGGGGGCAGAGCTTTGTGACGTCATATTTAAGGGAGGGGTCTGACATTTTGCGACGCCGTATGACGAAGGGGGTTGGGGGTCAAAATTCGTCCAAAATCGCGTGACGTCATTTATGGACGGCCCCATATTCGTGTAAAGATTAGCCCCTGATCATGGGGGTTTGACCATACTTCACCACGCTGGTCAGTGTGGGTGGGAGAATGACCACTCGCCATCACTCCGGGCTCGGAGGAGTTTTGAGAATCTTTTCTCTCAAGCTTTCTTCCTGCGGGCATCTTCAGAAGTTGACAAAAAAAAACCACACTTCTCGGCACTGAAATGCGTGACTGAATCTAAAGGGAATAAATGCTCAACACGCAACTGCCCATACCCGGTGTGCACGTGCAACCGCAACGAGTTCGAATCGCCAATGATGTTCGCCGTGACCTGTAATCGACCTCGGGTGGCTTCATATCGCAGTGCGCTAACCACTGCGCCCCCCCCACCTCCTCTAGATGACTAAGCTTTGTTATTCCGAAGAGCGAGAAACACCGCTCACACACAATACATTTGTGCGCATCGAACATACAATAAAATACAAATAAACGAATTTGATTCATTTGTCTTCTTGTGACCGCACAGGTATGCTCTGACTGCCTCCATGGGTATTCCCTTCGCATCCCCACAGATATCCCCTTCGTACCCCGACAGACATCATCTTTCACCAAAGGTGCCCCGTGAGCACCCTGTACAGAAACGGCGGATGTGAATGTTTCGATACTGTACGGAGAAGCATGACAAGTCATACATAGGCAAAGGAGGAAATGAGGAAAGTCTCGAGTATGGATGCACAGACAACGTCACAAGTTAAACACTGGTTACCTTCAAATACACATCTAAACGCACGGTGTAGAAAAGTTACATTTGAACGTTTTCATCTGGCGGCGGCAGCCACTTCTCACCGACGAATTCTCCACGTGTTCATATAATAAAAAAAGTAGCAGACTTCACCCCACCCACCCACGGCTTCATCATCACAACCAACCACCACCATCATCATAACAAGAACCCGACGGTGCCTCCACCGCCACCACCGTCAACTCCACAGAACCATGTACAGCTGGCTCGCAGACAACGCAACATCTCTCTTTTGGCAACCACAACAGCAGCAGCAGCAGGAGGACCAGCCAGAGACCGACGACACGAGCCCATGCCGCACGCGGGACCCGCGACGGCTCCTCGTGCTCACGGTTGCGCTCTGCGCTCCGCTCAGCGCGCTCATCCTCCTCGGCAACTTGGTGACGGTGGTCGGCATCGCCGCGTCCCTCCGTCGCTCACGCTCTTCGCCGGCTCCCAGCTCCCTGCTCCTGCTGAGCCTGGCCGTGGCCGATCTGATGCTTGGCGGCACCCTGTCCACGTTTCCCCGCATGGGTGTCGGTCGCAGCGAGCGCACGCTGTGCGTGCTGCAGCAGCTGCTGCCCAACTTCGCGGCGCTGTCCCTGCTCGCGAACCTCGTGGCGGTGCACGCCGAGAGGTTCCTGAGCGTGGCGAGGCCGTTCCGCCAGGGCAACTCGCGCATCCGCAGGTCAGTCGGTGTGTGGCATTCTAGATTTGAAGCTTTCGTGACTGCAAGGATTCACATTCTTAGGTTTTTTCGGTAAAGTCACGTAGGTAAAACATCAAATTAATAAAAAATAAAATAAAACAAAAAATCACGACGTTTCGGAGGCAACACAAGTCTCCGTCATCAGGTGGGACCGTCACAGCCGGATTAGCTGCATCAAGTGAGGCATGTGTGGGTGCATCCATCTGCCAGTCATCTCAGTCGACCCATGGCACCTGGGTCTGTCCCGTGACCTCCTGCCAGCAGCGAGCCTTCGACACCTCACGTGGCCTGAAAGTGCACCTGGCCTGGCACAAGCGTTATGGTGACGTCGCCGTCACTTCGTGGTGAACGGTAGTTGTTTGTTGTTTCGCCAACACCAGTGAGGATTATCTGAACCTGGGGGAATCCGATGAGCCATGAAGTTCCTTTTCACAGATGTCACGGGGAAGCAAAGGTGGCGGCCACCCACCCCGTCGAATGCAGTGTCAGCCTTAATAGGTGATGAAAGTTATCATCAGCAGCATTTATTGTAAAATTATGCTTGTTTAACCAGGAAATCTTCACTAAGTCTCATAACACTCATCTTCTTGGTTCTTTCGGTAAAGTCACGTAGAATGGATATAATAAAATAATAAAAAATAAAACATAATAAAATATCTTCTTGGTTCTTTCGGTAAAGTCACGTAGAAGGGAAGTAATAAAATAATAAAAAATAAAACATAATAAAACAATTCTTTTTTCTTCTTGTTTCTTTCGGTAAAGTCACGTAGAAGGGAAGTAATAAAATAATAAAAATAAAACATAATAAAACAATTCTCACGACGTTTCGGCTACAACGCAAGCAGCCGTCTTCAGGTGAAGAATGAGACACTACCAAACTAGGAGCTTATATATAAGCTGCATTGGGGGTTGAAGAGCGCCTTAACAAAAAGAATGTGCATGTGAAGAGGGATTTAGCATATTCATGGAAAATGCGTAGGCGTTGGGCGGGGGGGTGTCAAAGTCATATTATGCCCATGCATTATGCAGGATCAGCAGCAACCAAGGGGGGTGCAAGGATTAGCAGTAACAAAGGAAAGGAATGTTAATGATATGTAGCTGCAGTTACTCAACAACCACGTAGAAAACTAAAGTATAAACTACATAAAAAACTAAAGTATAAACTGCATCGCACCATCAGTATACTTACTATACTCTATAATAAGCTGAGTTACTAACAGCAAGTAATACATTACAATTTTACCTCGTAAAAATTCTATAATATGCTTCCATCTAAACCTTATTCTCTTACATCACACGAGCATATACCGTACTATATACTGCCATAGATAAACCCAACATTAAATTATATACTGTATTGCTGTAAACCAACCTATATCTTATACATTTAATATCACACTATGTATTATTCTACACACCCTAATGTGTATCGAAATGGTTTATTACGTCCTTCCAATGATTGCTGAGCCAGAATCCATCTTCTCGGTTAAAGTTGTCTCTGTGTTTGTATATGTGGATCGCCTCATGAACGAATCTCTCATGATAGCCAGATGGCTTGCAGAGAACCTCTGTCTTGGAGAAGTCAATATCATGTGAGCCCACTGAGTTGTAACAGTGATCTGCCACGGCTGAGGTATTAGTCCTACCGTGTTTCAGGTCAGCTTTATGTTCACGGATGCGGTCCGAGACATGTCGTTTGGTTTCCCCAATGTAACTGCTACCACAGAGGCAACTTAGTTTGTAGACGCCAGGGTACTGTATGTCTGGAACCACATCTTTTACAGACGGTACCAGATCACGGATTTTATGTACTGTGTTGAATCGGACCTGGATCTTGTGTTTAATCAGGATTTTGGAGATCTTTTTTGTGACCCCAGCAATGTAGGGTAAGGTGATGGTCTTGAAAGGCTCCTCAACAGGATCCTTCTTGATGGTTGGAGTGATGGCTTTGCGGATTGTATAGTCGGAGTAACCATTTGCCTTAAGAGCTTGGCGTACGTGTTTGAGTTCACTGGAAATGTGTTCATGGTCGGAGATGCATTGGGCTCTATGATATAGAGTCTTGATGAGGGAATTCTTCTGAGATGGATGGTGGTGGGAATCCGGTTTTAGATAAGCATCCGTGTGGGTGGCTTTCCTGTAGACAGAGTGGCTCATTGAACCATCAGGTCTCCTTTTGATTAGGACATCCAAAAAGGGTAGCTTGCCATCATTTTCGACTTCCATGGTGAATCTGATGGCTGGGTGTATGGAATTGATGTGGTCGAGAAATTGGTCTAGAGCAGGCCGGCCATGTGGCCAGATGACAAAAGTGTCGTCTACGTACCTCTTCCATAAGGTCGGGCGTAGAGTGGCAGTCTGGATGGCGTCCGTCTCGCCATCCAGACTGCCACTCTACGCCCGACCTTATGGAAGAGGTACGTAGACGACACTTTTGTCATCTGGCCACATGGCCGGCCTGCTCTAGACCAATTTCTCGACCACATCAATTCCATACACCCAGCCATCAGATTCACCATGGAAGTCGAAAATGATGGCAAGCTACCCTTTTTGGATGTCCTAATCAAAAGGAGACCTGATGGTTCAATGAGCCACTCTGTCTACAGGAAAGCCACCCACACGGATGCTTATCTAAAACCGGATTCCCACCACCATCCATCTCAGAAGAATTCCCTCATCAAGACTCTATATCATAGAGCCCAATGCATCTCCGACCATGAACACATTTCCAGTGAACTCAAACACGTACGCCAAGCTCTTAAGGCAAATGGTTACTCCGACTATACAATCCGCAAAGCCATCACTCCAACCATCAAGAAGGATCCTGTTGAGGAGCCTTTCAAGACCATCACCTTACCCTACATTGCTGGGGTCACAAAAAAGATCTCCAAAATCCTGATTAAACACAAGATCCAGGTCCGATTCAACACAGTACATAAAATCCGTGATCTGGTACCGTCTGTAAAAGATGTGGTTCCAGACATACAGTACCCTGGCGTCTACAAACTAAGTTGCCTCTGTGGTAGCAGTTACATTGGGGAAACCAAACGACATGTCTCGGACCGCATCCGTGAACATAAAGCTGACCTGAAACACGGTAGGACTAACACCTCAGCCGTGGCAGATCACTGTTACAACTCAGTGGGCTCACATGATATTGACTTCTCCAAGACAGAGGTTCTCTGCAAGCCATCTGGCTATCATGAGAGATTCGTTCATGAGGCGATCCACATATACAAACACAGAGACAACTTTAACCGAGAAGATGGATTCTGGCTCAGCAATCATTGGAAGGACGTAATAAACCATTTCGATACACATTAGGGTGTGTAGAATAATACATAGTGTGATATTAAATGTATAAGATATAGGTTGGTTTACAGCAATACAGTATATAATTTAATGTTGGGTTTATCTATGGCAGTATATAGTACGGTATATGCTCGTGTGATGTAAGAGAATAAGGTTTAGATGGAAGCATATTATAGAATTTTTACGAGGTAAAATTGTAATGTATTACTTGCTGTTAGTAACTCAGCTTATTATAGAGTATAGTAAGTATACTGATGGTGCGATGCAGTTTATACTTTAGTTTTTTATGTAGTTTATACTTTAGTTTTCTACGTGGTTGTTGAGTAACTGCAGCTACATATCATTAACATTCCTTTCCTTTGTTACTGCTAATCCTTGCACCCCCCTTGGTTGCTGCTGATCCTGCATAATGCATGGGCATAATATGACTTTGACACCCCCCCGCCCAACGCCTACGCATTTTCCATGAATATGCTAAATCCCTCTTCACATGCACATTCTTTTTGTTAAGGCGCTCTTCAACCCCCAATGCAGCTTATATATAAGCTCCTAGTTTGGTAGTGTCTCATTCTTCACCTGAAGACGGCTGCTTGCGTTGTAGCCGAAACGTCGTGAGAATTGTTTTATTATGTTTTATTTTTATTATTTTATTACTTCCCTTCTACGTGACTTTACCGAAAGAAACAAGAAGATGAATCCCTGCAGTCACGAAAGCTTTAAATCGAAATAAAACAATTCTCACGACGTTTCGGCCACAACGCAAGCAGCCGTCCTCAGGTGAAAACCAGGTCGGTCGAGGCGACAGAGTCTGAATGAAACAGCACACGAGCTTGGAGCATATATATAAGCTGGGCGCATTGACAAAGGAATTTGCATATCAAAAGGAATTTAGCATATTTATGGGAAATGCAGGAATGTGATTAGTACTGCATATGCATGTGCATTATGCAGGATTAACAGCATCAAAGGGAGCTGCAGTTACTGCTGCTGCAGCAGTTGCTGCTGCTGCTGCAGTTTCTGCTGCTGCTGCAGTTGCTGCTGCTGCAGTTGCTGCTGCTGCACTTGCTGCTGCTGCTGCACTTGCTGCTGCTGCAGTTGCTGCCTTATCCATTTTAATATAACACTATGTATTATTCTACCCACCCTAATGTGTATCATACTGCTATATGTTTACTGTACAATTACGACACCATACATTACTCTGCACACTGCACCATGCCAGTGAGTGGAACGCGGTCTGAAAGTCACCGTAAACGTGAACACAATCAGTTAAGATCCGAAATGGTTTATTTCGTCCTTCCAATGATTGCTAAGCCAGAATCCATCTTCTCGGTTGAAATTGTCTCTGTGTTTGTATATGTGGATCGCCTCATGAACGAATCTCTCATGATAGCCAGATGGCTTGCAGAGAACCTCTGTCTTGGAGAAGTCAATGTCATGTGAGCCCACTGAATTGTAACAGTGATCTGCCACGGCTGAGGTGTTTGTCCTACCGTGTTTCAGGTCTGCCTTATGTTCACGGATGCGGTCCGAGACATGTCGTTTGGTTTCTCCAATGTAACTGCTACCACAGAGGCAACTTAGTTTGTAGACGCCAGGGTACTGTATGTCTGGAACCACATCTTTTACAGACGGGACCAGATCACGGATTTTATGTACTGTGTTGA